AAATCTGAAGCAATTACACCTGTATGTTAAGGTTTGGTGGCTCTGGGCCGTGTGTCCAAGGCTGTTTATGATTTTCTCTGGACTTTTCTGTGTGCTTTTATTTGCCTGTGAATGTATCCAGCAAAACTCTTATGCGGGGGCCGTCTCTGCCTGCCTCTATTCTAAAGGCTTTCCAAATAGTAACTCATATAATCCTCACAACAACCATCTGAAGTTTATTAGCTCCGTTTTACAGATGAGGAAACTGAGGCATGGAACGGTCAAGAAACTTGCCTGAAGTCACACATCTAGCAAGTGGGAATGCTGAGATTGAAATCCAGCCACTGTGACCCCAGAGTCCATGCACTGAACTTTGTCCGCCGTGTGTAATTTAATTAATCAGTAAGGAAAATCACTGATGTGGGACAGAAATCCTCTGGTCAGTAGGTCAGGCCTTCCATTCCTGGGAGGCAGAACATGGAGATCAAGCAGATGACAGCGTTTCTAGGACAGGAGTGGGAGCCAGGGAATTTACAGAATGCACAGCATGTGAGGCTGCATTTAGAGGTAGAGGGTCAGCAAATATACAGGAGCGCATTCTCTTGATGTCCCCAGGCAAGAGCAGCTAAGCTGCGGCTTCGGCTGCCACACTATAGGGCTACGCTAAGAAACACGTCCGCATCCTCGCTCTCTTGTTCTTTGTAAGACAAGCAAAACAATGGTGTTGGAAGTGTGGCAAATCCAGTCTGTGCCTGGGTATCAAACTGTGTGGGGTCGGGTGCCTGCTCTTCCCAGGACTTGCAGCAATGTCATTTTAGAGACCTTGGAGGAAGCTGCCCTTGTGGTGTGAGGGAAAGGCCCCATCCCAGCCCGCTCATAGCCAGGGCTTCCAGAAAGAGCCTCAGCTTCATTCAACCCACAGTGCTCCCAACATAACACAGATATTTTACTGAGCATCTAATCTGTGCCCGGTCCTGGCGACACATGGGAAATGAGACGGATGCTGTCTCTGTCCTCATGCAGCTGTCTGGCTAGTGCAGTTGATAGTGTAGGGAACAGCAGAGAGAACAGCACGAGCAAGGGCTGTGAGGTGGGGAAGAGCTAGGTATGTTCTAAGAACTGAAAGAAGGTCAACGTGCCTGAAGAAAAAAGGTGGATGAGTGTGATGGAGGATGGAGCCGGGGAAGCAGGCAAGGAAGTCACGAAGGAGGAGTTTCAACAGGAGCGGCCGGGATGAAGGCCTCCTTTGGGCATCTTCTTGTGTCGGCTCCCACCATTGGCGTGATTCACATATTCATTCAGCAAACATTTCTACTCTTGATGTGGCCTTGTGTGGGGCAATGCTGGGCACCCAGAGACGAACCTCACCCCACTCCCTGCCCCCCTCTAGTTGAAGAAAGAGACGCAGCCTGGGGCAGGCATAATAATGTGCTTCTGCCTAAGATGTCCCCATCCTACTCGCCAGGACCTGAATATGTGACCTTACAATGCAAAAACGTCTTTGTGGATGTGATTAAGTTAAGGACCTTGAGTTGCAGATTTGATCCTGGATTACCTAGGGGGCTCCATGTAATGACAAAAGTCTTGATGAGAGGAAGACAGGAAGGTCAGATCAGAGGAAAAGTGGAAGGAAAGAAAGGTATCTGAAAATGTTTTGCTGCTGCCTTTGAAGACTCAGGAAGGGGCTCAGCCAAGCCATGCAGGTGGCTTCCGGAAGCTAGAAAAGCAAGGTGGTCCCCTTGTATCTGCAGAAGGAACGCAGCCCTGCAGACGCCTTGATTTTAATCAGACAAGACCCATTGTATATTTCTGACCTCCAGGCCTCTATAATAAACTCATGTTTTAGGCCAGTAAGCGTGTTGCGATAGGAGACTAATGCACAGCTACAGTCACATGGATGCTATGCGACACAAAGGCGGAAGCGCTAGGCAGCTGGGGCGGGGGGGGTGTCCTTGCCCAGCCTGGGGAACAGCAAAGGCTGGGCAGATTAGGTCATCAAAATGCATTAAGAGAAAGATGCTGATAGAGGTTCCTAGGCGTAGAAGGACAGATGGCATTCCAGACCGTGGCGAGCAGGACAAAGTTGGATCCATGCAGACGTGAGAGCCTGGAATGCAGGGTGGGGAGGGAGGGATGTGTGAAAGATAAACCCGGAGAGGTTAGCTGGGCCTTTAGGGAAGGGGTCACGGAGCTCACCCTGCAGGCAATGGGGTGTGAAGGAGGCAGCCAAGGAGGTAATGAACAGGATATTCAAGTATTAGAAAAACACCTGTGAGATTAAAGTTCACACAGAAGCTGTCAGCTGTGCAAGGGATGGGTGGGCAGTGTACCAGGCAGAGAGTGTGGCATTTGTTCATTAACTTGTTTGTTCACCAGAATTTTCTGAGCAGTAGATTCAGTGCCAAAGAGAACATTGCACGCTGCTACAGGTGGGCTTGGGGTCCAGCCAGCCAGGGCTCCAATCCCAGTCCTGCCACCAGCTGTGGGACCTCAGGCAAGTGACTGGGCTTCTCTTACTTGCCGCATCTGTAAAATGGGGTCAATAGTGGGAATTACCAAGTAGGGTTTTTTGCCAGGATGAAATGATTTGTTTATAATATATAATGTGCTTTGTGCTTAGGAGGGTACCTGCTACATCATAAGAGCTATAGAGCTACTACGCATTCGTGTGTATTAGTGACTCATTGCTGTTGTAAGGAGTGACCACCACCAGGAGGAGTATTAGTGTTGATACTTAAGAGTTCTGGTCACAGCCCAGAGCTCCAGTCATGAAAACAGTGAGGAGATGCATAGAGGAGACTTGGAAGTGTTTTAGTGAATGAAGACTCAGAGAGAGGCCGGTGGGACAGAGACCTGGAGAAAGAAGGAGAAAGACTGTATTAGTTTCCGGCAGCTGCTGTAACAAACGGCCACAAGTTTAGTGGCTTAAAGCAACACGAATGTATTATTCTCTTCAGGAATGGCAGCTTCTGGACATCAGAAGTCCAAAATGGGTCTCAGTGAGCTAAAATCAGTGTCAGCAGGGCTGCATTCCTTCTGGAAGCTCCGAGGGAAGACTTCCTTTCCTTGCCTTTTTCAGCCTCCAAAGACCGCCCACACATCTTGGCCCACAGCCTGGAATCACTCTGGCCTTTTGTGGTCTTGTCTCCTTCTCTGTCCCCCCCTTTTGCAGACTTGTGAGATTGCACTGGGCCCAACTACATGACCCAGGATCATTTGCCATCCCAAGAGCCTTAACGTAATCACATCTGCAAAGTCCCTTTTGCCACACAAGGCCACACATGCACAGGTTCTGTGGAGTCAGGATTCTGTCTGCAACAGACACCCGCATTGTGTTTTAAAACGTAGGTCTTATTATTCAGGTATGGTGAGGCCCACAGATCAGGAGACAATTGTCGTTGAAAGATAGTTTGCTCCTCACAGTTCCCAAGAGAAGGGGACATGCCCTGAAGGGCCACAGGAGGGGTACCTCACAAGCAAGTGAGGGAGAATGTGAGCCAGCTTTCTTTGTGGCTCCGGCGGGAGGGAAGAGGCAAGGCGGGCTAGTTGGGGGTAATTTCAGCAGGTTCTTGGGTCTAGGGGCTGTCCTAAGCTGTCTGGCACCTGACCCTGCAGTGATCAGGACTGGGACAGGGGCCGGGTGTAGGGGTGCTTGGGGGTCTGGGCTCCGGATTGCTCCGCTCGCATAGGAAAGGTGCGGTCACCAGCCCGTGAGTAGTTTATGATCTCTAGCAACTGCATCTGAAAGGCCCCGGATGTAAAAACATCATAAACACATGGATAATACAGAGGGGGACAGAGACCCAGAATATGGGGGGAAAGGCAGCCTGGGGGACAGCGAAGGTTGGGCAGATTAGGTGGTGATCAAAATGCATTAAGATGCTGATAGAGGTTCCTCAGTGTAGGGTCACATATTCGGCTCCTGGCGATTAGGATGGGGACATCTTAGGCAGAGGCACATTATTATGCCTGCCCCAGGCTGTGTCTCTTTCTTCCCCAGGAAACACCAGCACCCAGACACCAGCTCCCCATTTCACCCGTTCCCTGAGACTCCCAAGTCCTCTCTCTGTCCACTCCAAGCTCCAGCTCCTGGGGGACAGGACATGCCAAAAAGAGAGAAGCTACTTAAAAATGTTTGTACAGCACGGGCAGCATACAGATCAAGAACAAAAATACTTTCAGATTAAACATCAAGGGTCAAAGTCATTCTGGGGCTTTAAGACTAGACTGAAAGGCCAGGCAGGAGGCAGGGTAGGGTGGGGATCGCTCCAGGGCAGAGGTGACTGTTCTTGCGTCCGTATGCAGGGCCCCGTGTATAGAAGACCGTGAGCTTGACGGACATGCGGCTCCCTCCCTGCTCCTCTTGGAACTTGGAGGCTACTGAGGGGAAAAGAGAGTAACCAAGGAGACACACTAGCAAATAAAGAACTGCAAAATGTGTAAAGCATCCATAAACAGAAACAGCTACTGCTTTTGACCTCCAATTTCATGGAGCCATACCATTTCATGGTATTACCAAATCCTTCACAGAAGGCTGGAGGGATGCTACCATGCTATGCCCACTTTCCAGACTGGGTCACTGAGGCTCAGGTTCGTTTTCCAAGAGAAGCACGGAGAGGCTGTGGCTGAGGTTCAGTGGTGGGGGGCTGGTGGGGGCAGAGCATCGCACGCACAACTTCCTAGGGCTCTCCCTTGGACATTTCAGAGCTGGGAGGTGGCAGGACCTGGTTCCCAAGGGCCTTGGAGCCCCACCCTACCTTGGGACTTCTTGTTTTGGGCAATAATACATTTTTCTTTATTGTGTAAGCCTAGGTTTGGGTTTTCTGTCCTTGTGGCTCAGAAGATCCTGCTGTGTGTGTGCGTGCGTGTGTGCGGTAGATTCATCAGGAGAGGACAGAAAGGTGACAGGATGGAACCTCTCAGAGATGCTTGAAATGAACCTTAGAGAATGAGGGAGACTTTAGCAGGTGAAGTGAGGGGTTTCAGAGGGAATAGTATATACAAAGACATAGAGACACAGATTTGTTCCAGAAAGTCTATTTGGGAGGAACTAGAACATAGGGAACTAGGAGCAGCGAGATAAGGCCAGAAGGTGGGCAGGGCTCCCAGCCGGGGCTGAGGGGCTGGAACCTGATCCCGAGGCAGAGTAGCTCCAGGACTCTTCTGGGGCTGGAGGGAAAGGGCTGGGCGCCAAGCCGTCAGGTAGGGGGAGGCGGCGGGCCAGGGAGAGTCCAGGCTCCTGGTCTCAGAGCTGATGAGCTACTCTAGGGACTCTGCTGCCCCTTGCACCCAGCCATAGGGAAGACACCATCTTTGAGGCATTACTGGTCCCACAAAAGGCAGGGAAAGCTTGCAAGGGGCCCCATAAATCAACAGAAGCCATGCCCAGAGCATCAGGCAGGATTCCGGCAGCTGTGGGGACACAGGATGCTGCAGTGGCCACAACCCGGGGTGGCTGAAGCCAAGCCATCTGGGAGGGCAGGTGCCAAGCAGACCATCTGGGAGCAGGGGGCTTCCCTAAGTTAGGCTGACGCAGTGAGGACCCAGCTGGACATGAGGAGGAGACGAGTTCCTTGGAGAGGGACAGAAAATAGGGACCCTGGACTGAGAGGCTGTGGAAGCTGAGCAACAGATTCAGGGCCCAGGCAGCAATGTGCGAAGTGCTGCTGCCCTCTACCCTCTGCCCCAGGAGACCACGCATGTGGCTGGCCCCCAGAGGAGGTTGATTGTGGCACCCCAGTCACCTCCCATCAGCTGCTTCGGTAGGAACCCAGAGTGGTGGTTGGGGGGGTTCCTAGGAGGGTCACAGGTGTTGGGAATCCAGCTGGGGCAGCCTGGGTGGCTGTTCAGGAACCTTCTTTCCTAAAGGGTCCACATCCTTCTGGTCACCAGCTGGAGCTGGGACAAGTGCATCATCTGGAAATGGAGGGAGGAAATGGTAGCCGCAGACGTCCCAGCGCCCTCCTCCCTTGAATCCAGGAGTCTGGGTCCCCAGCCCCGTCGCGGTTGTGCCCAGAGGCCAGCACCTGTGTCCGGGTGGAGCTTGAGCTGTCCCTCAGGGCCGGGCGCTGGGCCATTGTGGCCCTGCTGCTGCTGCTTCCTCTGTTCCATCTGCAGAACGGCCTGCAGCAGGTGGGGGAGATCGCACAGGCAAGAGTGACACTGAGTCTCCAGGGCCACTTGCTAAGGGGTCGCGGCCCAGTCCCTTCTCTACGGGACTCTGTTTTTTCTCTCACTGACAGTTGGGCTTAATAACAGTTAAAGATCCGGTTCTCCCTCACCTGTCACGGCTTGGTCACATCTTGGGACAGTCCACCCCTCTCCCTCCTCGGCCTTTCTTCTCTCCTGCTTACAATCCCACTGCCCTTATCCAGCGGGGCGGCCACAGAGCAGTCAGGGATGGGGACGTCCGCCCTCACTCAAGATGGCGAGGCCGCCTGAGGACGGGCCATGGATCCCCACAGTGGCCGCAGGCCTCCCCGGCCGGTCACCTGCTGCAGCTCTCTCTTCTGGGCTTCCAGGCGGCCCTGGGAGCGCCCCAGGGCCTCGGTCTCCTGGCTGAGGCGCTGCGCCTTGGCATTCAGCTCCGCCTCTCGGGCAGCCAGCTCCTCCTCAAAACGCTTCAGCTCTTCCTGTGTGTAGGCAGGGTGCATCTCCACGGTCTGCAGGGGTGGGGACGGGGGCCACCAGTAGGGTGACTACAGCCGTGGCCCAGCCACAGCGGAGAGGGCTCTGGTAACCCAGTTGGTTTGGAGAGGCTGGGAGGCCTGGGCGGGTGCGTGGGTGGAAGAGCCCTGAATGGGAGCCCGGGGGGCGGACAGAGACCCGGGTAGGGCAGGGGGGAAGCAGGCACCCAGAGAAGAAAGGTGGCCAGAGACCCTGAAAGAAGAGTTAGGTCTGGGGGAGAGATTCAGGACCCTGAGCGCCCCCAGGACCTCACCTCCCAGCCCTCCCCTGTGTCCCCGAACTCCTTCCTCTGGGTGGACGCGAGGAACTCCTCCAGGGTCACAAGGCGGTCCTGGTTGGTGTCCACCTGGGGAGCCGGGCAGGGGTAAGTGACAGGCCGGGCCGCCCTCCCTCCGACCCCCGCCCGCGGCCCTCGGCGCACATTCTTCATCACGTGCTCCCGCATGCGCAGACGCTCCTCCTCCATCTCCCGCATGTCGTCCTCCTCGTTCTTAGGGTCGTACACCTTCTCCAGCTGCGCGGCCAGGCGAGAGGAAGTCGTACTGAGGGATCCAGACTTTCCTAGGCTGCTCCGCCCCCTTACCCAATAGCCAGACTTCAACTCCCAGCAGCCTTTTCCCCCAGGACTGGGGAACTGGTTTCCCCTGAGCACACACATGCGCACACACGCCCGCCCCACAGCCCCACCCCAGGGGCACCTGCGGGGCACGCGGCTGATCTGGGCACCTTGTGTCCACCGCTCCCAAGATACTCACCTCCTTGGTGAAGAGAGCCTCCAGCTCCTGCTCGTCCAGGACACCATCACTGTTGATATCTGAGGGGAGACGACAAAGTATCTGGGGGACTGAGGACGGAGTGGGTCAGGGACCTGCTAGAGAAATTCTGGACTGGTGTGGGGCCTGTTATCACAGGACAGGGAACAGTGTGTCTCCAACAGGACGGTGGCCTCCAGGACACCGTTCCCTAACAACTGGGGCCCCAAGGATGATAGCGATGGAGGTGGGGTTTCACTGGGACGAATTCCTGGGGCCTCTGTCATGCAGGACAGCTTGATCCCTGGTGGCTGGTGCTCTGGGCACAGACTCAACCCCTTTGCCAGGATCTAGAGGTGTCAGAGGCATCTGCCTCCCTGCGAACCAGGCCAGGGCCAGCACCAGTTGTCAGAGAGACCTTTCCCTGCTCATCTAGCTCATAGGGCTGCACAGGCTCCAAGCTCCTCAGCCACATGAGCCACGCTGTCTTCACCTCGCGGCTCGCTCAGATGCGCACGCACACAGGTCCTGCAGAGGCAGCCAAGACCCTTGACTTTTGCAAATCCAATGGCTAACATTTAACCTGCATCTACTGGCTTTCTACCTGGCTTGCAGAACATCACTCTCTCCTCTTCAGCTGCCCCTTGTTCTTTGCTGGATCCAGCCTTTTCCTAACCTCTCTCTACATGTTCGTCTACCATGTAGACGCTTCTTCATCTGATCTGCAAATCTGTCCTATACGAGCACCACTAGCCACATGGGTGGTTTACATTTAAACTGATTAAGATGAATTAAAATTAAAATTTCAATTGATCAGTCCCACTTGTCACATGTCAAGCCCTCAGTAGTCATGGATGGCTGGTGGCCTCCATATCGGAGGGCACAGAACGCTCTCCATCATTACCAAGTGTTCCACTGGCCCGCATTCCCTCAGAGGGGCTCCTCCAAGCCCTCCGCTTTCAATGCCATCCATAAGCTTCCTTCACGCCTGAATATCCAACTGCCTACTTTCCATCTCCACATAAACGTCTATCAAACTTCTCTAATTTAACACAAACAGACGCAGTTCCCAGTCTTCCCTGCCAAACACGCTTGCTCTTCCCTCTCCAGCCTCCCTGTTGCTCAGGCAAAACAGCTTGGAGTCGCCCTGACCCTTCCATTCCCTCACGATCCTCATCCAGTCCATCTTCAAGTCCTACCAGCCTGACCCTCAAGATGAATGTAGAAGCTGACCGCCCCTCCCTACGTCCCATGGCCCAGCCGCCTGCACCTCTTAGCTTCTCCTGGCTTTGGCCCTCACCCCCTCTGGCCCGTCCTTGACACAGCCCGCACATGGACTCTGTCAGCCTGTAAGGTAGGCATCCCAGACCTCTCCTCAAAATCACTTATGGTGTCCCATCCCAGACAGAATAAAATGCAAATTCCTCACCCTGGCTGTTGGGCTTTGAACGGTCCAGTTGCTCTTACCTCCCCAACCATCTTTCCTTCTGCTTTTCTCTTCATGCATTTTGTTCCAAGGACCTTGGAAGCCCACTAAATTCATTCTGCCCTGTGTGTGCAGGCTGTTCCTGCCACCTAGAACGCTCTTCCCTGCCACCCCCCAAAATCTGCAAGGCCCAACCCCTCACTTCACTGAGGTCTTGGTTCAAATGCCATCTTGCTAGAGCTGTGCTGCCTCATAAAGCAGCCATGAGCCACATGGGACAAATTTAGTGACCAACAAATGCAATGGAAAATTTGGTTCCTTGACATTATGCTAAGTGAAATTTACGTGCCATTTGTATGACTCTGCTTATACGCAGTGGCTAGAACAGTCCAATTCAGAGAGACAGAAGGTACGTAGAGGCTACCGAGGCCTGGCGGGGAGGGAGAACACTTGATTCATAGAGCTTCAGCGTTACAAGTATAGAGACTGGTTGCACAGTGTGAAAGTACTTAACACTACTGGACTTTACACTTAAAAATGCCTGACGGGAAATTTTACTATATGTATTTTACCACAATAACAAATTTTTAAGTAATTCATTTACCAAAAGTAAAAAAAAAAAAGAAATTTAGTCTCTTAGTCCTAAGAGCCACATCTCAAGTGCTCAATAGCCACATGGGGCTGCTGGGTGCTGTACTGGACAGCACAGACGTAGAACACTTCCCATCAGCAGAGAAAGTTCTCCTGGACGGTGCTGGCCTAGAAAAACGTTTGCTGACCAGGCTTCCTGAAATTGTCACCTAGGCCCCTGATCCTGCTGTCCTCTTTCCAAGGTACTTACTACGGCCTGAGACTCTATTACAGAACCGACTTGATTGATTAGAAGATGCACGTTTTATTTTCCCCATCATTTATCATCCCTGAAATCTGGAGGCATCTTATAATTGATGGTGTGTCTGTTTAACAGGCAGCTTACATAAAAATTCTAGTGTATCTTACACTCCACAGTCTCTTGGGTTCACAGAACTCTGGCTGATCACTGGCTATGTGACAGGGGATCTGTGTTTTTCCTTAGCGGTGGTATGACCACACAGGGAGCGCCCTTTTGAGGAAGCCCCTCAGACTTCCCACTAACAAAGAGAAGCCCAGGTCCCTCAATTATGACCCAGGGTGTGGGAATTAGACTAACTAGAGATGAAAGAAAATGGGATTTTGCAAACCAAGGCAAAGCAAATTAGCCAGACACAGGACTTAGTTCCCCCTCAAGGCTACAGATAAACTCTTGACTCATCCTTGAGATGTTTTACAGGAATTTAGATCTCCACCAGACAGGCTATCCCCCGACAATAAGAACACAGACCCCAGACTGGGAGGAGCAGGAAAACTGATAGCTAAGACTCCTGAATCAATCCCACTGACTAATCAGGAGAATGGGTACAGGCTAATCACACAGCCTATGGGCCTTCCCCGTAACTTTGCTTTTAAAAACTCTTGCTTGTAAGCCAATGGCGAATTCATGACCTTGAGCATTAGCCAGCTACCCGTTCTCCTTGACTGTCGCTGCAATAAACATCCTTTCTTTTCACTACATCCTGATGTCATTGTTTAGTTTTGCTGCATGTCAGATGAGCCAGGTTTATTTGATTCAGAAACATTAGGGATTCCAGCAGGGATGGGGGCTTCTGGGCTGCTGTGGGAGGGGGCCCAGGCCTAGCCAAGCCTGGTTTGCTCAGTTAGTGGGTATTGGCCAGTCCTAAAACCCCCCAAAAAGAGGCCCAGCTTTTCCATGGAAGACTCTACCAAAAGGGAGGCGTAGAGCCTTGCAGACCACCAAAGGAGATGGGCTCAGACCTCTCCGGCATGCCTAAGGCCCCCTGGGATGGGGAGACCCCTTCTTAGCATTCAGGTCCCAGAAAGGTCAGAGCCTCAGGGTTCAGCCTGAGTCTTTGGACTCCCTCCCCACCTTACCATGCAGTATGAAGAAGGTCTTGGGGTTAAACCTGTTGGGGTCCAATCCATCCAGCTCCTCCCAGACCTCCTTCAACTGGGCTTGGCTGCCCTGTGGAGGGGAGAGCCAGGGGCTCATGAGCAAGACATCTAGGTACCCCCATCCCTCTAATGCCATTCTCCTTAAGCAAGAAAACTAAGAAACTATAACTCCCAGTATTCCCTGGGGGTAGCTGGGCATATTAAAGGGGACTTTTTTGCCTCATAGTCTGCTGGGAGTTGTAGTTCTTCAGCTACTTTGTCTTGTGGCCAAAGAGTTGAACTTGGAGGGAGTGGGCATGCTAGGGTCCTTACAGGCACATTGACTTTGGGGTGCTCTCGGTGCCGGCGCTGCTGCTCTTCCAGCTTCCTCTCTGCCTCCTTTCGCTGCTCTTCTCCCAGTGACTCCAGATAACGGCGTCTCTCATGTTCCTTGAGCATCTCATAGCGTTTGAATTCTTCATGATGGGCTGCATCATACTGGGCAAGGTCCCGGGTGGCCTGGGCAAAGGAGGACAGGCACTCTCATCTTGTCTCTGTGCCCAGCCCCTGATGCCAGCCTCCCAATGCCTGGCCCTTGGTCCTGAATCCAGCCAAAGGCAGCCCCACCCTCCACCCTGTCCTGGGTCTCAAGTCCTGAACTCACTTCTTGGTCTCTATGACCGCTCTTGCCCCGTAGCACAGCCTCCTCTCTTTGTTCAAAAGAGATTGGGATGAGTCCATGATAGCAACTCTAACCCCCCAATTTCAAGTCCTCCACAATCCCAAGATCTTGGAGGAATAATGAGGAACAACACACCAGGTGGACTTAATATAGAAGGCAGTATAGCTAGGCGGTAAAGAACATGAATTCTAATGATCCTGCCCAGGGTTCAAATCCAGGCTCTCCTGTGTGCACAAACCCCACAAGCTGTGTGATCTTGGGCAAGTGACTCAGCCCCTCTGTGACTCTGTTTCCACCTTTGTAATATGGAGAGAACAATACTATACTGGGGTGTGTTCCCCCAAAGTTCATGTCTACCCAGAACCTCAGAATGTGACTTTATTTGGAAAGAGGATCTTTGCAGATGTAATTAGTTAAGATGAAGTCTGACAGGAATATGTTGGGCCTTAAATCCAATGACTCGCGTCTTCATAAGAAGGCTAAGATGAGACACAGGGGAAATGCCAGGTACAATGGAGGCAGAGACTGGAGTGATGTGTCTACATTCCAAGGACTGCTGGCAGCCCCCAGAAGCTGGAAGGGACAAGGAGAGGATTTTTTCCTGAAGCTTCTGAAGAGAGCAGAGCCCAGCTAAAACCTTGGATTTGGCCCAGTGGTAGCAGTTTTGGACTTCTGGCCTGCAGTACTGTGAGCCAACACTTCTCTGTTGTTTTAAGTCACTGAGTCTGAGGTCATACGTTACAGCAGCCACAGAAAAGTAATACATCTAGTAAGACCTTCTGACTACTGACATGCACTGAAAGATAATAAATCTCTGTTGTTTTAATTTACTGAGTTTGTGGTCATTTGTCACACAGCAGCAATAGAAAAGAATACAGCTCTCGTGCGGAGAATAGATGGTACAGCAGGCATTCTCATCCTGGGGCAACTGTGGCCTGCAGGGGACAGTTATCAATGTCTAAAGACATGTTTGGTTGTCACAACAGGGGGAGGTCTGCTGGCATCTAGTGGGTAGAGGCCAGGGATGCTGCTGAACGTCACACAACACAAACTGCCCCAAATGTCAAGAATTACCCAGCCCCAAATGTCAAGAGTACTGAGTTGAGAAATCCCACTAGCAAGCAGGGAGGCAGTATAGGAGCCCAATGATGAAGCGACTACGAAAGATGATAGGAGTCACAACCAGGTGAATGACAGTGGGGCTAGAAATATGTGGACAGTTTCTGGAATGTTCTGGAAATAAGAGGCAAAAACTTCCTTCAGGGACTGGACCCAGTGCTGGGCATGGACTCAATCAAACAGGTGCTACTATCTCGTGGCCACTAGGCGGCGCTCCAGTAATCCCATAAAAGCAGGGCCCTGGGCCAGGCTGCGGGGTGCTTCTCTCCAGCAGGTGCTGGGGGGCTATGGAAGAGTTCTGAGCAGGGGAGAGGCAGGGGCAGGCCTGGACCTCCTCTTCCACCCCCGAATCCCTCACTTGACCTTTGCTATAAGATGAGGCTGAAGATCCTATTTTTCAGATGGCTGTATTCCTACGGCTGCTGTAACAAATTATCACAAACTTGGTGGCTTAAAACAACAAACATTTATCACCTTACAGCATGGAGGCCAGAGGCAAGAAATGAATTTTACTAGGCTGAAATCAGGGTGCCAGCCTGGCTGTGCTTCCTTCAGAGACGCTGGGCAGAACCTCTTCCTTTGTCTCTTCCAGTTTCCAGGGCTGTCTTCCGCGCGTGTGGCCCCTTCCTCCATCTTCCAAGCCAGCAGTGGAGCGCCTGGCTTCAGTTGTCACATCGCCTTCTTCTGTAGTCAACCCTCTCTCTGCCTCCGTCTTATAAGGAGCCTTGTGATTTAGGGCATACTGGATAATCCAGGATAATCTTGCTATCTCAAGATTCTTAATTTAATCACACCTGCAAAGTCCCTCTTCCCTTCTGAGGTCGCACATCAGGTCTGTGGACTAGGACATGACATCTCTGGTGGGGCCCATCATTCTGCCTACCTCAAGGGTGCAGAGGGGATAGTCCCCACCTCAAATCATCTGGGAAGGGCAATACAGGGGAAGGATTTGAAACCACGTCTGAGCGGAGCCAGGCCTGTCCTGCCTATGCCTCTGCTTTCCTGTAGAGGATCTGGGGAGGTCTTTTAGATACCACCCGGCCCTCAACAGCCTCCAGCCTCAGAGAATGCCAGGCAGGGGTGGGCGGGCTTATTTGCCAGGCTCCATTCCCTTCTTCCCCTCCACAAAGCTTCCCTCAGTCCTCTGCCTGTAGGGCCCCCTCATGCTACCGTCTGGATTAGCAGCTCCAGGTCCCGGGCCTCAAACGTGTGCTGATTCTGAGGGTCCAGGTGTTCAAACTGCTTCAGGAGGCTCAGGTGATCCAACTGTATGTCTGGATGAGGAAGAAGAGGAAAAACAAAAACCACTCACGGAATGTCCTTTCTTTGAAAATCCCTAACCAGGGCCTGGTGTGCTCTAAAAGAGGCCACAGAAGGCCCTGGGGAAGCCCAGAGGATGACCTGACTGAGCTGGAGGAAATCAGGGAGGGCTTCTGGAAGGAGGCCCTGCCACAGCTGAGTTTGATGCTTAAAATAAAAATAACCATCATAATAACTAGCATGTATTGAGCACTTTTGTAGGCCAGGCCCTGCTCTAAACACATTATTAATGCATTTACTTTTCACAAATATGCCACAACACAGTTTCTATGATAATCTCATTTGATGGATGTGAAAAACTGAGGCCCAGAGGAGGGGGAGTGACTAGTCCTGGTCACTATCTAGGAAGGGTCAGAGTGAGGGTTAGAGCTGGTCACTGGGCTCCAGAGCACAGGCACTCTCTCCTTGTTACAGGGTTGAACTGTGTCCCCTGCAGTTCATTTGTTGAAATCCTAACCCCAAGCACCTCTGGATATGACCTTATTTGGAGAGGGTCTTTACAGGAGAGATCAGATTAAAATGAGATTAGGATGTGTCCTAACCCCATGACTGGTGTCCTTATAACAGGGGACATTTGGACAGAGACTCACATAGAAGGAAGATGGGGTGTAAAAGACATTGGAAAATGACTGCCAACAAGCCAAAGAACCCACAGTGGATCCCCCTCAGCCTCAGATGGAATCACCCTGCGGCTCCTCGACCTTAGACCGCGGGCCCTCAGACTGAGATGAGAAATGACTGTTGCCGAAGCCCCCCAGTGTGGGGCGCTCTGTTACAGCAGTTCTAGCAAAGTAAAGCAACCTCCGAGGATGCAAATTTCTGAGCTGTTGGGCTTCCAGGAGGGAAATACTCAACAGCCACTCATTCACCTCCTGGATTCAGCCATGGGCTGGGCCTCCCGTGGCTCCGGGCTGATGGAGGTGACAGACACACGTATAGATGGCTGGAATCCAGTGACTAGTGCTGCAGCAGAGGCGGCTGTGGCCTGGGTGAGCCCAGAGGAGGGACAGGCGCTCAGGAGACAGGCAAAGATCAAATCTCAGGATTCATTATCTACGCCACACTATGTTGAGTCCCTCCTCTGGGCCCGATCCCCTGGACACAGCAAGAACCCAGCACCTGCTTCCCAGAGCACCCAGTCAAGAGACAGAACAGGCAACCAAGGGGCAAGCACAGGACCAGTAAGGACTCAAACAAGCAGGGGCTCCTCCCTGCAGGACGGGCAGGGCAGGACTCTCTGAGAAGGTGACATCTGAGACTGAAGCTCAGGCAGCCAGGCAGAGCCTGGAGAGGGTGTCCCAGGCAGAGAGAAGCACCCGTGCAAAGGTCCCCAGGTGAGAAAGATGATGCTAAAAATGCTGAGGTGTGAGGGTCCGGCACAGGGTGCCCGTGTGGAGGGAGGGGCTGGGCGGGGCTTGGTGGCCTCCCCACAGCAAAGAGGAGCGCGTACTCGATCACCCTGGCACTGGGGAGCCACAGCAGGTTCTGAGCAGAGAAGAGACAGGACCTGAACTGGATCTTGTGCTGGGCTGAAAAACAGACCCCAAGAAATCCATGTCCTAATCCTGGAACCTGTGAATGGGTGACTTCACATGGCAAAAAGGGCTTTGCTGATATGATTAAATTAAGGGTCTTGAGATGAGGAGCGGATCCTGGATTCGTAATCATAAGGGTCCTTATAAGAGGGAGATCTGACTACAGTGGAAGGCAGCTGCCAGCCTTGAAGGTGAAAGAGCAGCCACCAGCCAAGGAACGCAGCTCTGGCCGCTGAAGAAGGCCGGGAAACCGACTCTCCTCTGGAGCCTCCGGAAGGAACAGCCCTGCTGACACCTTGACTTGGGCCCAGTGAGACTGACTTCAGACTGATCTTCAAATTATACGGGAATAAATGTGTGTTACCTTAAGCCACTAAGTTTATGTGAGCTGTGGTTTCAGCGGCCATAGGAAATGAGTGCAGGTGTTAAGAGGATCCACTGGCTTCTGTGTGGGAAGCAGAACAAAGAGCAGGAAAGCAGGGTGGCAGCAGGGGGCCCAGGGAGGAGGCAGCTGCAGTGATCCACGCAGGACCGAGTGGCAGCAGTGCCTGGGACAGAAACGGCCAGGTTCTGGAGTTATTATGAGTTGCCGAAGGGAGCATAGTGTGTGGGAATAACAAGCTGCCAATGAACGAATAACTTTCTCTCATTCGTGAAAGGGAACATCTACCTTACCAGAGATCAATCAGACTCCAAAACTCTAACAATTTCGACAGCTTGGCAGAGAAGGCATGGGTGTTGGTGTAGGAGGCTGGACACCATGCCTGTCTGGCCACCTTAGAGCTCCAGCACCTGCCCAGAGCCTGGCACAGGGTAGGACTCAAGCCATGACCGATCAATGGATAAAGGGAGTCAGACAGAAATAGAAACTAAGCCCAGCTCTCCTACAGACCCTTGACTCCATCAACCAACGCTCAGGGTCCCCCATCTTTAACACGGGAGCCTCATGGGGCATTAGGAGATGAAAGTTGTAGGTGAATTTCAACAAGGGGGCACAATACACTTACACTTAGAGATGGGCAGAAATGTGGCCCTGCTGGGGCACCAGAACACACCACAAAGCTACAATAAGTAAAATAGCACAGTCCTTAGCGGCCGAAGGGTACACACAACCCACATGTCCACTAACAGATGAATGGCTGAATGAGACCTGGTAGATCCAGACAATAGAATATTCCTTGACCCGAAAAAGGAATGAAGTTCTGACACACGCTACAGTGCGGATGAACCGTGAAACTATCATGCTAAGTGGAAGATGCCAGTAACAAAAGGTCACATACCATATGATTCCAATGTGCAGGGAAGGCAAAACCATACAGACAGGAAGGCTAGCGGTTGCTGGGGTTGGGGTGGGGGAACCGGGGTGGTAGCAAATCTGTTAATATACTATAACCCACCAAATTGTATACTTTAAATGGATAAATTGTATGGCATGTGAATTATATCTCAATAAAACTACTTAAAAGAAATAGCATGGTCCGGATGCACACTCCAACAGATCATGCCTAGGACTGTTAGAAATGGGACAGGATCTTGTAATCAAAACCCACCCACCCCTTTCTCTTCCAGACACGTTTTTTTTTTTTTCTTTTTTAGCCAAATAATCAGACTATAAAATGCAGTCTCTGATATAAATGCCAGGAAACTGGACTCATTCCAGTTGGGAAGAGAGTAACTAAACAAGGAAAAAATGCAGACTTCCTTGATCAGTGTGCTGGGGTTACATGGGGCAATGACGGAGTCCTGAGGTGGAACATCCTGGAATATTCAGCCATAAAGGGATATGGTGTCTACCGGGAACTCACAAACGTGAATGAAAAGCAAACAGAGCTGCTCATATGTGGAGAGACTGGGTTAAGGGTATTTGGAAGGTTTTCTTGTGCTATTCTTGCAACTGTCCTGGAAATTTGAGGTTGTATCAAAACTTTAAATGACAGCGATTCAAATTAATTAATTAATTAATTAATTAATGAAAATAACTCCAACCGACCAACATGTTAGCAGTAGATTGTTCTGGGAAGAAAACCTGAGCAAGCTTCCATGCCCATTTTCTGGGGGAGGCGCCACCTGCCTGGCAGAGTCACCTGAGGCCCAGGGGGGCTGCCCCACCCACCCCTGCTCACTGGGCTCCTGCTCTGCGTCCATCTTGGCCTTGAGCAGCATCCGCAGCCGGGACACCTCCTGCCGCTTGAGCTCGTCCAGCTTGGTGCGGACATGGTGGCTGACGAAGTCCAGCTCCCGGCTCAGCTTCCCGCTCTGCCCGGACAGAGAGGGGATGCTGGTCAGGCTGTGGGCCTGGGAGGGGGCACGCAGGGAAGCCTCCTCCTTCCTCTGCTCTCTCTGGAACCTTCTACAAGCTTTTTGATGCCCCCAGGGCTCCTGAGACAAGTTCCCAGCCCCTCAACCTGACATTTGAGGTGCTGCCCACCTCTGCAGCTCCATCTCCTGTCATTCATCATTACGCTCAGTTCCAGCAACACTAAACCGGACATAGGTGCCCACATTCAAGGCTCTTTTCCACCTCCTGGCCTTTGCACATGTTGTCTCTTTGGTCTGGGATTCTCTCTCATCCCCACTTTTCAAGCCTAAACAAATCCTCACTGTCCTTCAAATCTAAAAGCAGAAGACACCTCCCTTGGGAAGAATCTCCCGGCAACCCCTGGCCCCTACAAACACACACACACAGTGCTGAGGAGGGTCTTCTCTGAGCTACCTTTTCTGTCACTTCAGATTGTGTCTGGTTCTCAGTCAGGGCCGCCCCCCTGCTCACAGTTCCCCATGGCTCCCCAGTGCCCCAGGATTGAATCCCTGTGCCTGCCAAACCCTGTACCCACCCACCCCTTCAGCCCCACCTCTCTGTCTTTATGTGAGTTAAAAGGAACTACCAGCACGCAACTGATGATACCAGAATGCTTCATCTGTACACATAGTTCCTACAGTCTGAAATGCCAGCCCCCCCCACATTTGTCCTCGTCCATCACAGACACTCCCACTCAGACTTCTGGCCTCGCTTGAGGGGATCCCTTCCCTAGAAGCCCTTTCTCACTGTCAGACTGGACTGGGCCCCCCCTGGGGCTCCTCCAGCACCCTGCGTGATCTTCTTATTGCTCAGACCGCTTTCTCAGGCACAGTGTCCCATATCCAACTCTCCAGGCTATGCGTCCATGTGTGCAGCCCCCGCAGAGGCAGCAGGACAAGGTGACCACGGTGACAGTCATATTAGCCTCCACCAGTCAGGCACCTTCTATGGGCCAAGCCCTGTGCTGGACTCAGAGTCCATTCTCTAATCCCGCCCACAACCCATTTTACAGATGAACAAATGGAGGCCTAGAAGAAGCCACTTGCTCAGGGTCCTTCGGAGGCCAGTTTCCAGCCTGGTGACCAAGTTTGGTGTCATGTCTCCTCAGGCTCATGTCCTGGGGCCCGAGTTCAAACCCTGGCCCAGGCACCACTTCCCTGTGTGACCCCAGCACACCCTTTTCCTGCTCCGGACCTCAAAAACCAGTGCTGATATTATTATCACCAACAATGACGATGGCTGACACCACAGGCTTACACTGTGCCAGCCAAGTACCTGAAGTGGGCATTACCTCTGATTCACACAACCAGCCTCACAACAGAGAGAGTGTTACACCGGCCTCACCATTTTGAGAAGAAAACTGAGGCTCAGAGCAGGGACAGCCATGCCCCAGAGATTGTGAGGGGCAGCTGGGGTTGGACCCTGGCACCATCCCGCTTCAGAACCTGCCTGCCTAACTGGCCACTCTGTTTCCAAGATGTGTGACCTTGGGCCGGCTAGGTGGGCCTCAGATTCCCTGGCTGGGCCGTGGCAGGGGCTGGACCCAGCAATGCCTTGTTTTGGCCGTCCTTTGTCTGTGGGGCTGGGTGGCTGAGGACCGATGAGAGAGCCCCAGGACTGCTGGGAGTTTCAGGGGAGCAGGACCACCTCCCCAGCAGTCCCAGGCCCTAGGGCCTCTCCTGGGCCAAGGCGTTTGGAGAACTTGTAGCTCCTCCAGGCAGGACATCCCCACATGCACCCAAGCAGGGAGGGGAGTCTGTGTGGGGTCGGGAGGCGGAGCAGCAGTGGGCAGCTGTGTCTCCTCACTGGGAGGTGCCAGCATCCTTTCCCAGGCTTGCTGCCTGGGGACGGGGTGGGGCATGGGCACCAGGCTCAGCCAGCCCAGGGGTGAGACCCAGGCCTGCAGGAAGCACAAACGCTGCTATCAGGGCCTCTGTATCTGCCTCTAAATAGAGATAATCACAGCTCCTTGGAGGCCTGATATGAGAATTAGAGGTGATATGAGTGATCACAGCTTGCTGTGGGTTTGACTTCTTATACAGAGAGCACCCAGCTGAGGCTCACTTGGACGGGCACCCAAAGATACTAAGGGCTGCTACTGTGCACCTTGAAGCCCTTTACACGTCTTACCTCGGCCAATCCCAACCTGAACCCTGTGAGGCAGGTTCTATCACTACCCCCGTCTACAGATGGAGAAGCTGAGGCACGGCGAGGGGAGGTCACCCATCTGGTAAGTGACAGAGCCAAGACTGGAAGCCTGCACCTGACACCATGCATAACCACCTTCTGTTCCCCAGATCCCTTCCCGGCTGCATGACTCTGAGAAGCGACTCCTCAGTTCTGTGAAGGTTGGAGCCACATGGCCCGTCTCGGGCACCCAGTCCGTTCTCCACTCAGCCTTCCGACCGCACATTCCCTCCCACCTCCCCTGCACCCAGACACACCTTGATGTCCTCAGCGTTGGCGGCCTGCAGCTTCTCCCGGAAGTGCCCGTCCGTCTCCAGCACATTGATGACCTCCTGGAGGTACCGGTGGTAGTACAGACCTGTGTCCTGCAGTGACAAGGATGAGTATAGCAGCCCCGCCCCTCTGTGGCTCCTCCCTGCAGGTAGGACCCAGGCCCCACTGCCCTGGGAACCTGAAGACCCCTCTAGGAGCCTGTGCTCCAAGGCCAGTGGGCAAAGGCTCTGGGGTCAGCAGACCCTCTGGAACCCCAGGCTAACTGCCTGGATCTGGGTCCCAGCTCTCACCTCTTCCCAGGTCTGTAGTGGAGACAAAATGAAATGAAAATCACACAGGGAAACACCCAGGCCAACACTGCCCATAGTGTGGGTGCGCGAAGAGCAAACACACTGGTATTTGCTGGCAAGCAGTGAAACATACATTCACTCAAAAAGCATTCACAGAGCCCCTGCCATGTGCCAGGCACTGTTCTAGGGGATACAGTAGATGAATCAGACAGACAAAAATCCCTGGGCTCCTGGTCCTATCCCCACTATGCATAGGAGACTGGCACTTCCCTTACCCTTGCATATGCAAAATGCACAGTGAATTCCCTACCCCTCAGGGCAGTGGTAAAACGCAAATGAGAGAAATGGCCTGACACTATAGCTATCGTTACATATACAGAGAGGCACACAGCAGGCGCTTGTTAAATGGTAGCAGATCACCCAGCTGTGCCACTGTACGTGTACCAATTTTCCACTGCGTCAGTAACGAAGTGTTGCAAACTAAGTGGCTAGAGCAACATGCAATCTATTCTCTTACAGTTCTGGAGGTCAGAAGTCCAAAATGAGTTGGCAGGGCTGAGTTCTAGGAGAGAAGCTGTTTCCTTGCCTTGTCCAGCTTCTGGAGGCTTCCAGCATTCTGCAGACCCTTGCTTGGCAATCACATGACCTCCAAACTCTGACCTTCCTGCTTCCCTCTTACAGGGAGCGCTGGCGATTACATTGGGACCACCTGGATAACCCGGGAAAATTTCTCCACAACAGCCTGAACTCAATCACACCTGCAAACTCTTTTGCCATCAAGGTGATACATTCACAGGTTCTGGGGATTAGAGCACGGACATCTTTGGAAGCCACTATTCAGCCAAACACAGTAGGTCAAAATCCCAAATCTGCCAATTACTAGCTACGTAATTGTTAGGGCTGCTAGGATGCCTACTTCAATTTACATTTCATATAAACAACAAATAACTTTTAGTATAAATACATTGCATGGGGTGCGCTTATACCATTAATTATTCACTGTTTATCTGAAGTTCAATTTTAACTGGGTGTCCTGTGTTTTTACTTGCTACATCTGGCTACCTCAGTCCTTGGGCATGTTACTAACCTCTCCATGCCTCAGCTTCCTCATCTGTAAAGTAAGGGTAATGAGCAACCATCTCAGAGGGGTTGTTGTAATATGCCAGTATCTTAAAATATTTAACACAGTGCCTGGAACTTGGTAGGAGTTTTCAATGTAATTGCCATTTTTGTTACTGATGTTTATAAACCTCTGTGCTTTCTATTAGCCTGGAAAAGGAAATTCTCCATAGCCCACAAGACCCTCCATGTTCTGTCCCTGTCCCCCATTTTGATCTCATCTCCCTGGGCTTGCTCTGCTCTAGCCACACTGGCCTCCTCCAAGTCTTACTCACTCTGCTCTCCCCAACTACACAGCCTTTGCCCAAGCTGTTCCCTCTGCCTAGAATGTTCTTCCCTGCATTTCAGGTCCCAGCTTAAGTAAGTAACCCATCCTCCCTGACCACCACCCCTGGTGTTCATTCCCAGGGACCTCCACCATTTGTCCTCCCAGCACTCAAGGCAGGTCTGTGAGGGTATGGGGCTTGTACTAGCACTGTGCCTGGCTCATAGATGCTCAAGAAATGTGTGGAATAAATGAAGGGGAAAGAGTCTTAAAGGTACCCTTCCAGGTCTGTGAAGACTTCACTGAGCAGAGGCCTAACTCACTGGGTGGGAGCACAGAGGAGCATGGAAAGATCAGTTTCAGAAATAGTGACAGGTGCATTCCTAGTGGGAGCTATGGGAGGATTCAGCCCTCAAATCAGATCATTAGCTTTGAAGACCTTTAAGTTCCAAACTCCCTAAGACCTGGAGGTTTCATAGTGTTTGACGAACACATGTTGGAATTAATAAATGAGTTTAAATGCCCATTTCCTAATTTAAACTACGACTCCCATAAAGCGAGACCACCTTAGTTCACTATCACCACCTGCTCAAAGTGCTACTGGGAAATGTACTTCCCCCCTCCCCCAGATCCCTTTGACTGGAGGGGTCTTAAAAGAACAGAGAGGTTTAGGTTGGGGTGATGCACATTTTTAACTTAAAATCTGACCTGATTTCCCACACAACAGAGTCAGGGACAGAAATCTGCATCTCTCCCCCGCCCCTCCGCCGCCAATTTTTCACGTCAAAGCCCAGGGACTGCAAACAACTGGCAGGCAAACTCCAAGCCGCATCCGTTGGGGCAGTATCCACCCAGGGGTCACGCGGGTCCGCGGGAATTGTAGTACCACTGCAAACACCTGGCTGGAGAGCAGGGCAGGGCCACTCACGGGGCTCTCGGTCGCGGGGCTCTCCTGCTTGGGCGCCCCCCGTTCCAGGGGCACGGCCAGAACAGCGCGCAGCAGCAGCAGCAGTGGCAGGAGGAGGGTTGCACGGGGCCCAGAGGGAGGCATGGCGGCGTGGTCTGTGGGGGGGCGGAGAGAAGGATAATGTCTGGCCCAAGCCTCGCTGTCCCCTGGAGCAGGAGTCTAGGCTCCCAGCCTCCTTTCCAAGAATCAAGACCCAAACCGTCTCATTTCCCGGGGCCCAGGATCCTGGGCCTCCAGCCTTTCCTTTTTGGGCGCCCCCCGTTCCAGGGGCACGGCCAGAACAGCGCGCAGCAGCAGCAGCAGTGGCAGGAGGAGGGTTGCACGGGGCCCAGAGGGAGGCATGGCGGCGTGGTCTGTGGGGGGGCGGAGAGAAGGATAATGTCTGGCCCAAGCCTCGCTGTCCCCTGGAGCAGGAGTCTAGGCTCCCAGCCTCCTTTCCAAGAATCAAGACCCAAACCGTCTCATTTCCCGGGGCCCAGGATCCTGGGCCTCCAGCCTTTCCTTAGACCCAAGAGTCCTGGCTCCAAGCACCCTCTTCGCTCAGACTCAGGAATCCGGGAGTTCAACCTCCTCTTACCCCAGATCCAAAGGTCCAGGCCCCCAGGCTCCCCTTTTCTCAGGATCTAGAAGTACTGGTGTCCAGCCCATCTTTGTCCGAAAGCTAGTTTCCCAGGCCTCTGGACCTCCCCCCGCCACGCCTCCTCCCCAGTACCCAGACGCCCAGGACCCCCAGCCCCTCACCTCTGCTTCACCGCAGAGGGCGATTTCCCGGGCGAGGGCCTCCGGCGCGCTCTTGGTGACACCGCCTAGTCCCCGCCCACCGCCCCCGCACAGGACCGGCCCTCGGCAACCTGATTGGTCCACGCTAGCTCCCCACTGTCTAGGGACCCGCCCCCTGCCGAAGTCGCTCGCCTTTTCTTGAAAGCCTCGCCTTCTTTCTCGGAGGTCCAACCCCTTAAACGGCGCAGTTCCGGCCTGTTAGGCGAAAGGAGAGCCGAGACTTTCAGAAAGAACTACAAGTCCCTGCAGGCCGGGGGAGAAATGAGTCAACTTCCTCGGGCTCCTCGGCTCCTTGGCTTCCTGGGAGCTGTAGTTTTTCCTGTTATTTTCTCCGTAAGACGTCGCTGCGTATTACAGATCGGTAGAAATTAGCACATGTAACCTTGTAAGTTTCTTATATCTCTCGGGACCCTTTAAGGAACACTCGCCCGCTCACCCTTCCAGTTCAGAAGCCCTGGAGCAGGGTTGCCTGGCTGCAGCAGAAGCTAGAGGTCACTTATTTATTGGAAGTAGATCGTGGGGGGCCAGGAGGGAGAGGATTTAAGGCAGGTCCCCACTGGAAATCCCCCTTCCCTCTGAGCCCTCTTTCTTCCCCTTCTCACTTTCCAGAGACCCAGAGATTAGGTCCCCAGCTCCTAAAGAGAGGGTCGGGTATGTTTAGAAACTGGCCAGAGAGATAAGGCACTGAGGCGTGAATGTGAAAGGCCTCTCCAGGCACAAGGAGAGGAGAGGAATCTCCAAGATCCTAGGCAGGTGGGTGCTGGGGGCTGAGATAGCAGGGGGGCTGGGGTCACTGGGGGTCAGTGTTTGGGGCCCAGAGTCTTGAGTTCCCATGCCTGGGTTTAGGAGAGAGTTAGGTATTTGGAGGAGAGAGAACGGATAGTGAGGAAAGCTGGATATAGGCTGCTGGATCGCTGACAGGATTAGATGTTGGAATTCCGGTTGCCTGGGACCAGGAGAAAATGTAAAGCTTAAGATCAAATGTTGGAGCATACAGTCCTCTGGAATGTTGGGTCTGGGTCTTGACTCATCATTCTTGCTTCTCCAGAATGTCTCAGGAGAATAACCCATGGTCGAAAGAGTGCGTGGGGAAACGAGATGGGCAGGGGTGGAGATGGGGGTACAAGAGGAACACAAAGTTTGATTTTGCCTACACCCACTCAGCTCTGGCCCTATAACCTAGTTTGCAGGTTCAGCATCATCAGCCTTTCAGGAAGGGGCTGGGGACCTGGACTTCTGTGTGCTAAAGGGAGGAAGTGTCTGAAAGAGGAGGGACTGGGTCCCTGGACCCTTGGGTCTTGAGACCAGAGGAGCCTGAGATCTCTGACTCCAGGATTCTAAACAAGCCAGTGTTGGGAGAAAAAGCTTCAGAACTGGTGAAGCAGGCTCAGGTTCTGCACCAAGTGTGACTGCACAAGTGCTCAGAACCTTAAGTTGGGCAGGGGGAAGGAGGGGAAGGAGGGTTTTTGGGTAACCTGGGTGCCCTGCTCACTGTCACCATGAGTGTGCACCTCTCTCAAAACCCTGGGGGATGAGCTAGCCGCCATGAGGCTGCAGAAGCCAAAACAGCAGGTACTATGCCCTGGAATCCTGCCACCCCCTCTTCCATCTTCCATAGCTCCTCAGGAGCCCTACCTACCCCTAGAACTTGCTCTAGGACTCCTGCCCTCTTTGGCTCTCTCTTAGCCCTAGGTTCTGCGACTGGGAAATGAGAAAATAGAAATTCCAGATCCTAAATAAGCAAACTTCAAAGCTGAAACTCCAAAATTTCCAAAGAATAAGGGTTCTGGAGGGCAGGACTCCTAAGTACTAGGGGAGGTGGGGACTGAGTGCCAGGACTTCCCGCTCTGAGGAAGGAGGAGAGACTGAAGGCTTGGACTCCTGGAACTTCCCCCATCCTGGACTCCAGGGCCCCCTTCACCCCTGTCTTCCTGTCTGGTACCCCCCGACCACACACCCCTTTCCCGCTCCCGCAGAAGAAACAGCGACGGAAGCGCCAAGAGCCCTTCATGGTTCAGGCCAATCCTGACGCTTCCCTGCGGCCGCGGTGACCGTGGCGGCGGGAGATGCGCCTCGCGGGTGACAGCGGTGCGGAAACTTTCCTAGTGTCCCCCCGGAGCGGAGGCCTGAGGGGGCGGGTTTCTGGGAGGAGGGGAAGGGGTCTAAAGGGCTCAGATGGGAGGCTCCTGGCAGAGCCCTGAAATGGGACTTAGTAGAACACCCAGGCTGAGCCCAGGGGACCCCGGATGCACGACCTGTGGGGGCTCAAGTGCTGGACGTGTGAGAGTTCGGGGGCCGGGGGCAGTGGGGGGATGGGGCGCGGTGCAAGCGGGGATGGGGCGACGGGAATCCTATGATTGGGCGTGGTAGAGCTCTAGGGCGGAGCCTGAGGAGAGCTGGGGGGCGGGACCTGGAAAAGCTGCGAGACTCAGTTTGGGGGAGATCGAGGGCGGGGAATTGGCAAAGCCCCGGGGGCGGGTCCTGGAGAGACTGCCTGACGAGAGATTGGTTGTGTACCACCGAGTCTGAAACAATTTAGCGGCAGGACTGCCTGCTTGAGTCTTTGGATGGAATTTGGGTTCTGAATGGGTCTCAGGGGTTTGGGTGGTCAGTCAGAGGCGATGTCTATGAACCCTGTGAGGAGGCACATCTTCTTCGCAGAGGACCGGAATTTGTACATCGTGTTAATGGGCCTTGCTGCACCTTCTCCCAGGCCTCGGGAACCCTTTCCTCCAGGAGAATGTGCCAGAGGCACATCTGCACTGTGCGGCCCACTGTGCCCTGGGCACCGCGAGCTGTGATGGAGATGGCAATAGCGACGGTGGCCTCCAGGCGTCGCCGACAGAAGCAGGGAATCACTACCTTGGACGCCTATACCCTAGAGTTCCACTCGCACTAGAACCCAGGAGTATGGACCCTCCATCCTTGCTCTCCAAAGGAACCAGGAATTCAGGCCCCTGTCGACCCTGTCATCCCTCATACCAAGGGCCCAGGTCATGAACCTCCTCCTTCTCCCACACCCAGGAATCTGAATATCCAGCTCTTTCCTCCCTCAGTAATCAGAAATTCCGGTCTCCATTCCCCCTGCCTATCCTGGCTACCAGACAGTTCTGATCCGGAGTTGGAGAAAGTTTCCGTGGAGGATGTTCCCGCCTCTCCATCTCTTTATAAAGAGCCTCCTGGGACTCCACGCACTGGTTGGCTAGCCCACCAAGGACCTGGTTATTTGGGCGACATTGTGTGAAATCTGGTGCCCTCGTCCATGTGGCAAATCTTCCTTTTGTTTGCAATAGCTTTATTGAAATACATCTCACATACCGTACAATTCGCTCATTTAAGATTTGCAATTCTTTGTTTTTAGTATATTTAGAGATGTGCAACCGTCATGACAATAAATTTTAGAACATTACCATTACCCCGGAAGGAAACCCTGTGCCTTTTATCGGTTACCCCCCTCCTTCCCCATTTCTCCCAGCACTGGGCAACCACTAATAAATATACTTTCTGTCTCTTTAGATTTGCCTATTCTGGACATTTCATATAAACAGAATAATATATGATCTTTTGTGTCTTCTTTTGCTCAGCATGTTTTTAAGGTTCATCTATGTTGTGACATTAATATTTCATTTCTTTTTATTTCTTAATATTATTCTATTGTAGTGACATTTCCTTTACTCTCATGACATGACCAACCAGTGATTTCAATAACAGGACTTTTATCACCCCAAATTGTACTCCCCCCTTCCCACTTTAGTTCCCCAGTCTCTCCTATGCTCTCTCTGGGAAAAGGGAAAGGGGGGACTCTAATGCCCCTTGTCCTTAGACCCAGGGCAGTCAGAGACTTCTAACCCGTCTACATGGAGGAGGAGGGGGATCTAGCAAGTGAAGGCGATGAGTAATATAAGGAGCCAGAAGCTCAGGAATTCTGGCCTTCTCCAGCTAGCACTGGTGAACTTGTCACAAGCTTCTGGGACCCAGGTGTCCTGAGCTCCATCTTCTGGCTTCTTCCACGACTTAGGGGCCAGTGCAGAGGAGGAGTGTGAATCCCAGGATGTTGGAGATGAATACGAGGCATCCAGTCTCGGACCAAACCCTGGAATGAAGAGTGGCTGGGGACGTGGACACTTGGCCTCCAACAAGGTGGGAGGTGGCACAGCCAATCAGGATGTAGGAAGAAGAGGCCTAGCCTCAGACTCCAGGGAGTGTGGGGCTAAAATTCTACTGCCCAGTCAGAGGCTCTTTTTACTGGTGAGTGGAACCTGTTATGATTGGGCTCGCAGAGGCTCTGCGTGTTCACCATTTGTGAAGTCAATCTAGGAGATTTGCACTGATGTGAGCATATATATTTAAATCTAGTCCACCGAAGGGCAGCAAGCTTTGGAGAGGGTGAAACAGTTATAGGGAAGGGCCAGTAGTCACTCACTTTGGTATTGATGGAAGTTAGATAGTTTCAGTTGGGTAGATCTGGGCCATGTTATCTGTTATCTAGGCCGAATCAACACTAGCTGAATGGGCACTCTTTTCAAAGGGATTCTCCAATCTGTAGAGGAAGTGGACGTGGCCTCAGAGGGTTGGCCAATCAGCAGGTGGCCGAGATATTTGACCTGTAGGCAGAAAACATGGTTAGAGAGGGCGTAAACCTGAGCTGGGATGGCCAATTTGTAGTTGACAAGGCCAGGCGGGCCGTGTGGCGGCGGATCTCAGCTGTTCAACTTAAATTTGACTCGTGGGCTAGGACGAAGACCTGGATAACAATAAAAAGTCGGAGTCTACATTGAGGAACTCACCAGGAGCGATCGACGAGCAGGTGTTTGACGCCATGGAAGGTAGCAGCGATGTGGGGAGGTCGCCCCGCTCGCCTCCCCGCGCCCCAGGCCCTCGACTGGGCAAGGATAAGGAAGCGTACGTGCTGCGGCCGGCGCTGCGCGGCCGCACGGTGCAGTGCCACATCAGCCGCGACAAGCGCGGCGAATTAAAGGACTTGTTCCCTTTCTACTATCTGTACCTGGAGGCGGCTGACGGCCGGAAGGTACGGTCTGGCAGCCTCGGGAGCAAGCCCCACCTCCCAGGGGCAAGTCCCGCCCCTTTCTGAACGAGGGCAAGACTTGTACGAATCCAGGTCTTGCTCGTCATTTAGCTAGGACCTGTGAATTCCAATGCCAAGCCATGCCATTCACAGAACTAGGCTCCTTTCCCACTGGCACAGGCTACCCAAGTCCAAAACCCAGCTCTGTCCATTCTGGTGATGGGCCCGCCTTTCTCAAATTCAGACCACTCCCTCTCAAGGTCCAAAATGCCACTCCTTGCAGACCCTTTCGAGGTATTGGCCCCATCCCTTTCGGTCCAAGTCTGGCCCTTCACCTAACCTTCTTTGCTATCAGGTCTCACCCAATCCTGGGACAAGCCCCGCCCCTCAAGAGTCAAGCCCTTTTTCACGTGGACTTCCCATTCCAGAGCCAACTCACTCCCCTCCCAGTCTGGCCAGTACGCTCTCCGGTTTATCTCCCAGAAAAAGGCATTTTTCCCTATTCAGTGCCAGACCTGTTTTTTACCCGATGAAACGCCTAACCAAAGGCCTGCTGAAATGTCCCAAGTGAGGTTCCTTCCTATCCTCCAAAGCCAGGCCCTGCCTGGGCTCAGCCCTGACCCCAGACCCAATGGCAGGAGGAGTAAGAGGGAGACATTAAGGTGTAAAGCTCCCCGTCAGGACCCAGCTGGTGACTTCCTTCAGTGAGAACCACTTCTCTCAGCAAGGCTTGGGATGCTTATTGCTCCATTATCCCTCTGTCACAGGTTCATGGTGTTTCTGGTATCTAGCCCTAGATAGATTCTGATGGGCTGTTCTCCACCCACAGCACTTCCTTCTGGCTGTGCGCAAGAGAAAAAAGAGCAAAACCTCTAATTACCTCATCTCCCTGGACCCCACAGACCTATATCGGCATGGGGACAACGTAGTGGGCAAAGTCAGGTGGGCAGATCGCTGATGTGTGTGAGAAACAGGTGGCAGGAAGCCTGGGGGTGGTGGTGCAGGAGGGAAAAATGGAACTACATTTCCCAGCAGGCCACGGAGCCCAAGTTCTACCAGCTCTAGGACCTTTTCACTTAGAGACTGATGGGTTCTGTAGTGCTTCAGGTTGTAGTCCCAGGGTGGTTGAGAATAGAATAAACAATGGTTTGGGAGCAGAGACTGGTATTTGACTTCCTGAAAGTCAAGGGGCTGGGACTCCTAAATTCATCCTAGAGGGAATAGGGTTTCTAAAGGGCCAAGGCAGGAGGCTAAACATGATGGTTCATCAAAGAGAGAGAGGGGGCTGGAACTGTGGATGCATGGGAATATGAGTTACATACAGAATTGTTGGACCACATGATGAGATGACACAGCAAAGTACTTATATTATAGAGTCAAACAGTATTATTTTTATTCTGGCCTCTGCCCTCCTGGAGCATATCTAATATCTTAGGCACCAAGTTCATTATCTTCGATAATGGGGTGAATCCAGAAAGGAGGAATTTCTTCCCAGAGACTGCTCGGATAAGGGAAGAGCTGGGGGCTGTGTATTATGTGAGTGTCCGGGGGTAAATGAGAAAGAATGGGGAGTGGGGAGGGAGAAAGAGCCAGGCCAACTGAGGGATAAATACCCCCAGGAGACCAACATCTTGGGATTCCGAGGGCCCCGGAAATGACTATGATCATTCCAGGAATCGACGCCGAGAACTACAGAATCAGCGTTCAGCCACAATATGTGAGTAGGTTAAGGTTGAGGATCTCTGGGATGTCAAGGGGGAAGGGGCTGGGGGACCAACTCTAGGTCTTAAGGGAGGAGGGGCCCAGTGGGTTGCAGAATGTCAACTGTGAAGCCAGGAGGACTTTGTCAGATTTAGGTGTCTTAGGGTGGAGAAACTAGGGTTGGAAATTACACGTCGGAGAATAAAAACTTGTAACGACGTTCCTTACTTTATCTTCTGGGAACAGGAGTCGCTACTGAGCCGCCTCCAATGCGGGGCCAGCCATGGGCTGGTCGTGCTGCAAAACAAAGCCCCGTGGTGGAGCGTCCAGAGAGGAATCTACGAGTTCGATTTTAATGGTCGAGTCACTCGGGACTCGGTCAAGAACTTCCAGATCGCTCATCCCGATGATCGTGAGCTCCTAGGAGTCGGTTTACCTGGGCAAAGGGGCATGGGCGGACGAGAACTATTATTTCCATCAGCACTTGAACGTTTTTCTAGGCAAGGCCGACTCCACGCATTGCAAAGCCTCTTAGGAGCTGTAATTTACACGGCCCTCAGAGGGTTTCCGGGTTTAGCAGAGCGCCGCACAGACTTCTGGGAGTCGTAGTTCTAGCAGCAGGGAAATGAGAAGTCTGGCTAGGCTTAGTACCTGACTTCTCCCTTAGCGGACTATCTGGTGCGCCAGTTTGGCCGCGTGGCCCCAGGCACGTTCATCATGGACTTCTGCTTCCCGCTTTGCCCACTCCAAGCCTTCGCTGTCTGCTTGTCCAGTTTTGATGGGAAGCTGGCGTGTGGGTAATCCAGTAAAAATACCATACCCTCACCAGCTTTCGTGCCTCATTTGGAGAAAGGGCCCTGCATACTTTCTCTTGTACCACTTTACTAATAACCAGCACTTATTAGATTCCAGTCCTGTGATCTAGGGAGTGGGCTGTTCAGCAACATCTGCTCTTGTGGAACTCAAATTTGTGGGAGATCGGTTTTCCAGAACAAAAAGTCAAAATAATTGTCTGCTTTGAAGGAGAAAAACATATGGATGCACAAGTCAGCTGGGTCAGAGGAAGGCACCTCTGAAAAAGTGATTTTCTTACTACATCTGAAGAATCATGAGGAACTCGTTCTAGAGGGTCAGGGATGGGAACATTAGGCAGTGGACACAGCTCACACAAAGGTCTTAAGGAAGAATGGGGCTTGGTGGGTTTGGGGAAATGAAAGGGGAGTGTTGCAGGAGTCTGGGGAACCAATGCTGAGAGGGTCAGGGTATGAGACCAGACAGAGTGCAGACATATGGGCCACTCGTTGGAACTGCTGGACAGATCTTGGGGTCAGAGGAGTTCTAAGCCAGACACATAAACCTGGATGGGTAACTGAAAACATGCATGGGTGAGACAGATAAAAATTGTACTACTAGCTAACATATTTGATAAGCATTGTTTTAAATATGAACTCCTTTGGGGTCTTACAATCCTGTAAGGTATGTGTCATCGTTAGCCACACTTTACAGGTAAGGAAAGTAAGTGTATGGCCGTAGGGCTTATACATGTGAAATTGGGCAGCTGGAAACTTTGAGGAATGTAGCATATGAAGGCCTGTAGGGGGATGAGTCTTTATATTCTAGGGAGGCACAGAAACTGGAGCTTAATCCTATTTTAGGTATCAGTGAGTTCAGCTTTAAGACCCCTTGGAAAGATAATTGCCCAAGTCTAATAAAATTTAGGCAGAAGCCAAAGAAAAACTACCAAACCCACCAGCTCTTAGTTCAAAAGGAGCCTCAGGACAATTAGTTGCAGATTTGAGGGTGACAGGAAATGTAGTTTATCCTCTATTGAGGGACTCACCTTTACGCTATTTCCCTGACCCAAGTACTATTGGAAACCCTGAATACTGGGTACGGTCAGTTCAGATATACATGGTGACACTGCTCATTACAAAACAAAAGACTTTATTCCTTATATAAACCAACACATAAAAAAATCCTTAATAATAAACAAACCACATGACCTTAGTCAAACCTCTCAATGAGGTCCAAGCAAGGAGACAGAGACACACAAGGGGAGGGAGAGGCCACAGCGTGGCTCAAGGCTGTGGCATGGCTGGAGGAAACCCACAAGGCCTGGGGAGGGGCAGGTATGGCAGCCAGAGAGGGGGACGGACCTGTGAGGCGTGCCCAGGCCCTGGCCCTGGCGGCAGGGGTCAGGCAGGGACCCAGCTGCTCCTCGGCCTGGGCTATGCGGCGGGTGAAGCGGCTGCGATCTCTGGCGAGCTGCTCCCAGGGACCCTGGCGGGCTGCCCGGGCCGGACCTGCCCAGACAGCCAGGAAGTGGATGGAGACCTTCTCTGAGAAGTGCACCTGAAGAGATGGACGGGCAGAGATACAGACACAAGATACACATGACCACAAGTGGGAGTAGAGTGGGGAAAGAACAAGACAACCGGTTACACAAAAATTGCTATCTGGCTAGTTGCCCACCTGCTGCCTGATTCTCCCTGACTCACTGACCCTGGAGGTGGTTTCCTGGGGCTGACGTGAGCCACAGCTGCTCCCTCCTCCCACAGGGCCCAGCCTCTTGCAAAGGATTGCAAAACAGTGAACTGCAGCCCTCTCCTAAGCAACCCTCTGCAACACACAGGGCCCCAAGAGTGCCAGCTCCCAGACCCCTCCTCCCTGCCACCCAAGAATCAGCTCTCAGCACCCACCTTTCTGGCCCTTAGGGGAGTCTCAGGGCCTGGATTCTGGGTGGGGGTTTCTTCAGACTTGAGCCGCCTTTGCAGTCGGAGGGGCAGCCGAAGAGGAGCCCAGGGAGGTGGTGGCTTCTCCCCAGGTAAATAAATGGCCACTTGGAAGGGACAGGGCTTGGCTTCTCCCAACTCAGCAGCTTCCCCTCCCTCCGTTTCCTCCCCAGGCGGATATACCCAGCCCCTGAGGAGGGTGCTCTGGGCCCGGGGGCAGGAACCTGGCCCTGAGTTAGCTGCCCCCGCGTCTTCATCTTCCTCCTCCTCCTCCTCCTCTGTGTCCTCTCCTGGTTGATACACCCAGGCCCTCAAGAAGGCACTTGTGGATGGGAGGGAAGAGGAAGCCTCAGCACCTCCCTCTTCCTCAGCTGCTCCTGAATCACCGTCCTCATCTTCCTCCTCCTCTTCTGTGTCCTCTCCGGGCCCACACAGCCAACCCCTGGTATGTGGGCTGGAAGGGAGACCCACAGGTGTCACCAAAGCACTGTCTTCATCCTCCTCTGTGATCTTACTGGGTCGGTACTGCCAGGTCCCGAGCAGGAGCTTCTGGACTGGAACTGGGTGTGGCTCTCGGTCAGCCTCTTCGTCCTCAGTCTCCTCAGACTCCTTCCCTGAACAACACTCCCAGGCCCTGGGGCGGGAGCCGGGGGCAGATGAGAGGGAGAGAGAGGTCTTCATGGCTTCTTTATTCTCAGTTCTCACCGGAAGGCTAGGGGACAGGGGATCAGGCCGGCCAACTAGAAACCTACTTCTCTGCTCTCTAGGGACACTGGTTGCTTGTTCTCCACCAAGCTCTCCATCACCGTCACCTGAAAGTTCCCAGGGTTCAAGAAGAGGACCCATGGCTTTCAGATCAGAGCAGGCCCCCCCAGGGGGCTTCTTCGTTCTCCTCAGCTGCTCCACTGTTTCCAGCCTCCACTTCTGGGTACCTGCTCCTGGGGCCATGTTGGGTGGCCAAAGCTGCCTTAGTTTCTTCCTGGCTGAGACAGGAGGGTTTGTGGCCAGGACTCCTGGGTCCTGAGGAAGAAAGGCCCGGGAGCCCGAACTCCTGTGTCTGTCTTCGGCCAGCTCCTCTCTGATCTGCTCTGGGTACTGCTTCCACCAAGGAGGTCTCTGGAGGTCCCACGCTTCTCAGGCGGCTTCAGGCCCAGGTAAGAAGGTGCATCAGTGGGGACAGGAGGAAGAAGGGGTAGGTGTCCCTCCAAGGGGCAGACTGATGAGGCAGTTGGCCAGGGGCCATCTGTCTGGGCTGGGGGAAAGAGAGAGAAAAAGGGAATAAAGTTTAGAAGCCATTTAGGGGACTCACGGAGGGATGACCCCCTGAGTCATAGCAACAAAAATAGTAACACAAAGAGCCACGTGAGCGTCCCTACCTCACATTCCTTTCTGATCCCAGCCACTCCCATCTCTTGTCACTTGGTTCCCACCTCTCTCTTCATATCCCGGCGTCTGGGTCCCCATTTCTCTCCTTCCTTAGACCCAAGGGTCCAGGCGCCCAGCCTCTTCCCTCAGACCAAGAAGTCCCCAGGCCCAAGGACTGAGAACAAAGGTCCTTTACTTGTTTTCCTTGGAACAAAGTCCTAGTCCCTGGTTCTGAGGATTGACAAGTCAGGCCCTCATCACCCTTCTCTCTCCGAGACTCGAAACTTCGACCCCCAGATAGTTCCTTCATTGGGAGACCCACGACTCTGTCTCCCAGAACCTTCGTCCATCAGACTTGGAAACCCAGGCTCCCAATCAATTCTCCTTCCTAAGTCCAAGTCCTGGGGTCCGTCCGCGTCCCACCCCCTCTCCGGACACAGGAGTTCGGGCTCCCAAGCCTTTCTGTCTCGGTAGCCAGAAGTCCAAGCTTCTTCCTCATTACTGACCAGGGGTCTGCTCCCAACCCCCAGAGCCTCCGAACCCAGGCGTGCCGACCCCTCACTCACCCACTCGGGGCTGCGCGTCACTCCGGGGGCAGGGGTGCCGGCTCCCACCGTGCAGGCGCTCGCAGGTCCGCACAGCTCGGCAGGCCGGGGCGTTCATCTCGCCTCCCAGCGTCGGGCTCGAGGATTCTGGTTAGCACGGGCCGTCGCAAGAGCAGTCGCGACACAGTGACATGAAGTCCTTCAAGATGGCGTACAGACAAAGCTCAGAAAGGGCTGGGAACCTGCGCCAGCCGCAGGCTTTATATCTAACGCGCCCGGATATGCTGACGCCACGAGGAGGGGCGGGGATTCGAAACGAGGACGTGAAAATGGGAAGGAAAAATAAGCTGGGAATTCTCGCGGGGTCAGGGCCCTGTGGCGTCACGGCGGCGCTTCCTGTGGCCACGCCCCGAGAAAAGTTCTCTGTCAATCAAACGTGTGGCCGGCTTAAGCAGCGAGGAGTCTGGCCCAACTCTTTTCGCAAGAAAACAACTTCCCACCCCAGTTTAGCCGGCAGGCTTCAGTCCAGCGCCTCCCATCTTCACCTCTGGTTGTTTTCCTCCGCGGTGCCGGAAAGTGTTGTTTCCATTTCACAGATGAGGAAACTGAGGCTTGGGAATGATGTCACTTGCCCAAGATTGGCCCAGCGGAGTCTAGATTCATCGCAAAAGAGGACAAGAATGTAAGCACCCTGAAGGCAAACACTTTGTTTTGCTCCCTGCTATCTTCTCACTGCCTGACACATAGTGGGTGCTCAACAAGGTGGGAGTGGATACCAAACCAAAAGCTCAGATCCCTTCCCAGTCTAAGGCACAAGGCTCCGCACCTGGATTTTACCTGCTTCAAACTCACACAAAAGCTCTGCTTACACAAACTGAAATTATGGCTGTGCGTGCGGATCTTGTCTTCTGCCATAAATTCCAGGCTCAGGGATACAGTCCCAATTTCCTGCCCCCCAACTTCTGCAGTTTGGTTCATAAGATACCTACGAAGCATGTCACTCTCTTGAGGAGGTCATCCTCAGTCTAGAACAGAATTCTTACCTGGATCTGAGGTGGAGATCTGAGCCTGGCCACTTGACCCTGTCCTAGCCAGAATCCAGGAATCCAGGGCCACCCCGAGCTTCCTGGAGGACCTGGACCCATCCACTCAAAGCCACATTTCCTGACTCGTGGCTTCATTCACAACTCAGGAGTCCTGACCCCTAGCTTACACCTTCCCAGGTACCCAGAAGTCTGAGCCCTCACCCCTTCTAAGATCCAAGCTGTCTCCTTTCAGGGTGCCAATGATCCAGGCCCCTGACCATGACCAGCCCACTGGGGCCCCGGAGTCCAGGCCTGCCCCTTCATTTAGGAATCTCAGCCTCAGCCCTTATGGGACCCAGGGGTCAGGGGCCCCCAGCCCCTCCACCCTGCAGTGGGGGCCGCTGAGCCAGGGGTCAGGCTGTGATGGGGAGGCCAGGAGGGGCGGGGTCGGCCGGGATTGGAAGGGGAGACAGCAGCGTGGGCGGCTGGCCGACCAGCAGAGAGGAAAGAGAAACTGGGAGAGGAAGAGAGAAAGTGAGGAGAATCTGAAAGAGAGAAGCAGCCGACATGAGGGCCATAGAGAGAGAGGAAGAGGAAAGGATTGAGTGAGAGGGAGGGAACGAGCTGGAGACTTGAGAGACTGTGAGTCGGAGAGAGAAGAAGATTTGGGCAGAAACAGATACACTGGAAGAGAAAGTGATTGGGGGGCGGGGGGAGAGAATGAGTGACAGAGAGACTGGAAGAGATAGAGATTAAAGAGAGACAGGAGGTGAAACTGGAGACAGAGACAGTCTACAAGAAAGAGGAGAGACCAGAGAGACGAGAGACAGAAAGTGTGAGTGAGCAGGTGAGAAGGGGACTGAGGATCACAACAGGCAGAGAGGCTCCCGCACTGCCCTCCTGCCCCTGTTCCTGGGACCCCAGAGCCGGTAAGTTTCCTGGCTGGGCTGGGAGGGCTGCAGGTCTTGCATTCCTGTGCCTGGGCTCAGCAGGGATGGCTTGGGTGTGTGTGGGAGGGCAGGAGCCAGGTAGCTGGGGGCAGCGAGAAAGAGACAGGGAATGGACGTCCCTAAGCAGAGAGGGTCAAATTCCTGGCCAGCGTGCAGGGGGCCAGAATAAAGGGGGCCCTATTCTCTGTCTTGGGCTCCAGACAGCTGCCCCCTCCCCGCAGCTGCCAGTGCCGCCCACCTCTCTTGGCATTGCTCTTGGTATGCTTTCCCGGACCAGGGCCTCCCGCAGCCCCCTGGTTCCCCAAACAACAGGCTCTTTCTCCTCAGCCGCCTCCGACCTGCGAGCCCCTGACCCCATCTCTGTCCCGAGCTGGGTCAGCTGCAGAGACAGCACACAGCCCCTTTCTTTTTTTCCCCAAGCCTTTGATGGAGGAGGGCAGACCTCGGAGCAGCCTCAGCCTGGCCAGCAGCGCCTCTACAATCTCCTCGTTCAGCAGCCTGAACACCAAGGTCTGAGCTTCTTGGTGGAGCTGGGGGAGGAGGGCAGGGCTCTGGGCTGCCCCATCTCATTTCCTAGTCCTGGCTTCAGCGCCACCCCAGGGACTCTCATTGTTAAGAACAAGGATCCTTAGCAACGGGGTCTGGCAGGCCTAGTAAGGTCCCAGATTGCCCACTGGCCGCAGCTAGGAATTCAGAGACACTCCCAGCTGTCCTCAGCCCCCTTATTTTCCTAATTCGAAGCCAGAGTAGCAGCCCCACTTGACTCTGGTTGCGAGGATAAGGCCGCTCCCCAGCCAGGAGGTTTCTCCCCATGGAACTCAGAAGCGGTGGCTCATCTTCATTAGAACTGAGAGAATGGTCCTCTCTAGCCAGCAGATCTACCTGGTTCTGAAATTCAGTAAGGAAAGACCTTTCTCAAACAATAAGGCCTCAGATAACTTGTGTACTGAGTCATCACCCCAGCCAAGGTCTTTGCCCCTCTGCCATTCTCTTCACTCATCTCCGGTTCCCCAAGTTTGGAATCCACAGATGCGATCCTGACTTTGGTCGGCACCACCCCCATTGAAGGGCATCCTGCGGGAATCTGGCTAGGGATGCCTGAGACACCTGTGTGCCTGGAGAGGGCGCTCTATGGGGATGGAAGGATATGGAGCCATCTCTCCACCCTGAACATGGCTGCTAAGGGATGTCACTCCCCAAGCCATCCCGAGGCCCCGTTCACATACTACCTTCTTCTCTCCTCAGAGGCCCACCAGGGCGGTAAGCAAGGTGCACGCCTTCGGGAAGAGGAGCAATGCACTCAGAAGGGATCCTAACCTCCCCGTGCACATACGAGGCTGGCTTCATAAGCAGGTGGAGTGAGCAACACAAGGGAGAGTTCGCTCGGAGTGACACTGGAGGCTATGCCCTGTCCACTGTTTGTTTCCTTCTGAGACTCCCAATATGTCTGTATTTTTTAAATCATTGCTTCTCCCCTTATTCTGGCATTGCTTCATGCAGCTATCCATTCATCATTCATTCATTCAATGACCACTTCCTGAGCATTTCCTATGTGCCAAGCCCTGGGCCACATACCATACAAATCAGACAAACAAGTATCTATAGTACATTTAAAATGGGTGTGGGGTGGGATGGATAATAAATTAGTATGTAAGTAAATGGACTTGATGATTTCAGTTTGTAGGAAGTGCTGTGAAGAAATAACAAGGATGTGCTGAAAGTGACTGAGGGATGGGAGCTACGTCTGACTGTTGGTCTCTGAGATGACATTCGAGCTGAGAACTAAATGACAAGAAGGAGCCCCTCATGTTAAAATCTGGGGAGCAGAGCAAATCTGAAAGCAAAAGGCCCTGCCGCAGGCCAGAGCTTGGCATCTGGAGCCAGCCAGCGGGGAGACAGGAAGGATGGCAGGGAGGTGGTTCTCGAAGTGGGGTCCTGAGCCAGCAGCACCAGCATTGCCTGGGAACTTGCTGGAAATGCACACTGCCTGCTCCCATCCTAGATCTACTGACCCAGGAACCCTGGAGGTGGGACCCAAGAACTGTATTTTAATGAACCCTCCTGGTGATTCTTCGGCACGCCCAAGTTTGAGATTCCCTGCAGGCCAGTACACTAGAGTAAGGACTTTGAGATGTACTCTAAGTGTGACTTAAAGCTCTGTTTTGAGCAGGAGACTCCCTTGATCTGACTTATAAGTTTAAAAGACCATGCTGTCTTCCGTTGGAACAGATTGAAGAAGAGAGAAGCACAGGGTTGGAGATGGAGTAGTTGTGGCTGAAGTGTTGGGGAGATGCAGGATTCAGATTATGGCTCAGTGCCACCTCCCCGGCCTCTCTGTGTCTCAGGTTCCAGAATACTCAGACCAAGTCTTCCTATATAAAACCCTGCCCGTGTGTAGTGCAGTATCTGTTTCTAATCTTCCTATAATTTCTCAATCCCCAATTGACAACTGAGAGAGGGTCCTAGCCTGGAAATGCCTTATCTAAGGGAATAGTTTGAAAATGGTGGTACTCGGAGTCCAACTCAGGTCCAACCGTGTCCAGAATCTCTGTCGGCTCAACCACAGCGCTCTCTTCCAGTGCTCTGTCTAGTCCATGTGCCTCTGCTCCTCCCCTCCCTCTGGGTTTCTGTCCCCAAGTGTCCCTGTCCCCATCACCGTTTTCCTCTCAGGCCTTTCCTCCCACTCTGTCCCCAGGACAGCTCCGGGCTCCGGCTCTGGAAACGACGCTGGTTTGTCCTCTCTGGCCACTGCCTCTTCTATTACAAGGGTCAGTGCCCAGGCTGGCACGGGGTGGGTGGGCCCCATCCCCCATCCCCACCCTCCTGGCCCTGTAGCCTCTCTGTCTCCAGATCCCCGTGTGATCCGGGACCCTAAACCCTCCTTGTAGACAGCCGCGAGGAGAGCGTCCTGGGCAGCGTCTTGCTCCCCAGCTACAGTGTCAGACCAGATGGGCCAGGAGTCCCCCGAGGGCGGCGGTTCACCTTCACCGTGAGTCCGTTCAGGCGCCATGGGCACTAAGGGTCTAAGCGAGTCCCCATTACTGGAGTTAAAGCACTTGCCTAGGTCTGTGGCATCCTCCTTTTTAGAGGGCCCAAGAGTCCGGATGCCCAGCTCTCCCCCCCCGCAGGCGGAGCACCCGGGAATGAGGACCTACGTTCTGGCTGCCGATACGTTAGAGGACCTGCGGGGCTGGCTACGGGCCCTGGGCCGGGCCTCCCGCGCGGAGGGGGACGATTGGTGAGTAAACGTCCAGGCCACGCCCCTGACTCTGTACCTGTTGATCTGGGTCCTTCTAATCATCGCCAACTCCACCCCTTGAGGCCTTCGAAGTCTAATGTCTGGTCTCCTAGCTAGGACTCCAGGGGCCTCTGTCCTGGTGGGCCCCAAGTTTCAGGCTAGAGGCTCACAGTCTGGGCACTGGGTGCAGCCACCTGGAAGGGCCTTGGAGTCCTGCACTGGCCACACTCCGGGCCTTCGTTTCCGCATCTACTAAATGGGGGCAATGATTTATAGTGCCCTACCTCCCCCCTCTGTGTAGGTCCCTGTGTCCTCATCCCTCATCTGTGAAATGGAAATAAGGGCTGTTACGAGGTTCAAAGGAGTGATACCTTTTTCTGTGCCTGCTCCTTAGTGGGCGACCCAGGTCACCCGCACGTCCCCAGCCTGGGGAGGGCCCTGGCGGCCCTGGCGGGCCCCCGGAGGTGAACAGAGGGGATGAGAAGCACAGCTCAGAATCACCGGAGGTGGCTCGGCTCTCCAGGGGTCGCGGCCGACCTGGGCTGCTCAGCCCCAGCCCCACAGCTGACCTCCAGTCTGGACACCGGATTCGGAGAACTAGGAGCCCAGAGTGAGTTGGAAAAGGGAGTCTGGGGGGAGGAGGTTCTTTAGGGCTGAGCTTCAGGGAAAGCCTAAGAGAAAGGAGGGGACTGGAACTGACTGGGGGTGTGCCTAGTGCACTCTCCTGCAATTGTGTTGGAGTTGCTGGGGTTCTGATGGGGTCAAAACCTGTGGGGAAGGAGTCCTAAGAAGGAGAGTCCACAAAGGGGGAATTCATTCAGCGTCTGGCCAATAGAGAAGGGTTCTACTCTAGAGGGACAGTGTGACACTAAAGGGAGGCCCATCATTAAGGCTAACTTGGAGGGTAATGGGGTGAGGGGGCTCTAGTTGACTCAGTTACCTGATTCTCTCCTCCCCACAGCCTGTTCACACCCCTCTCCCGTTCTCCCTCCCCTCTGAGCCTCCCTCGGCCCCGTTCTGCTCCTGCACGCAGACCCACTCCCTCAGGTGATACAGCACCCCCTGCCAGACCCCATACCCCGCTAAGTCGCATTGATGTCCGGCCTCCCCTGGATTGGGGCCATCAGCGCCAGGCCCTCTCCCGACCCCCTACTCCTCGCCGAGGACCCTCTTCGGAGGCTGGGGGAGGAAGGCCCCCCAGGAGTCCCCAGAACTGGAGTCAGGAGGCCAGAACAACACAGGTGAACAGATCGGTGATGGGGAGGGGGACTACATCTCCCATATGGCCATATGGGCTGTCTTTCTGGCTGGTCTCTAGGCCATTGCTTCCTGAGTATCATGAGAATTATAGTTCAGTAAGATCAGCTGGGTTCAGATGAAAGTGAGGAGAAATAAAGAATGGACTTTATTTCCCATCAGTCCTCATGGCTGTCCTTTTGGGCAGGTCTCTGGCCACTATGCATTATGGGGATTGTAGTCTAAAATACCATCCTCCAAGACAACACCATGATAGGTCGTGTGGATTGCTCTGCCTTGCCCCTTCAGTTTATCTTAACAAATTAGTCAGTCACCTGCTGTTTTCTCTGAGCATCATCGGGTTGTAGCCCAGAATATCCACAGCTAACCACAAATGTGAGAGTGTTGGTGGATTGTAACTTCTATTGGCCTTGCGCTAGTTTGCCAGACTTGCCCATTTATTATCATTCTCTGTATTCCCATAGTGGCACATAGCTGGAGAGCAGGTAGTTGATGAAGCTGTGGGGGCCCAGCTCTAAACCTCAAAGAGTCTCCTAAGGCACTTCAGTTCCAGATACTCCCAGTCTAATTTGGGTTACATGCCAATGTGTAAACATTTCTATTTTGATATTCCTCCCAGGCCCCATCTGGCTCCTCTACGTATCTCCAGCTCCCCCCAAGAGCTCCTGGGACCCAGGCTTCCATGGTTTTATTGGTAGGCATCCTGGGGCACCCAAAATCTTCTAGGGTCCCCCTCCCTCGCTTTCTTTGTTATAGAGAATATCCCCTCCTGGACTAGTGTGCCTAGAGAAGACTGGAATTTCAAGGTCCCAGTGCTTCTGTTAGCTTCCTAGGGCTGCTGCAACTGGGTAGCATATATATAGAATATCTTTCCATTTATTCATCATCTAGGTCTTTTATTTGAATTTTAAAGCTTTTCTGTAAAGATCTTGTGTGCTCTTAGTTAAGGTAACTCCTAAATTCCTGATAGTTTGTGAACCTATTTGAATGTTATTTTCTTTTTTGAAAATGTTATTTTCTAGTTATTAATGGTATAGAGATACACTGTCAATGTTTGTGGCTCCATCTTGCATCTGGCATCTTTTCTGAATTCTCTTATCTGTTCTAATCATTGTCTGATTCCGTTGTTTTTTCTCCGTAGATGAGCATATCACCTCCAAATAATGATGATTTTACCTTTCCCCATCCCTATCTATACACCTTTTTGTTTCCTTTTTCTTTTCCTATAGCATTGTCAAGATCTCTTATACTGTGTTAAATTGTAGCAGTGGTAGTGAGCATCTTTATTTTATTCTCAGCTGTAAAGGAAATGTCTACATTTTCTCCACTATTTATGATATTTGCTACAGCTTTTAGTAACAGAGTCCATTGGATCTTCCTAAAGGCAAGAATGTGACAATTGGTCTATTAAGGTTTGCTAAAGCTTGGAACGAAGCTGATAAGGACAAGAATGTCTATCAGTAGAAGCAGAGCTTGGCTCAGCGTTGAGCCACAATGTGGACCTGTCTGTCCATATGACTCCTGGCTTTTCTCCTCCTTAGCCGGGTCCCCCCCTGGACTCAACCTTCCACCAAAGCTCAGAGACAGATGTAAGTTCTCTCCGGTACAATCCCTGCTGAGTTCCCAGAGATGGGGAGAGAATGCTATAAATGGCAGGGAGAAGAGCCAGATCTGGGCCATAAATAGCCCCTGTTCTCCTTTCTCCAGACTCTGTTGACCAAGTTGTGTGGGCAGGACCGGCTCCTGAGGAGGCTACAGGAGGAGATAGACCAGAGGCAGGAGGAGAAGGTATGGAGCTCTGGGATGGAGGGACATCTTGCCTCTCTACCTGCCCTTAGTCTTTCCTGATCCCTGGCATGCCATTCTTCCCCCCTGGGGCTAGGAGTGGCTTCAAAAGTCTACCTACCTTCCCTCTTGGTGCAGGAACAGCTAGAAGCAGCCCTGGAGTTGACCAGGCAGCAGCTGGGCCAAACAACCAGGGAGGCTGCAGCTCCTGGGAGGGCTTGGGGGCGCCAGCGCCTCCTGCAGGACCGACTGGTCAGTGTGAGGGCCGCTCTTTGTCACCTGACCCAGGTGAGCATCTGGGAAGGGGCATGCGCTCTCAGGAGGCCTCGGGACTCTACACCTTGTTACTGAAGGGAACCTGCCTCCAAAGGCTCATGGGAAGGTAGTTCTTGAAAATTGCCCCATCTCAAAATTTTAAACCAGTGATCTTGACAGTCCCAAAGGGTGAGGGGCAAACAGCCAAGAAATAGCAGAAGTTAATTTAGTGGTTTTAGAGGGTAAATTTGATATAGACTTCCTAGCTTTGAATTTCCGCTTCTACTCATAGTAACTGTGTTACCTTAGAAAAGTTACTTAACCCCTCTGAGACTCAGATGGCTCTTTTGTAAACTGGAAATGATAAAAATAGTATCTACTTCATAGGGTCATTGTGAAGTTTTCATAAATATATGTCAATGAATATTTAACACCTAGGTACCTAGTCATATTTATTAGCTATAATTATTATCTGTAAGATGGAGACATCAGTAGTACCTACCTCACAAGAATTAAATGAGAGCTAAGAGCAGTGCCTAGCACCTGGTAAGTGCCTAATAAACTTTAACTGCTATTATTATTTTTATTATTACTACTACTAGTGGTACTAGCAAGGTTGTTCTGTTGCTCAGGGGTACCTTGGGTTGTGGTCTTGACTGTCCCAAGAATTCATTAGATCTTTAGACTCTGTCTCCCTTGGAGAGTGCAGAATTAAACCAGAGGATTCAGGGAAAGCTGTTATTTGTCTACCTTAGCAGCTCATTGGAATGGCAGGTTCCATATAGACTCCGAGGTTCCCAGTAGTCCAGGCAAGGAGGCCACTGGGAATGGTAGTCCATATACACCCTGACCCCAGGACTCCCTTCTTCCTCTAGAGCTGGGAAAATAGAGTGGGGAAAGATCTGGTACATGTGCATGCTAACCCTGTGTCTCCCCCTTTTTGGTACCTGAGGATCGAGAGCGGGTTTGGGACACATACAGCAGCCTGGAGCAGGAGCTGGGCACATTGAGGGAGACCCTTGAGTACCTGCTGCACCTCGGGTCCCCCCAGGTACATCCCTGCCCAGGCCCCAGCCCCCATCCTCCACTCCAAGTTCACCTGGAAACCCTTTAAGGCCCTCCTGCAGGATCAAAGGTCCTCCTACTTGATCCCCAATTCCTCCCCTCCAGCCTTTCTTTTTAAATTTCTCATCGTAGTTCAGACCATGCTCTTAATTTTAAGACCTACTCGGGTTCAGAACCACTCTCCTTTCTGGTTCTAAATCTCTCCTCTTATTTTGAAGCCCTGTCCTCCTTGTCAAAACTCCACTCCTCACCCCTGTTCCCATCCTCACGTTCATTTCTTGCATTCTGCATCCTGACTTTTGGTGTTAATTTGTCCTCTGGAGTTTCCAGGTCTAAATCCAGTCCCCCACTCCCGATATAAGCCCCTTTGCTTAGCCTCAGACCCACTTCATTCTAAGCCTAGCAATAGAGTTTCTAGATCACAAATCATTCGTTAAAAACACTGTCTTCTTGCATTAAATGTATACTCACAGATTTAAACCACACCCTGTTCATTGCTAACTCCTCCCACTTCTTCCTAAAATCCATCTCTCAACTCTAATCCCCACCCCTATTGGTGTTACATATCACCCAGCACCGGCAATGTATGAAAAGAATACATCAGAATCAGATTAGGTTTATTACAGGAATGCAAAGTGAATTTAACACTTGAAAATTGCTTCGTGTATTTCATTATAATTAACAAAATAAAGGAGAAAAACATGATCATCTTAATAAATGTGGAAAAAACGTTTGATAAAATTTAACATCCACTCATGACAAAAGTTCTCAGCAAAGTGGGAGTAGGGGGGAACTTCCTTAATCTGATAAGACACCTATAACAAACTTGCAGCAAACATAGTTGGCAGTGAAATATTGAAATCTTTACTCCTGATATCCAGACTAAGACAAGGATGTCTGTTATTACCAGTTGTAGTCAACATTGTAGCAGGGGTCCTAGACTGTACAAGTGAATCTGAGAAATAAATCAGAAGTATGAGGACCAGGGAAGAAGTAACGTTGTTTTTATTTACAGGTAACATGATTGTATATGTGAAGAAAACCCAAAATAATCTCCAGATAAACTTATTAGGATAAGCAAATTCCGCAAGGTCACTGGGTGCAAGGATAATATACAGAAATCCATTGTTTTCCTGTATGTCAGTACCAAACAATTAGAAAATAAATATTTATGAACAGCAGTGTTTGTAATTAACATTAAAAAATTAAATAGGAAGAAACTTATTGAAAGATATCCCAAAGATCTACTCTGAAAACCACAGAATATTATTGAGAGAAATCAGAGACCTGTACAGATGGAGAGATATACCATGTTCATGGATAGGAAAGCTATAATACTGTGAAGATGTAGGCTCCCCAGATTGATTTCCCCTGTGAGGATCTGCAATTCCAATGCAAATTCAGAAGGTTTCTATGTGGAGATGGACAAGCTGACTCTGGAAGTCTGAAGTATCTGGAAGTGCAAAAGGCTAACAGTAGCCAAGGCGGCCTTCAAGAACAAAACTGGAGCGCTAACACAACTGGATGTTAAGTGTGACTGTAAAGCTCTAATCAATGACAGTGCAGTATTGACACTGGTTAGTCAGATGGACCAGAGGAATGGAATAGGGTATTCAGAAACAGACTCACATTTATTTATATGGTCACCTTTTCATGACAGAGGTGACACTGCAGAGCAGTACAGAAAAGACAGTGTTTGTGATCAATGGTGGGTCACTGGGATAATCCACATCTGTCCGCAAACATAGCCTCTGTATGCATACATAGTCCATTTATGACTCCCTACCTATAGCCCAGATGATTTCAGTCCCCTTCTGTGATTTATTAACTTTAACCCTACTTGCATTTTCCCACCTTTGAATGACAAATTCCTTTTTTCCCCCCAGGATAGAGCATCTGCTCAGCAGCAGCTATGGATGATGGAAGACACACTGGCAGGTCTGGGAGGCCCCCAGAAACCACCCCCTCACACTGAGCCAGACTCCCCATCTGTGGCACTGCAGGGCGAGGAGTCCTCGGAGAGAGAGGTGAGACTCACATGCGTCTCTCCTCACCCCCAGCTTTCTGTCCCCTCCTCCCCTGGCCCAACCCATCACCACACTCTCTCCCTCCCTTGATCAGCTAACCAGCCTCAGGCAAGTATCCTAAGCTCTGAAGCCTTTGTTTCCTTATTTGTTATATTGTTCACAGTCCTGTGGTTTGCTGGAGTCAGCACCCAACACCTCGCAAGAGCCAAGTGTGTGCATTTCTTCTCAAGTCCACATTCAATGGCCTCATGTTGGTAGCCTGAAATTGACCCTGGTGGGAATATTTTCACCACAGAAATTGGCGAACACTACAAACCAGGGCTCTTTCTCCCAGACAGACATGTAGTAAACATTCACCACACTGCTGGTCACAACCCCCACCCTGTAGGGTTCTGTAAGGAGAAACTGTGACTCACAAGTGCCTGACACAGCAGGCCCTCAGGAAGCAAGAGCCGCCACCATCATTGGTAGGTTAGAGCTGCTCTTTGTCCCGACCGGCAGACTGGGTGTTTAGATCCCAGCTTTGCTGTCTGTGTGATAACAGTCGTTGGCCTCATTCTCTGAGCCTCAGTTTTCCCCTATGTAAAGTGGGGATAATAATAGCTTCCTGTACTTTATTGAGGGAATTCAAGAGTTAATTCAGGTATGCAGATAAAGTGCTTAGCACGGCACCAGATGCATAATTATAAAACTTTGCTCCTATAATACCTTGTCATGTGCCAGATACTGTTCTAAATACCTTACTTGGGTGGATTCCATCCTCATCAAAAGGTGAAATCTGATTTAGAGAGGTAAGTAACTTGCCCAAGATCCCACAGCTAATAAATGGCAGAGCTGAGATTGGACACTAGGATGTCTGGCTCTTGGTTTTCAATCTTAATCCTACTCATTCTGTGTCTCAGTTGCTAAGGGCTTGAAAATGGTAATAATAATGAATTGATAATCTTTCCCGACCCCTCCAGAGCCTGCCTGAGTCTTTGGAACTGAGCTTACCCCGGTCCCCCGAGACTGACTGGGGGCGGCCCCCAGGGGGTGACAGAGACCTCACCAGCCTTCGCTCAGGTGAGCATCCTGGGCTGGGTGGGACTTGCTAGGTGTCCCCTGTCTCACCACGTCCCATTCTGCCCTTTCAGGACTTGGATCTTCAAGGGTCTCCCGGGCTTCCAGCCCTGAGGGTCTCCACCCGCCTTCCCCGCAGCCTGGAAACAAGGTAGGCTGTCCATTTGGCTTCATCAGGCCCGTCTGGTAATGCTTTGATCTGACCACCATAGACCCCTTTCTCCTGGGGAAACAGCTGGGAGAGGGGAGTTCAAAGGCTATATTCCAGAGCAGAGAGAGCACAATTTGTGCAGTGGTGGGATTGAATTTTGTCTCTGCCACTTCTAGGCTGTGTGAATTTGGGTCAGTTATTAAACCTCTCTCTGCCTCTATTTTCTCATCTACAAAATGGAGCTAATAGCAGCACCTACTGCCTAGAGCTGATGTGAGGAATCAAACTAGATGAATGCCCATAAAGTTTGAAAATAGTGCCTGCATTTAGTAAGTACTTCATTCATTTATCCATCCACTCACTTATCATTCATTCAATGCATATTTATTAAGTAACTTCTTCACTGTCCAGTAATGGAGTCAGTAGCCACATGTCATTACTAAATTTAAATGAATTAAAGTGAAATAAAATTAAAAATGTACTTGTACTTACTGCATTTCAGGAGCCACATGGCCAGTGGCTTCCCTGCTGTGCAGCGCAGAGAGTGGCCACTCCCACCATTGCTGAGAGTTCTATCGCACAGAGGTGTTTAGGTGCCAAGGGCACAGTCATGAGCAAGATAGGAAAAAGAGGTCCTTCCCTATTGAATTTGACATTCTGTGGGAGGAGGCAGATAATGAATACTCGATTTCTTGTACGTAACGGTTTATGTGTTATAAATGCTAAAAAAAATAAAAACAGCACAGTAGGGGGGTTGGGTTGCTTTGAGAAGGGGGCGCAGTTGTAAGTGGCTTGGTCTGGCCAGGCCTCACCGAAAGATCATGTTTGAACAGATACTTGAAGGAGGTGAGCGAGTGAGCCTTGGGGATGTCTGGTGAAAGGCCTTTCAGGCAAAGGGAACAGCCTCTGCAAAGATTCCCAGGCAGGAGCTGGCCTGGCCTGCTCGTGGAACAGCTAGAAGGTCAGGGAGGCTGGAACTGAGTGAGCGAGCTATGCGGATGGGGTGGAGATAAGGACAGATAGGTAATGGGGGCAGATCATGCTGGGCCTCGTGGTCCACTGTGAGGACTGCTTTGATTTTGGGGAGCCGGGAACCACAGAGATTTCTGGACGGGGTGGGTGGGGTGCAGGCGGGAGCGTAACCCGGCTGCCCTAGGTGGAAACAGGTGCTCTCTGTCGGTGCTGCAGGGAACTGAATGTCTAGCAAGCGCTGAGGCCAGAGAGGAGCCGGCTGGGATAGTCCAGGTGGGAGATGGTAATAATCCACTAGGTTAGAAGAAGTGGGGATGCTGAGAGGGAGTCGGACTGTAGATGTACTGATCTTCAAACTGTATTAAAAGCCCTTGGGACCAGACGTGATTCAAAATGCAAAATTTTGCAGGTCCTAGACTGGTAATGTGATGCGTATATCACATATTACATAAAACCTCCAGCGGCGTCTGGAGCAGCACCCTTAATCAAACACATTAGCATTTCTCCAATAAAATGTATGAATATTCATACAAAGTGAGATTAAGGTTATAAATAACATCTCAATTTAAATGTCAGCAGTAAACTACTAAAGGATTGAGTCAGGGGAATAAAAATAGATTCTAAGTATCAGGCACTATTTTTATTCCTAAGGAGAAGTTTTAGTACATCCAGGTACAAATGAAGCCAAGTACCTGAACGCTCACTTGCAGTAAATGCTCATGATGTCTACTAGGAATCTGGAGACAGGGGTCGTTGGTCAAACCCTTAACGCTATCACTAAGTTTCCCTCTGGGTGAGCAGGGCATGGCTTCATCAGTGGAGGGCTCAGCCCTTGGGCAGTGATCAACCCATACATCAACACAGGGTTTCTTGGGAGCACAGAACTCTGGCCCCCAGAACCCCATCCCCTACCTGAAGGGTTGTTCAGTTCAGATCAACAGACATCTCCTGACCCTTCTTGAGTGCCAGGCCCTGCAAAGCTGGGTTGCAGATCAATCCCTGTTTTCAAGGACCTACGCTTTTGAGCTCAGTTTGCTGTGTCGTGAACCTCTATATCACAACCCCTATTTTTCTCCTCTGTGTTGAAGCTGGCAAAGGGGTCTTGCAGAACAAGTATGGTTTATGCACTTGGCAGGACCATTCTCATCCTACTAAGACATCAGCCGGTAACCAATCCAAGCAGTGTCAGGAGGGCCAAGGAGCTGCCACCTCTCCCCTTTCCCCTAAGCTTTGAGGTGTGGTCACTGCAGGAAGAAATCTCAAATTCTTTTATTTGCTCAGCTTACATCCCCTGAGGCCTGCTAGAGGCCAGGCCCTGCAGGAGGGGTTAAGGGCCCAACCACAAATTTGACCTGATGTTGGAGTCTGAGGGCAACAGGTACAATGCAAACCTCAGGTCTATCTGACCAGGATAAAACTCGAGCACTGGCAAGCCTTCTAAAGCGTAGATAGGTAAACTGAGTCCGGATGAGTGAAAAAACGGTTTGGCCAACTAAAATGGCATTTCCAACAGAGGGAATAGCTGTGTATGTAGAAAGCCTGGAGGTGATCAAGATAAGTGTCTGCTCTGTATCAGCAAAAAGGTGAACTGATTACTAGCTTAAGCAAGGCTTCTTGTAAGATGCAATCTCCCCAAGCAAAGCAGAGAGCTGACGCTGTGTAGTGGGAACTTCAGAAATTGGTGCTCTTTCTAAGCCAGGGGTGTTTAGGAATTGGTGGACCTTTAGTTGTGGAAGCTGCATGTCCGTTACTGATTGACTGATTTTCAGAAACACTGGGCCATCCCTGATGACGCGACTGCTTGATCAAACATTGGAAAGCATTTCTGGTGCTTACTTATTATTGTGGATACAAAACAATCAGTGAGTCCTTTCCTAGGAGTGTTACCCAACCCCCAAGTCTGAATTCGAGAGCACGATGCACAGTAAGCCAATCTCTGAGTAACAAGCAGAGAAAACCTCATGAGACGGGCAGCCCATCGAGAAGGCAGGGGGTCCTTCCCAAATCTGCTGTACCTGATCAGGCCAAGGGACGGGTTACACGCTATTGGCAAAGGAATGTGAGGGTTAGGGCAGAACTGGAGGGGCCTTGAAGCTCCTTGGAGTTATGTGCTGTCCCGTCCTCCTGGCATAGCCCAGGGGTCCTGGTGTGCTTCACGTTGACTCCATGTCTGGTATCAGCTCTGCAGCACAGATGTTATCAACCAGCGTCCTCCCTGGTCCTGCAACCAAATGCAGGGAAGAGGACAAAGGACAGGGTTAATGGTTCTTGCCAGGTAGTGAAGGAATGTGCTTATGTGCTATGTTAGGTTACCATGAGGAGCCTAGTCAAGGTATAAGCGAATAAAGAAATATATGTCCGGGCTCAGGAGAGGAACTTTGTAATTCTCGGTAGTGTATGTAAAGAACATGGATTGTTGGGGCGGCTCCCAGCAACGCTGATGTAGGGAGTTCCTCCTCCCTCACCCTAACCACGTGGTTCCCAGCGGTCCACAGCGCACCATGGTTCCGGTGGGGCAGTGAGTTCCAGGGATTTCAGAGCGGATCAAGGAACATGATATGACCACGAGGTGGCAGTAGCAGACACGAGCTTTGTTTATAGGTCCGTACTTTGGCAGGTGTGCGCGTGGGAGACCTTCCCGGCGGGAGACCCTGCAGAGGTTACACCTTGGGGTCCGCTGCCCAGAAGGGGAGGGATGCAAGGGAACTCAGCAGTGCGCAGGGGAGTCTCTGGGTCAGAGAGCTTCCAAGGGCAGCAGCAACTTTGGGTCTTTTATAGCTACAAGTTTATCTAACCCCTGGTTGCAGATGTTGGACAGTTTTGTGGAGTATTCAATGCAGGTGGTTAGCTAAAGTTGTCTGCCTGTTTGGGCTATGTCTAAAACACGTGGATGTGTAAAACTTGGAATTTGGTGATGATAAGCTTTTGCACTGGTGGTCTGGCTTGCTGTGAAGAAATAATATAGGGCCAATAAACAGGGGCCACCATTTATATAATGGGGTGGGGGGCGTGTGATTCAAGATTGGCCAAATCAGAGTAAGCTGCAGTGACTGATCCTACAATACGCAGCTGATCCAAGCTGTCTCCCTAGAATTTTCTAGTTGGAGACTGCAGCCAAAATCAAGGTGTCAGTCAGCAGGGACATGCTCCTTCTGAAGGCTCTAGGGAAAAATCTGTTCCAGGCTTCTGGTTGTCACACAACTTCTCCCCGTGTACATGTCTGCATCCAGATTGCCCCATTTCCTGAAGGATAACACGTGTTCGCAGCCAGATGGCTCTATCAGCCCATTTCCTGCCTGGAGCATCCCAGGAGTCTGACAGCCCCCCTTCATTTTGTCTGGTCTCTGCCCCCTTCATTTCAGTCTGGCAGCATTTCTGCCATGATGCTTTACTGGATCCACACATCTCATGCCTAATCCCATAGCAGATGGGTTGCCAGCCTCTTCCTTGGTATCCTTTCCAGAGAAATGCTGTCTCATTTTTTGCAATATGGATAGGCTGAGAATTATCCAAATCTTAAAGTGATTCAAAGATGAACGTTTCTGGTGAACATTTTTTTCTTTAATTCCTCTGTCTTCTTGTGTCTTAAGTTGCCTCAAGGTATCAGCAGGGCCGCAGTCCCCTCTGGAGGCACTAGGGGAGGGTCTGCCCCAGGCCGCTCCGCTGGCTTCCGGAAGCTCCTCGGCTTGAGGCTGCAGGCCTGTGATAATCACGCGGCGCTCTCCCTGTCTGCCTCTTCCCTCTGGTTGTGAGGCCAAGAGAGCTTGGCAAGTCCTAAGGCCAACCCAAACTGTTCGTGCTGACAATGTCGTTAATACATCCCATGCCTCCTTTTGTTACTGTCAAAGCTCACTCAGAGTTGTTCTGCATTACAAGTAACCTGACCACTTGTGTGAAGAAACTTGATGTGTCCAGGGCTGTTGGGGTATTTGGTTTGGTTTCAAACAGGGCAGCTGATGGAGTTGAGGCCGGAGGGGTAGGTAGGGATGAGGCCATACAGGGCTTCAAATGCCTTTGTCTCGTGGGTGCTTGGGGACCATGGGAGCATGAGTGTAGAAGGATCCCTCCGAGGTCCAGTGGTGAACTTACTGGAAATGGCAAGACTGCAGGCTGAGAGGTTCAGGGAAGATACAAAGAAGAAGCCCAGGGTTGGAGTCCCAACATGTTTCTCACCTCCCCAGGCTCCCCTAGCCAGGCCCCGGATGAGTGCTCAGGAGCAGTTGGAGAGAATACGCAGAAACCAGGAGTGTGGACGGCCTCTCCCTCGCCCGGCTTCGCCTTGGCTTCTTACCCTGGGGAGGACGCTGTCCCCGGCCAGACGCCAGCCTGACGTGGAACATAAGGTGAGGGGAGCAGGGGCTATGGGATGGGGCTGTGGGTGGTAGTGAGTCCTCCGCTCCTAGTTTAAGCCTCAACTTCCCTGTATGTACAATGGAGATCTTCCCTACCTCCTTACCCAGAACTGGGTTTCCAGATTCACCCCAACTTGTACCTAGGCTAAAGGTCCATCCTGGCTCCCCTAGTGGTGGGGTGGGGCAGAAACAGCATCTCTCCTTAACCAGCAATCTGGGTGGGGGTCACAGGTCTGGATTGGAAGCCCAGTTTTTCTTTTTTCAGTTAGTATATGTTGCCAGAGGCAAAGAAAGAAAGAAAGTGAGAGAGGGAGGGAGGCGGGAAGAAAAAGACTTGAGCAATTAAGGAAATGGATTTTATTCATGCTGTTGCAATGGAGAGAACATTCGGGTCTGAAAATCAGTGTTCCAGCAGGAAGGTTTTATCTTAGACTTTTCTAGGGAGGAATTAGGTTAAGTCCCAGCTGGGATGATTTTACTGTTGGGATTCTTTTTGTAACCAGGGAGTGTATCAGTCACACACATTTACCTCTGCATCTAGCTTGGTTTTTTAGGGGTGTGGGGTGGGGTCACAAACAGTCCAGCTATTTATAAGGTAAAGAATATGAATTTGGAGGGCCTGTTTCTGGCCTTGTCCTAGGTAAACAAGGGGAGGAGTCACCTGTGAGTGTCATCTAAGTCATGGAAAAGGGTTCTTTGCAGTGAGCCATTTCCCAGAACACAGAAGGGTGTGTGTGTGTGGTTGGTGGTGGGATTTCCTCGCTGTTTCCTAGGATCATGTGTAAAGCCAGTGTCTCTGGATCAATTACACCCCCTCTCTGAGCTCCCTTCATCTCACCCTCAAAATGAGAAGGTGGGGACTTCCAGGTGAAGGATTCTAATGGCCTGGTTCCTTTGCAGCCTTCCCTAGGACACTCAGGAGCCCAGAAATGGCTCAGAAGCTCTGGGTCCTGGAGCAGGTAAGGAGCTTGGAGGGCCCCGGGGAGGAGCAGGGAAATCAATTTGCCAAAGGTGGGGGCAGTAGAATGTATTAATGTCTCCTAAGTACTGAAGTACAGATGGTAGAACCTTAGAGAGGCTTGGGTTCCTGGGGAATCAGGAAGCCCTAGGTTTTCTGCAGTGAGAACGGCAGTTCCTGGAGTTGCAGAACCGGGCAAATATCAAACAACGCCCCCCACCATCAGGAAACCAGGTGAGGTTTACACGCGACTGGACTTCAGATCCCATAAGGCACGCGGGCTTTTGAGAGGGCCGCGTCCAGTTCACGATCCTTTAGGGGCACGTGCTAGGGACTACAGCTCCTAGATGGACACGCGCCGCCCTGTGGTCCTCGCTGTAGTAATTGTACAGGTCCCCCAAATCTCTTTTTCTAGTCCAAGGAGCACCACTCCTTATTTGCCAACACCCGAAGGTCACCGGGAGCGAGTCCTCAGCCTCTCCCAAGCTCTGGCCACTGAGGCGTCGCAATGGCATAGAATGATGACAGGTGAGGCGAGGCTGGGAGCTTTGGGTTCGGGGAGGCCTGGAATCTTAGGTCCTGGTGGGGAGGAGTCCGAGCCTGCTGGGAATCCTTTGTCACGACGAGGAAAGAGCTGGACGCGGCTTGGGAGTTCTGGATCCCAAACCAGAGGGGACAGGGTGCAGGACTCCGCCTGGGAAGAGGGGTCCCGGGGCTGGGCTGCTTGAGTCTGAGGGAGGAGGGGGCTGGGGGTCCGGACTCCGGGATCCGAGAGGGAAGGATTGGCATCTGGACTCCTGGATCGCAGTTTGGCGTTCTTATTCCCACTCAGTCTCTAAAGGTGGAGATTTGGATGCTCGAGGAGACCCTCTTCCCCCTGCGCCACCGCCTCCGGCGGACCCCACGCCCCAGTCGACCTCGCCCCCAAGATCTCCGGCGGCTAATTCCGGCTGCACCGGTTTCTCCAGACGTGGGAAGGGGCGCGGCGCCGGCCCGGCTTCCTGGGAGCCCACGTGGGATTCCGGGGCCGCGCCTCCGGCCCTGACCCAAGACGAGGGGGCGTGGCCTCTGCGAGTCACTCTGCTGCAGTCCAGCTTCTGACTGCCCGCCCCCAACACCGCAGCCAATCGGGGGCGTGAGGGCGTGGCCTGGATTCACGGCCCGGGGACCACCTCTGGGCGTGGTCTGGTCCCCTCCGTGAGCCTAGGAAGGGAGTGGTGTTTCTGTGGCCACAGTTTGGTTTTCTCAACACTTGTCCAAATTCGGATTAAAACTTTGAACTTTTAGTCAATAGCTTTCTCTGTCTGTCTGGGATTGTGACCTGGGGTCCCTGAGAGGCAGAGCTGGAGTTGTGGACAGTGGCCTCAGACCGGTAGGTTTGAGGGAGGACGGAGCTGGGAGCTTAGACTACTGGGTCTGAGGCGTGAGGGGCCGGACACCATAAATCCTGAATTTGGGTGGGGGGCAGGCGCCCGGGGGCCCGGCCTCCTGGGTCAGGGAGGAGGGGGCTGGGGCCGAGGTGCCGGGGTCAAACTTCCAGGTATCTGGGCCTTCCTGGCAACGCCCCCCAGGCCCGGGCTGCCAGGATCTAGCCCCTATTTTGATTCGACCCCATCGCCTCCCCGGACTTTGGAGGTGGAAAGAGGCCCAGAGTGAGGGGCAGGGAGAGCGACTGACGCAGAATGGCCACGGGAACGCGCTATGCCGGAAAGGTGGTCGTGGTGACCGGGGGCGGGCGCGGTATCGGAGCCGGGATCGTGCGAGCTTTTGGTGAGTAGAGGTCCGGCTGTTGGGAATGTCGGAGCTGGGGACAGGAGGGAACCCGACGGGTAGTGGGAAGAAAGGTCTTCGGTTCTGGAGTCAAGATTCTTGTCTTGTAAAAGCCAGTTTTCAATGCTAAGGGAGGGGCAGGCAGGGGAAGCCCGGGGTCCGGGATTTTGGTGGGTCTCCAGGGGCTGTTACTCCTTTTCTCTGGGTCTCCGCTATACCTGCAGGTCTCTTGCAGGTTTAGGATTGGCTCTGGAACCCAGAGATGAGAGCTCTGGAAACTCGGCAGGCACCTGGAGTAGCCAGAATGTGTCAAAGCCTCTGCCCTTTGTCCAGAGGGATATCATGAGACTCTGGGGTCACTCAGGGAGCAGATGGGCCACGCCAGACGGCCATAAGAGGGCAGCAGAGGCCTTCACCAAGGGTGTGCTGGGGTAACCTCCTCTCTTACTCTCAGTGGAAAGCGGGGCCCAAGTGGTTATCTGTGACAAAGATGGTGAGTGATGGCCCCTCAGTCCTCATCCCGCCCCTTCCTCCCTCAGAACGAGGCACTCCTGCCCCCATTCCCCTCCTGCCTCAGCCCCAGGAGCCCAGGCCCCCAGCCCTCCTCCCTCAGACCAGGAGTCCAGGCTCCCCCACTTCTCCTGCAGAGTCGGGGGGCCGGGCCCTGGAGCAGGAGCTCCCTGGAGCTGTCTTTCTCCTCTGTGATGTGACTCGGGAGGAAGATGTGAGGGTGAGCATATTTTCTGTCCCAATTCCCCACATCCAGTAGTTCTCTCTCTCTCTCTCTCTCTCTCTTTCTCTCTCTCTCTCTCTCTCTCTCTCTCTCTCTAGCTTTGTTCTCTTCTAGACTTGGGCACATGCTGTTCTCTCTACCTTTCCCTCCTCTCCTGCTAAAGTGCACCAGTCACCAAGGCTTCCGGTCAGTTTCCTTTCGAGGCGTTCCCAGATTCTGCCAGCCAGGTCCCCGTGTCTCCTGGGAAGGTTCTCCTTCATCTCCCACTTCTTCACAGCTCTTGTCACTCCTGTCGCACAGTGTGAAACAAGAAAATCGCTCACTGTGGGGGGTCCTTCTGTAAAAGCATTTCCCTCTCCTGTCTCTGGGTTTCTATCCCTTCCCTTTTTCAGTGTCTCTCTAAGCACCCCACCACACACACCATCTATGCCCCTGACCCTGGTTCTCTGGAGTAATGGCTTCAGTGTGAACATAACCAGCCCTTTGCTCTCCGGTGCCCCTGTCTTCTCGTCTCCCGTCTCCCACCGTGCCTGGTGATTCAGTGGAGTCCCTGCTTCCTCTCACTCCCATCCCCCTGCTGTGACTCCAGCTTCTCCCTCCCCACCCTTGTTTTCAGAAGCGTGGGCTCCACATGCCAGGTGCCATCACTGCTCACTCACAAGCCCTCTCTCTCCTCAGACCCTCATTTCTGAGACCGTCCACCGATTTGGCCGCCTGGATTGTGTGGTCAACAACGCCGGCTACCGTGAGTTGTGAGGCCCGAAGGCCATTCCCACTGGTGTCAGCCTAGCTCCTGGCTTCCCGTCCCTTCCGCCCACACTGTCCCCCTCCCCTTTCTCCGCCCCACCCCCTCTCTGTCCACGTGGACAGGACAGTACAGCTGTGGAATCCCCCAGGCCTGAACCCTTGCCTCTCCATGCCTCCATTTCTGTTTCTAAGTTGAAGTGATGATCATCATTATAGGGTGGTTGTGAGTATTGAATAAGGTCAACTTCTCAGCCTCATAATCACTGAAACTATCTTGGGCAAACAGCGTCCATCCAGTGGCTTTGGTTTGCTTTATCTATGAAGTGAGGCCTGGCAGCCCTTCCCTTTACTGATGACTGTGAAGATATCTAAACCACAGCATGTGATTTATAGGGCTTAGTGGTGGCTTTGAAGGGAAATTGCCATCAGTTTTATGACTGCCTTCATAAGTATCCTTCATATTGGTAAACCCAGGCTCAGAGAGGTAGACTGATTGCCCTGAGGTCACACAGCAAGGCTGTGGCAGAGAGAAGCCTCCCTTGTTGGCTGGGCAACTTTGAGCAAGTAGTTCGCCCTCTCTGGTGTTCATTTTCCTCCTTATATTGTAAGGATTAATAAGATGTCAGGTACTAGTTCACACTTTCTGCATCCTTTGGTCAAGAGATATTTATTGAGCACCTACTATGTTCCAAGTTCTGTCTGGACTGAAGATTTAGTGGTGAACAAAATAGACAAAACATTCCAGTCCTCCGGGGATTCACATTCTAGAGTAAGGAAATAGACAGAAGACAGACACAGTTAACCCTCATTCTTTGTGGATTCAATATTTGCGAATTTACCTACTCGCAAAGTCAGTATTCACTGCACTTTCCCAGTATTCACGGACATGTGCAGAGTGGCCAAAGTTTGCGTTGCCTACAGTTGATGTTCTCAGCTGAGGTCAAACAAGGTGGCGCTCTGCCCTCTTGTCTCAGCTCTCAAACAAAGATGCCAAGAGGACAGAGCCAGGAGGGGTGGTGCTGGGCACGGAGCTCCCCCACTGTGGCCAGCCCGATGGGTTTGAATCCCAACTCAGGCCCCTGGGAGGGGGTGGGCCTCAAGACAAATCACTTAACATTTCTGAACGTGTCTCCTCATTTGCAAAATAAATAAAATTGAGTCTACCAGAATGAGTTGTTTTTAGGATTTAAGATCGTAACTTATATTAGATGTGTGTATACCTATATACATATACATATGCACATACGTACAAACATACAATGTCTTAGTCTGTGCTGCTGTAACAAACACCACAGATGGGGTGGCTTAAGCAACTATTTCTTTCTCACAGTTCTGGCGGCTGGGCACCTCCAGATGAAGGCGCCAGTAGATTTGGTGTCTGGGGAGGGCCACCTTCCCCCTGTGTCCTCACATGGTGGAGGGGGTGAGGGAGCTCTCTGGGCCCTCTTTTCTAAGGGCATGAATTCCATCCATGAGGGCTCCACTCTCACTACGGAATCACCTCCCACAGACCCTCCTCCCCCAATACTGTCAGCTTGGGGGTTAGGATTTCAACATTTGAATTTGGAGGGGATATAAACATTTAGTCCATAACATGTACATATTATTATATATTATTACTTAATACTGTATACACATTCCCCCCCAGGAGCAGTGGGTCAGTGTTTGCTAAGGCAGTGTTTGCTGCAGCTTTAGAGACCATAACTGCCTCAAGTCACGAGACTGACTGGGCATACTAGCATGTCTGGTGGTGATAAAGGCTACGAAGTAAAACAGCTGACCCAGGACCTAGGGAATGACGAGCTGTTGGGGACAGAGGGTCCAAGCTGGACCTCTGGAGATGCCTGAAGGAAGTGAGGCCACAGCCCTGGGCCTCTGGGGAGCAATAATCCAACATTCCCTCCCTCTCCATCCTTCACCCACTTGTCTCCGAAAGCCTTTGGAGTGTTCACAGTCCCACCTCACACACTTGCCCCCTTGTTCTTTCTTACTCTCCTATCTTTCCAGCTCCTTTTCTTCTGAATGTTTGTTGTTCTGTCCCCCCAACCACTGCCCCCACCCCCACAATTCCTTCTATTTACTTATAACAAACATGCCAGGCACAAATATTGACTTGTGAAATTTCTAAGCTGAAGAACAAGGTGTTATCCTCATTCTGTAGGTGAAGAAAGAAGTGCAGAGGCGAAGTGACTTGCCCAAGGTCACACAGCCAGGATGTGGTAGGACTGAGAGTCAGATGCAGACCTTCTGGCCCCTGAGACTGTTTTTCAATTAACTGCTATGCAGCTGCTCTTTTTCATTATCCCTGACCCTCTTGTCTGCACCCCCACCCTGTGGCCCCCTCTGCCACATCCCTGTTCCCACTCCTGTTGTCCTGTCTCATCACTCATTCTTCTGTCTCCTTCCCCCTCAGATCCACCTCCACAGTGGCCCGAGGAGACCTCCGCCCAAGGTTTCCGGCAGCTGCTGGAGCTTAACCTACTGGGGATGTACACCTTGACCAAGGTGAGGGCTGGGTCCCCAGGTGCCAGGCCCAGGTGGCTTCCCGGCAGTGAGACTGTCAGACACACTTGGTCTCAGAGCAAAATGTTTTCTGTTCCTTGGTTTGATCTTATTCTAAAGAAATGGGAGCAAATCCCTATATCCAGAGAAAGCTACCTGTGTAGCTACATAGCCCAGACTTCTTAGGAACTTTCCAGGACCTTCCAAAGTGGTGTGGTGGTAGTGGTGGGGGATGTATGGACACAGAGGGAGGAGTTGAGACAGGGAGTTGGGAAAAGACAGTTCCAACTTTGCCACCCAGTGACTAGCTAGTAGGAGCACAGAGCCTCTCTCCTTCTACTTTTATGCCCTTTTCTAAATCATCCATGAAGGTCTCCAGTTTGTCAGTTCAGTTTAAATGTCACCTCTTCAGAGAAACCCCTTTCCTGACAATCTTTGCTTATGTGGCACCTACCCACCCATATTCATTCTCTGTGTAGCAGATTGTTTTCCTCAGAGCAATTCATTCAACCAGAGTTTATTTATAAAGCACCAGCAATGGGTTCAGCACTGGGCATCCCGCAGGGGAAAAAACAGACAAACATCCCTGCCCCTGGGGAGCCGACATTCCAGTTGAGGAGACAAAACAGTGAGAAGTAACTAGAATGTAATGTCAGGGAGTGATACATCCTCTGCCAAAAAAGTGAAGGAAAGCATGGGGTTGAAGAGATGTGTTAGTGCTACTCTGTAAAACTTGAGAAGAGAGAACCATACACTGAACCTCCTGTGCCCATCACCAGCGCAGACAATTAGCAACATTCTGTCATTCTTGCTTCATTTAGAGCCCTCACTTTTTCTTTTTGTTTCTTTCTCTCTTTTTTTTTTCCTCTGGAGTATTTTAAAGCAAATCCGACATTGGATTTCACCCATGAATTCAGTAGGTATCTTTACCAGATGAGTTTTTTTAAGTGTATTTGTATGCTCTTTTAGCCAGGGTGGGGTGGTCAAAAGGCTTCCCTGAGAGGCGACCTTAGAGTCAGACCCCAGGAGGTGTATGGGGAAGGGGGTCCAGCAGAGAAGCTGCTGGTGCAAAGGCCCTGGGGTAGGACTGTTGGGCGAGGAGAAGGAGCAGTGAGGAAGGCAGTGTGATGAAGCAGGTGGAGCGACAGGGAGAGGGTGGGCAGAAAAGGGGCAAAGAGGTCTAGGTCACATGGGGCCTCGTAAACCAAGGAGAAGACTTCGCTGCGACACTGAGTTGAGTGAGCCCGGAGCCAGTGTCAGGCTTCCGAGCGGAGGGACGTGAGCTGCCGGAAGCTGGAACTGGCGCCCTCTGGCTGCCGCTTGGGGAACAGCCGGGGGCGAGGGCCATGGCCGCGAGCCCAGTAAGGGGGAGACCTGGATAGTTGGGCAGGAGGTGATTTTGAATAGAGTCAGGACAGTGTCTGTGGATTTGGTGAGAAAAGTTCCGATTCTGCATCCGTTTTGAAAGTAGCATTGCCAGGATTTCCTCTTAGACTGGATGTGGGGGTGGACGCGAGGAAAAAGAGAGTGGGTTTTGGGGCTTGTTTCTCCTACCCCTACCCGCAGTAACCGGCAGGACCGAGCTGCCGTCCACTACGACGCGGATGCCTGGGGAGGGGGCAGGTGGGGTGGGACACCTGTTGAGTGGGAGATGCCCCGCAGACGTCCCAGAGGGACTCACGGGTCTGGGGTGAGGGTCAGGCCTGGAGACATCCGTTTGGAGCTTCCCAGCTTGAGGCTAGCACAGCTCAGAGTGTAGACAGAGAGGGGAGAGGCCCAAGGAGTTGCGGGGGTCACCAGTGTGGGGGAGCTCCCGTGCTGTCCCCCAGGTCCCATCTGGAATCAAGGTGAAATAGCCTCAGACAGTTGCTTAACCAGTAAACCATGGCTTCTGTCCCTAATTTCTGTTTTTTAACACTGGTACCTCCACACAGTAAGGCATGCATATACCACAATCCATAAAGGACATATGTGTGTGTCCCGGCCCGCGGGACGAACGTGGAGTGTGCCGGAGACGCCTGCAGAAATGACACAAGCAAGGGACACAAAGAATGACCAGCAAGGCAGGATGTCTGATCAAGCTGGCGAAGTTTATTGTTTACAGGCTCAATTTATACAAGTAGCAAGTAAGGGGTGGGTCAGGAGATAATTGGACCTTAGGTGGCGCTGGCGGGAGGTGTTTTCACACATCCTCAAGGTCTCCCTATTTTCAGAGTGAGGAGTCTTGGCTCATCTTCAAGGACAAGATATGTTTTTGTGAGCAGATAACTTCCAGGACTGCACCGGTTGCTCTCAAGCTTGTGCTTTCCCATGCTGCGTTCAGACGTGGGGGAAGGGACATAGCCCCGGCTCCCAACATTGTGTGTGTGTGTGTGTGTGTGTGTGTGTGTGTGTGTGTGTGTATTTATATATGGCTGGTACAGCAGCCTTCCATGGGAGTAAAGGGTCTATATCTGGACCCGCCTGCCTCAGTTCTCCGCCACTTCCTACCTGCAACGTCAGGCAAGTTCATTTCTCTCTGTGACTCAGTTTTCTCATCTGAAAAATGGCTTGTGTCTTAATCTGCCAGGGAGGCCAAAGACCCAGGGATTCTGATTCAAGGGGTCTGGGCTGGGGCCCCAGAATCGACATGTCAAGAACTCCCAAGGGATGCTGGTGATGGTGACGATGGTGGTAGTGGTGGTGATGGGTATAATGGCAACCACTTACTCGTGGTGACAGATTTCTCTGGCCTCCCTGGTAGATTCAGACACAAGTCAATGCTGTGATTCCCTAGGCTAGAGAAAAGAATGGAGGAATTGAGGATATTTATATATTAAAGGAAGTGAGATCTTAGAGCAATAGAGTACCATAGGTGTTTGAACACAAGAGCATGAAATGCAGACACTGGTGTGGTTCTCAGAGACCTGTCTTCCATTCATCTGTTCATTCGTTGAATGCTGACTGAGCATTTGGTAGGTGTTGGGCAGTGTCCTAGGCCCTGGGGATACACCATGTGTCTTTCCCTTTAAGTTTGTAGTTGTGGGGCAGCCAGATGTTAATAAATAAACGCAGAGATGAGTTTATGTGGGCGAGTGTGTTTTGTGCCAGAAAGGAGATGGGTGTGGTTCTGAGAGATGTGTGACATGGGGACTGGCTCATCCTGGGGGTCAGGGTGGGCCTCCTGGAGAAAGTGAAAGATCAGCATTAATTAGGGGAGAGGGCCGGAGACTCTGGATTGGGAGGGAGAGTCAGACCAGTAAGAGTCCAGTGCCCTTGATGTGGCTGATACAGTACGTGAGGTGCTAGTGTTCCTGGTAGAGGGCGTAGCTTGTGCAAAGGCCTGGCAGTGAGAGAGTCTGTTGCTGTTGAGGGACTGAGTGGAATGGGGTGACCAAAGGTGGTGGTGCAGGAAGGGTTGTGGGGGGCAGATCACCTGGCGCCTTAAGGGCCATGCTGAGGTGTCTGGTCTTTATCTCAAGAGCAATAGGAAGCCATGGAAGGCATTTGAACAAGGAAGTGATGTGGTCCCATTAATACTGACAGATCATTCCAGCTCTTGTATGAGGGCAGAGTGTGGGGTTAGGAACACCAGTCTTCAGAAACTGGTCACATTTGTGCAGGTGAACAGAAGTGGTCTTCAGGTCCTGCATGATCTGGTTCCTGTCTTGCTCTAACCTCACCTCCCCCCATGGTGGCCTTGTGGCTGCCAAACATCAGGCTTGTCTTGCCTCAGGGCCTTTGCACTCACTATTCCCTCTGCATGGCACGATCTTCTGGACTCAAAGTGCCCAAGGTGTTCCTTCTCCCAAGGCCTCTCTGGACACTCTGTTTGCAGTTGCAACCATCCCCCTCTTCCTGCTCTACTTCTTATTTTATATTCCTAATCACATGCTAGAACATTCCATGCTGTACTTTTGTTTATTGCTGCCTCCCCAGAGAACTTGCAGGCAGAATCTCTCCCTGTCATGTTTCCTGTGGTATCTCCAGCATTTACCTGGCACATAGGTGATGAATTAATCTGTTGAATGAGTAAATGAAATAGGTGAAGATAATTGTATAGATTTAAGAGATCCTTAGAAGGTACAGTGGCTGGGGCTTGGGGTGGGTCAGGTGAGGGAGAGGGAAGCTCCAGAAGGCTCCCAGGTCTGCCAGGTCTTCAGCTTGAGAAGCTGGGTGGGAGTGAACCAGGGAGAGAGGCAGATTTTCCGGGAGACCAGAGAGTAAGATTTTCCCAGACAGAAAGGTGGAGATACCCCAGGGTGGCAGGTCAGGACTCTGGAAGGGGCCTCTGAGGGAAATTTAGGAGATGCCGGTGTGAAGCCAGCTGAGTGGGGGCTCCCCCGCCTGAGCTCAGAGCATGAGAAGCAGACCCAGGAACCCTAACATTTGGGAACATGGACTGAGGCCAGAGCAAGGCTGCAGGACGTTGAGGAGAAAGAGCCAGGCCGGTCAGCACCAGTGGGTCCTCACTGTGGCTGCCCAGGGGAGCCATGGGGGTGGGGCGGGGCGGACACCCTCCGAGGCATGTGGAAGGTGCGGGACAGTTGGGAAGTGAGTGTGGGACAAATATTTGTTGAGCACCAGCTATGTGCCCAGTGCTAGGATGAAGGTGGCAAATAAACCATATCTCAGCTCTCCTGGGCCAGGTGGGGGTGGGGAGGATGTTAAAGAGCTGGGTCGGTGTCATCAGGCTTCATCAGGCTTCAGGAGAGACCGAGGGCTAGGGCAGGGCCAGGGGTGGGGCCTGGGAGCTGGGAGGATTGAGGGAGGGGAGAATGTGGAGGGGGTCCCCAAGGAGGAAGCTGCGTGTTGTGTTCAAGTTCTAAACACTCAGAGCTGTTAGAAATTCTTCCTGGTTATTCTGGGTTTGGTCCCAGAGTTCTGGCACAAATACTGGCTCTGTCAGGTGGCACATTCCCTTGGAGCCATGTGACCCTCCGCTGGGTCTCCTCCCAGGTAAGAAGGGGGCTCTCATTGCAGAGCTGAGTAAAGAGCTGAGGACAGGGCCAAGCACATAATAGATCCTCAGTGCATTCATTTATTCAAAAGATATTTATTGAGCTGTAAGTCTGGAGAAAGGAAATCCTGGGGCAAAATACCTCTAAAAACTGAAATCAGTCAAAGGGAGAAATAAAGTTTAAAATGCATTTATTGCTTACAAACTGCAGTCCGGGGCCTTCTTTCTCTCCTGCTCCAGCAGAAAGAAAACTGGCCTTCCCCCTCACCTCTCCGTTGCCCAGGTAATTACCCATTGATATGGAGATGAACTTCTCTCCACCCCTGAGGGATGATGCAAATACATTAAAGCCAGACTTCTCTCCACCTCTGAATGCCTATTGATATGCAGATGTACTAAAGCCAGGCGAGATATTCTGGAAATATTACAATTTTACCCAATGAGCACTTACTGTGTGACCAGCACCTTAATACTGAGGATGAAACAAAATAAATTTCAACTGTCCTTTGTGGATTTTGCAATCTGGTGGGAAAGACAGAGAATAAACAAATAAGTAAAATCTCTGTGCTACAGAGAAAAGGAATGAGGATGAGGACCCAGCAGTAGACAGGTTGCAGTTTTAAACAGGCTGGTTAGGGTAGGCCTCAGGGAGGAGGTGACGTCTGAGTTTGAAGTTGCTGAGGAAGTAGGTTTACCCAGCACTGTCCCACATCTCTGGAAACCCTTCAGTCCCATGCAAACTGGTATAATTGGTCACCCTGGGAGTCAGTCACATAGCTATCTCAGGAAAAGCATTCCAGACAGAGGGAATAGTAAGTGAAAAGGCCCTGTGGTTGGGACACTAAGTGGGTGTTGGAAGATACAGTGCTGAACAAAGGATAGAGGTTGTTTTCGAAGGTTTGAAAGACCTGGTGGAGTGAACCGGACAGACCTAATTTAGATTTACACTCGGAGAACCCCTTGGGGGAACTGTTCTGTGCTCTTAATCTTCAGTGACATGGAACAGGTCTTGTCTGACCAGCTCAGCTGCCCAAGGCAAGAGAGGGAAAGGGTGGAATTTGAGTTTATTCAAGGTCACTGTAGTGAAAGAAGGGAAACGGCAGGAGGGAAGTAGGGAGGGAGGGGAAGGAGAGAGTTAAGTAGATTTAGGACCTCCACAGAGCCAGGGAGTTGCAGGGGAGAAGTAGGCAGAATATGGGGTGTATTTCATATGTGCCCCCCATCATACTGTGACCACAGAGCTCTCCCTAAACTCAGAGAAACCATTTTCCCCTCCATGGATGAGAGAACTTTCCCCATTTTTGCAAAATACGCAGACATCTTGCATTTTCCCATCTTAATATGGACAGGAATTTGAGTAACATGCAAAGACCCAGAGAGAGAGGGACAGAGACACAGAAGTGGGGGTGGGTGGGGGTGGCCGAGAGAGAAAGAGACAGGCAGGCAGGCAGTGAAGACATAGAAATCCCTTCCAGACAATGAGGGACTCTAAGCTCCGAGACCCAGAGACTCTGGGCAGCCCAGAGAAGGGGTGCTTTAGAGCTCTGGATACTGGGCTCCACAAGGCACCAAATCCACTAGTGAACATCGGCCCAGGCGCTAGGATGTGTTCCAGCCGGGCTGGGGGAGACCCTAGGGCTCCTTCCTCTGCCTCCTGTCTCTCCAGCTCGCCCTCCCGCACCTGCGGAAGAGCAGGGGGAATATCATCAACATCTCCAGCCTAGTTGGGGCGATTGGCCAGTTGCAGGCAGTTCCCTATGTGGCCACCAAGGTACCCTGCCCTTTCCCTCCCTGCCTGGCCCCCCACAGGCCTCAGCCCTGACGCAAAACCACCTGAGACATGTTCTGTGTCCAGTGTCTCCCGAGAACAGAGCCTGTGCGTCCCCGAAGCCTCCAAGGAGTGCGTGGCTTCCGCACGCGGAGGGCCCCGCAGGACCGCCCCTGGTCGGGAGCGGAGGGCGGGAAGCCTCATCTTCCCCGACTGAGCTTCCTCTCTGCCCCTCTGCAGGGGGCAGTAACAGCCATGACCAAAGCTCTGGCCCTGGATGAGAGTCAATATGGTGTCCGGGTCAACTGGTGAGCAGCTCCAAGGCGGCCCCGAGCCTCCTGCGGTGACGGTGACGGGAGGCTGGGAGTGAGCCCCGGGGGCTGGCTCCGGGGCAGACTGCCCTCATCCCTTCTCCCTTCCCGAAGTATCTCCCCAGGAAACATCTGGACCCCGCTATGGGAGGAGCTGGCGGCCTTGACACCCGACCCCGCGGCCACAGTGCGGGAGGGCGCGCTGGCCCAGGTAGGAGGGGGCCACATCCATGTGGCATGGGGACGGCCTGGCGTGTGGTGGTCAGGGGGCGCTCCTCTTGACCTCCTTTCCCCGTCTCTCTCCAGCCCCTGGGCCGGATGGGCCAGCCATCTGATGTGGGGGCTGCAGCTGTGTTCCTGGCCTCCGAAGCCAACTTCTGCACGGGGATTGAGCTGTTTGTGACTGGGGGTGCAGAGCTGGGGTACGGGTGCAAGGCCTGTCAGGGTGCCCCCACCAGCCCTTCCTGACTCTCCACATTTCCACGGGCACCTCCGTGACTAGGACTCTTCAACCCCAAACTCAAGTCTCCCACTTTGAGCTACCATCTGCCCCTCAGGGACAGCCCCCAATTCTAGACATTAAGCCCACTTACCAATGTGCCAAACCACCCCACAGATTCTCATAAAAGTTCTCTGCAGCCAGAAGGAGGGGGGCATCATTACATTTATTTTCCGCCCTTTACGAATCCTGAACCTCGCCCTTAGCCCTGTGGGTGGCCTTGATCCAAAGGACTGCAATTCCAGGCAGGTCTTTCTGCAGGAACCTGTCGGCCAGGGGCTCCAGGGAAAAGTGTGTGCAGTTTGCTTAACAGGGCGCTAATTACACAGCCCACAGGGGACAGTAAATTAAACTCTAATTGGGAGATAATGGAGGAGGTGGGACAAAAGGGCCTCCTGTCTGTTGTTGGCCATTAGGGGAAAGGAGTTTTGACCTCACTTTCTGCGGAATAATAGGGTGGCCGGTGCCAGAAGTCCTGAGTGGGGAATAGGTGGGAGCTTGACACTCCTGGGTCTGGATGAGAGGGAGACTGGGGAGCGTGGCTTCTGTGTCCGCCGGGCACCAGCGGACCCTGCGCTGGGGCTGGAGGCGCGCCGAGAGGTGCAGTAAATCCCTCAGGCAAGGGGGTGGAGCTGCCCGGCTGTCGCGCATTGGCCGCGGTGGGGGGTGTGCGGCAATCGCTGATTGGCCGAGGCGGGACGCTAGGCGTGCGGAGGCCGCACCCCTACAGCCCCAGGCCACGTGGTGGGGACGGATGACTGGGGAGGGAAAACAGGGCGACACCCTGAGGGGGAGGGGGAGGTGTTTGACCGCCTGGGCCCGTGGCTATTAGGGCTAAGGGTCAGTGACCTGAGAACAGGATTTGGATGCCAAATGTTCTAGGGTAGAATTACGCAAGCACAATGGTCCAGGAATGGGAGTTTGAGGATACAGCAGCATCAAGATTGTGGTGTCACAGTAATTGGGATGCAGAGTTGGGGGAATTTTAACCACGGAAAGTTTGGGGCAGTGACAGGAGTACGATGTAGGGGACACCTGATGCATTGCTAGGATTATAGGGATCCTGATGAACTGTAATCGACTAACAGCTTCTAGGGGTCCTGAAGTTAGGGAGACACCCATGAAAGGGCGTAACGAGAAAATCCAGCTCTAACGACTGTTCCTAGAGGCTCATCGACAAGTTGGCGACTGAAATTTTCGGGTCTCACTGAAAGGCTCCAGAAAGAGGCATGGTGAACTGGTTTTCTCTCTTCAGAGTTACAAAGAATACACATATTTTCTCGTCGGAAAGAAAAACTATATTCAAACAGGGTTCGACTGCAACCCCACTCTCTTCAGAGGTCTTTTCCTACACTCTTTTCCCTTTTCATACATGATATATACACCCACCGACATTTGCAGTGTGTTTTTCCTTTTCACCAAAGGATCGAGGTGTCTGCTCCTGGGCTCTTTCCTCTCTTACCTCAGGCTGGGCTGCTTATCCTCGGTAGTGCTCCGTGACAATACTTATTAAATGCATTTTTGAAAACCGCTGCATGCCCCCTGTTGCACTGCATAATGTGGGGGCTGAGAGGAAAGTGTATTTCAATTTACTCGCCTTGCTTCTCGGGCTCCAGCGCATGCGCTCTGCGGCACGGTTCGGTTTCCCCCCGGGCGCTCTGTAATTGGGGAGGCCTGGCGGGACTGGGGTGTCCGGCTGGCGGCGAGGGGGCGTGAGCAGGGCGGGGCCGGAACGTCTTTCTCCCGGGACGGGCACAGTTACTCGCCACACCGACCATGGCTGCAGCCGCGCTGGGGCAGGTGGGTTCGCGGTCCCGTGCCGAGGGGCTGGGGAACCCCGCGGGGAGGCACACTTCCGGGGGCACCGTTAGCGCGCGGCCCGTCCGGCGTGGCGCCGCTCCTCCGGTGCTCGGGTTCCGCGGCGGAACGCCGAGGAGGAGTGGGCCGGTGGAAAGGAGCGCGAGGCTGTCGTGGGGGCTAGTGGTGGGGTGTTGTCATGGAGGTAATTGGTGGGAAGGGGACCCGAACAGGAGGTATGAGTTGGAAAACGGGCAGAGGCCAGTAATGGGAGAGGTTTGAGGAGGGAGTAGTCAGCCTGTGGGGACGCCGGGATAAGACGCCCAGGACCTCCAGGGGAGAGGGTAGGATGAACGTAGGGTTCAGTCTCAGGTCTAGTATGAAAACTGGACCCAAGGCCCTATTTTCTTGGGATTAAAAGTTAAGATAGATGTGGTGTCGTGTCCCCCAAACCTTGTATTTGAGCTCTGCACCTGACTTGGAAATCGAGGCAGCTTCTCATTGTCAAAGTAACAGAGATCCTCCAGGCCCTAGAGGGACTTTCTGTTCTTACTGATAAGATGTCAGCCGGCAGAGATGATTCATTAAGTCTATGATTTTAGAGAACAGAGTTTCTCATTGAGGAAGGAAACAGTAGCAACTCAAGGGAGACTACGGCCCTGGACAGCTGCGGCATAACCTTGGAAGTGTTTCCTGTAACTTTGCACCTAACTATCTGGGACTCTAATCGCAGCCTGATGGGTTGCAGGACAGATTTTTCCTGTTTTGTGTCTCAGTGACTGATGAAGACAGGCTTGGGCTAGGCTCTCTGAGGGAATCTCGGCTTTGATGGTGACACACTTCCAGGCTGTGGTGGCAGTCTGGGGTTGTGGTGTGGACAGCCTGCTGTTGTGATGTGGACAGTCTGTATTGGGCAGTCGTGGTCTGTGATGGGAAAGTTCTGGGCTATAATGGGATTCTACATGTGATGGGATGAGTCCTGGGCCATGACAAGGACAATTTTGACTGGGTGCTGAAATAGGGACTGGGCATGGCTGAGACAAGAACACTGCATTGTGACGGGGATTCTTCCAGAGCTGTGATTGGGGGCGGTCCTGAAGTGTGAAAGATAGTGCTGGGCTCTGACAGAGGCACCCCTGGGCTTTGATGGTGACAACCCCGGGCTATGTTGGGAGAACAGTCCCGGACTGCGCTGGGACAGACCTGGGCCGTGATGAGACTTACTCCATCGTGGAGGCCCCATCACGTTGCAGCGCCCTGCCCTGTACCCCTTCTGCAACCCTTTCTTGTTACTTAATTCACCCCCCAAACTATTACACTCTGTCCCAATAGCCCATCTACCATCTGAGAATCCCTTGGCCCAATCCCCATGGTTTGGGGTGTTAGGGGGAAGGGGGTGCCTTCCCTGAGCTAAGGTGAGACCTCTGACCCTAGAGAAATGTCCTGGGATGATGAAGGCCGCTTTTCCCAGTTTGTTAGGGTCTCTGTGGCCAGTGGAGATATATAACCTCCTGGTCACTATGCCTGGCACCTTCCCTCTGCCCCGTGGTTGGGTTTTTCTGCCTCTCCCTCCTCTCCTGGATCTCTCTGTCTCTAAGCATCACTAGGCAGCTCCTCTCCCGGTACTGGCGTCACTGCCTCTCCCAGCCTTTCCTCCTTTCTCTGGATCGGCCTTTGACGTTGTGCTCCGTCACCTGAAGTTTAGTCTTTGTCTATTTCCTTTTTCCTCATGTCCTCTCTCTTTCTGTCTCTGCCCCTCCCTCCTGGCCCTCAGCCTCTCTACATCTCACTCTTGGTATTTTTTTTTTTTTCTCTAGGCTTTACTTTGCCTGAGTTTGTCTCCTTCTCTGTTTCATCTCAGTCTCTTTTTATGATCATATCTATTTTGGCATCTCTTGGCCTGATTTCTGTTCTTTTCAGTTTGTGCTTTCGATTTCTATGTGTATCCTTTTCTCATTCTTGCTCTTCCCTCTTTAATTTTTTCCATTCTGGCTCTCTTTGAGGGCCACCTGCCTGCCCAGATGCTGGCTGTCTCTGCCCTGGGCGTCCATCCTCTCTCCATATTGCGGGTGCTCTGTGGACAGAGGCATGGCCGCAGGCTTGTGTGCGTTACTTGCCGCCACCTGGCGGCCATGCTCTAACCTGCACTGATCATCTCAGACGCGCTTGGGCCCAAACGATCTAGCACCTCTCCTCAGACAGACTTCATGGCCCAGACTTTAGGACAGTGCAGGCCCAGAGCCCCCAGCTCCCCATGACTCACCTACGGTAACCAGTGGCCACTGCCATTCATGTCTGCTTCCACTGATGGTGTCAGCTCACCCAGCTCACAGGGCAGGGGCCGCCTAGGCTGTTGTCTCCAACCTCATGACCCAGCTGCTTTTCTGTTGGACTTGAAAAGAGGCATTGTAAGGCCAAAGAACACTGGAGAGGCCACCCTTCTGGGCTTGGCCAGACCTACTCTCCCCTGCTCGCCTTGGGCAGAACCACAAGGGAGCTACTCACCTGAACGGTCGGTGTCCATTGATGATGGGGGCAGTTCCCAGATTCCTGTGCTACCGCTGAGCCCTGGGATCAGAAGGGAATTGGAATCACTGATGTCCAGATATGCAGCTGGCGGCTAAGCCCAGCTGATCTAATATCCTGAAAGAATAAGGCCTTAGACTCCTGCGTCTGAGGGAGGAGGGGCTGGGGTCGTGGATTCTGGGTCCTGAAGGAGCATGACTTATAGGTCCCTCACTTGTCTAACTCTTGTCAGGATTAGGGTCCCCAGGGAGGCCTTCCTTCACCTGCACACCTCCCCAGTCGCCATATTCTGGCTGGGCTAGGCGCAGGGCTGGGACCAAAGTTCCCTGGGGTGGGAGGTGCTTATGTTTGACTTTACCCTGGTGTGGAGGAGGGGATGGGAGCTGCTTCACCTCTTTCTAGGGATGACTCTTGTGCGGGCAGGGTGGGGGCTTGGCCTCTTCAAGATCTCCTGTCTCCACACACTGATCCAAACAGGGCAGCAGAGTCGGCCAGGGCCACGTGCCGCATCTAGAATGAATTGGCATAGGACAGAGCAGGCCAGAGGGCCCTCCTAAGTGCAGGAGGTGACCAGGCTCCCCTGCTCTCTCTCTCCTGGCCTCACCACCATTCTTACTTCTGTCCCCAACCCCAGATTTGGGCCCGAAAACTTCTCCCCGTCCCTTGGCTTCTGTGTGGTCCCAGAAGATATGCCTCATCCAACTTCAAGGTAAATGAGGGGCTATAGTTTAGGATCTCAAGGAGGAGGGGCTTGGTCTGGGGGAGGAGGAGTCTGGGGGCCTGAACTTTTAGGTTTGAGGGAGGGGCTGGTAGTTGGATTTGGGCATCTCCAAAAGGTCCAGGGTTCAAAAGTAAGGGCAGGTGGCAATGGAGTAGCTTAGTAGCCTGCTTCCCTGCTGTGTGAGAGGAGAAACTGTACATCCCAGAAGCCTCTGGGGCTACAGGTCCCTCTTTGCTCTAGGTCTTTGCCCCAGGGTTTCATGGGAGTTGTAGTTTTCCAGTTTGGAGGTTGTAGCCAGAACCAGAACACCCGGGTCCTGTGCCTTTTCTCAGGCTACAGACCTGCAGCTGGAGATGACACAGGAGCCGCATAAGAAACCTGACCCCTATAAGCCCCTGGTGTTTGGGAAGACATTCACCGACCACATGCTGATGGTGGAATGGAATGAGAAGAAGGGCTGGGGCCAGCCCCGCATCCAGCCCTTCCAGAACCTCATGCTGCACCCGGCCTGCTCTGGTCTGCACTACTCGCTGCAGGTGGCCTGGCTGGTGACCTCTCTCCCTGTCTCCCTCCCTGTCTTCCTCTTGCTGTGTCTCTCACTGGATCTGCCTCCCTGGGTTCGTGTTTCTTCTTTCTGGGTATTCACCACCCATTTTCTGAGGCCTCTCATGTTCCAGACCCCGTGCTGGGTGATGCTGGGTTCCCCGAGATGAGCAGAAAGCAGCTCCTTCACTGCAAAAGCCCATGTTTTGGTTACAACCCAGTGAGATCTGTGTTCCGATGGAGGCTGCTCAGCCGTTGTGGGGGCCAGGAGAGGCATCTGGTCCTACCTCCAACTTGAAAGAACGTGGGGTTCTCTTGGCAGAGGGAGGCTTAGGTGTTAGAGGGAGAGAGGACAGCCAGTATAAAGATAGTACAAAGAAAAGCCCGGCATACTTGGGGGGAATGATTGGGTTGAAGTATAGTAGGAGAGGCTGAGGATGTCCTCAGGGCCAGCGTTGCTCAGGGGCTGCGGCCATGGAGGGCTCTGAGCAGCACGAAGCAGGGCCAGCCCGGGTGCAGTGAGGCCCCCGTGAGACCAAGTGGAGGATGAGCTGGGAGGGAGAGGCGGGCCAGGAGGCCGGCCTGGGAGGAAGGTCCGGGCAGGAGAGGACAAGGAGACCTGAGCTGGGGCTGGAGCCAGGGGGTGGGGATGGACAGAGGGGGGGACCCGGCAGGAATTTGGAGACATGAAGGATTGGCAGGCTGAGTGGGACAAGGGAAGGGAGGGTCGAGGATGGTGCCCAGAAGTTTGGCCATGTGACCGGGTAAACCAATGGACTGTCCCCCTATGGGCATCAGGAGGAGAATCGGCTTTGTGGGACTTGGTAAGGGGCCCGTGAGGACAGAGATCCAGGAGGCATTCGGTTCACAGCTTAAAGCTATGGCTGAAAGCAAAGTCCCTGGGGAAACTAGTGATGAGATTTGGATGAACATATTACAGCTCTAGTAGCTGGTTTGCAGTTGAGTATTTAAAAAACGTTTTTGAAATTTCAAACATAAAGTAGAATGGAATAACACACCCCGGCCCCTGGCCCCCTCAGTTAGCAGCTGTTGGTTGCCTCATTGTTCCGTCTGGACTTCCACCCTTCCCCTGCTTTCTGTGTGATTTTGAAGCAAACTTCGGGCATTGTATTATTTCATCATTTCTCTACACCACAAGGACTATAAAGACATAACTTCCACAGTGTCATCATTCCTGAGACCCAGCACCAGTGACCTGGGCAGGATCTAAGCCAGTGTCTCTACCTCATTGTCTCTCTGGGTCTCTGTAGCTGTCTCTCTTTTCTCCCCTTTTCCTCTCTTGTTCAGCCCGTTCATCTCTCCCCGAGTGTCTCAGCGTCCTTCTGTGTCTGTGTCTTTGTGTGGCACTCTCTGTCTTGGCATCTCTGTCTCTCCGTGGCTGTCCGAGGCGGTCTCAGAGCTTAGAGTCACCTGTTCACCCGTCCCCACAGCTCTTTGAGGGCATGAAGGCATTCAAAGGCAACGACCAGCAGGTGCGCCTCTTCCGACCCTGGCTCAACATGGACCGGATGCTGCGCTCAGCCCTGCGCCTCTGCCTCCCGGTGAGGGGCCCCTGGCAACTGGCTGGAGGTGGGCGTGGGGTGGGGCAGGGGCCACACAGGCCCCCTGAGCATCAGAATTCCACCCAGAGCTTTGATAAGGTCGAGTTGCTCGAGTGCATCCGCCGGCTGGTGGACGTGGACAGGGACTGGGTTCCTGACGACACCGGTTCCAGCCTCTACGTGCGGCCTGTGCTCATCGGGAATGAGGTGGGCCCAACTTCCAGGGCTGGGCAACCAGAATGGGGGACTCCTGAAGGGAAGGGCTAGGGACTCAAACTCCTGGGTCCCTGATGCCTCCTTCTGCCCCTTGCAGCCCTCACTAGGTGTCAGCCAGTCCACGCAAGCCCTCCTGTTCGTCATTCTCAGCCCCGTGGGCTCATACTTCCCTGGAGATGCCATGAATGCTGTCTCCCTGTTGGCCGACCCAACATTCATCCGGGCCTGGGTGGGTGGGGTTGGTGACTACAAGCTGGGGGGGTAAGTAGCCCCTTCCGTGCCAGACACTGGGTGTCAGAGACACAGGGTGCAGTGCATGTGCTGTGGATGTGTCTTTGGATGTTTGTTGTCCCTCCCACCCTGTTTCACATGGTTAGGGACAGCTCTGCTCAAGCTAGGATGTGATGTCATTGGTGCCGTGGGTCGTCGGGGGGGGACCTGTGCTAAGCGCTATAAACAAATGGCTCAGGGTTGGGAAGGGCTTGTACAGAGGTCAGTGGAGAGATCAGGATTGGCCCCCTGGGAAGACTCCAGAAATGACAGCTCACTGGCCCCTCTCTGAACACCCACCCACCTCACACAGCAGCTCTATGCCTGACTCCCATCATCCCCTGGGCCTTCAGCAGCCGCCACCCTAGTGTGGACTTCCTGTATAAATCTGCCTCGCCAGGGGCTGGGCTCATCAGGGCAAGGAGTGTCTCCTGGGTGGCGATCAAGGCAGAGGGTGGGGGAAGTGTGGTCCCAGCTGGGATTTCATTCAGTCCTTTCAATAGACATATTGTGAGGGCTCCTGAGGACCAGGCCCCAGGCTGGGTGAAGCTGGGGACACAGACGAGGTAGATCTGGGCCCTGCCCTCCCGGGGCTCCCAGGCTGGTGGGAGCAGCCTGTGCTCTGAGGGAGGTGATGGGACCTCGTGAGAGTCTTCACAGAGGAGGTGGTAACCCCTCAGCGGAGTCTGATAGGCTGGAAGGAGACAGTTTCCTGGGTACAAAAGATGGTAACCAATTTCTGAGCCTGGGGACCACAGGGCCAGGGAGCAGAAGCAGAGCCACAGAAGTTCTCAGGGAAGAAAAGTCTGGTTTTTGCAAAAGGCTTAACAGGTAGTCACAGACCAGGCCAGGCCCTGAACCCCAGACCCAGGGACTAGATCTTGTCCCAGAAGCAACGGGGAGCCATGGGAGGCTTGTGAGCAGGTGAGGAGTGAGGTCAGTTCTGGGTAAAGAGGATGATACTAGAAATCATCAAGGAGGCCCAATTTATGGGGGAACCCACAGCAGACCTAGGAGCCACCTAGCCTGGAGGTTCAGAAATGCCTCTGAGAGCAGGTGATGCCGCAGGTGGTTGTGAAACACATTTGGGGATTCAGTCACCTGGGGAGCTGAGTGAGGAAGGTGATCCTGCAAAGCAAACTGTGATGCGCTTGTGATTTGCAAAGTGGGAAGAGGGGGGAAGCGGGCGGACCACCAAGCTCCTGGCCAGAATTCTGTCCTGGGGGCTCTGGGGAGTCACGGGAGGGCTGTGTGTTGGGGAGGGGCAGGGGCATCAGTCCTGGAATGGAAAGAGTCCTCTAGAGCCACACTGGGGAAGGTCGGGGGTCCTTTGCCCTGCTGAGCCAAGCTGCCCTCCACCAGGAATTATGGGCCCACAGTGTTTGTGCAGCAGCAGGCGAAAAAGAAGGGTTGTGAACAGGTCCTCTGGCTCTATGGGCCCGACCACCAGCTCACAGAGGTGGGCACCATGAACATCTTCATCTACTGGACCCATGAGGATGGGGGTGAGCCCACCCGTGACCTAACCCAAGCCCTGGCAGAAGTGGGTGGTAGCATAACTCCTCAGATTGCAGGGCTCAGAGATTGTGGGGGGGTGCTGGGGTGGCTCCTAAGAGCATAGGAGGGTGTGCATGAGGGTGCTGGGTAACACCCCCGTCCCTTACACCTGACCTAGTGCTGGAACTGGTGACGCCCCCACTGGATGGTATCATCCTGCCTGGAGTAGTCAGACAAAGTCTGCTGGACCTGGCTCGGACCTGGGTGAGGGTGTGATGTTTTTGGGCAGCAGGAATGATGGGTTTCTGCCGTGTTGGGGGGCCAGTGCATCAGGGGGCTGGGGACACTGGCATGTCTTAGCCCGCTCCCTTGAGCCTGTCTTACCACCCTCAGTGAGGGAGAGGCACGGCTCTGCAGCAGGGCGCCTGCTGAGCTCACATGGATCTGGCTTTTATCTTGCAGGCTGAGTTCCGGGTAGTGGAGCGTAAGGTCACCATGAAGGAGTTGGTGCGGGCGCTGGAAGAAGGACGGGTTCGGGAAGTCTTTGGTTCAGGCACTGCTTGCCAGGTCTGCCCTGTGCACCAAATCCTGTACCAAGGCAAGGTGAGGTGGGGCTGCCACTGGCGATGGGAGATAAGAAGGGAGAGGGCCCTGTCTTCATGGCACTTTCCTCTCCAGGACTTACACATTCCCACCATGGAAAATGGGCCTGAGCTTATCAGGCGCTTCTGGAAGGAGTTGACGGCAATCCAGGTGGGGTGCATGCACTGGGAAAAGGGCCGGAAGCTTGTTTCCCCAGAGTTCAGGTCCCCTGAGCCTCTGAACTGAGAGCTGACCTCCCCCTCAATAGACCCACCAGCAGATAATGGTCCCCTGTTGGCCTCTGGGCCCCTGGACTGAGTCAGCTTTCCTTGAGCCTCTGTGGCCCAGGACACCTCTAGGGGCTGAAGGACTTTCCTGCGAACCTCTGGGGCCCTGGCTTGTGAAATCCCCTTCCCTGGACCTCATGGCCCCGAGTATTCCTCTGGAGGTTGAATTCCCCTTCCACAAGCCTCTGGGACTTTAAGTCAGCCCCAGCTGCAGAAGCCCACCCCCGTAGGTCCTCTGCAGCTCTGGGCGATCCCCGTGGCTTGAGAAATCTTCCTTCTGTAAGCCTCTGGACCTTGGGCACTCTGTGGCCCAGGAGGAAGGTTTCTTCTCATAAGCCTCTGGAGGTATTCCCATTCGTCGGAGCCGAGATATCTTTCCGAGAACCTCTGAGCTCCTTTCCTGGCCTTGACCTAGAACTGCCTTCCTGTGAACTTAGACTCCTGTGTATTGGGGCCTAGAACTACACCTCGCTTGACTGGACCCTCTGAGCTGAAACCTTTTTCCAAGCGACTTCGGGGCCTTACAGTAACTCTGCTTTGCAGAACTACAGCTCCCATAAGTCTCTGCGCTGTCTTTGCCTTGACTCCCTTCCTGGGGATTGCGGGCGGGCTTCCGGGAGTGGACTACATTTCCCATGAGACCTCGGGGTGCCCCCGGGGCCTGCCGGGAGAGGTGGTGTGGCGTCCCCCTCACGCTCAGTCCCTGTTGTCCCTCAGTACGGCACCAGGGCTCATGAGTGGATGTTGTCGGTGTGACGCTGGGGGTTGTGCCGACCACCCTTTCGGATCCACCGACCCGCAGCATCTAGACCCCGCGGACCCTTGCCTCCCTACCAATGGCTCACCTGAAGTGCAATATGAAATAAGCCGGGGGCCGGGACTCCTGGGTCTCTGGCGCCCCCACGTGGTCGCTACGCTCCCAAAGCCAAGAGGGCCGGACCCAGGCGTCTGGGCTCTAGCCCCGCCACCCAGGCCTCGGGATCTGGACTCCCAGCTGCTCTGTGCTGTGGGGTCAAGGATGCCCTTTGGCCCCGACTCCGCATCCCCGTTCTCAGGCCGGATCTCCCGGTGCTGCTGTTGGTTTTTTCCTCTTCTTGCTGCAGTTTTGAAATAAAATGCCAAAGAACAAGACATTAGCTGTTATATCTAGTGATGCAACTTAGACTCTAGGGTCTTAATCCGGAACCCTGGTCCTCAGCCTGGTTCATTTTCAAGGACCCAGCAATCGGAGCCCACAGTGTACTGGCGATTTCTCTGACGAGGGAGATTTTTATACGTCACTACAAACTGAGTTTAGCCACTTTCCACTCAGCCGCTCCTCGTCTACTTCCCCATCTTGGGACAGTCCCACCGTACTCCCAGTCACTAGGCCAGACCCCACAGCACTGTACCCTTGCCCTCCAAAGCCCATCAGTCCCTGAATCTGTCTCTCTGTCCCTGACTCTGCCCTGCTTCGGTTCGGGTTTTGCCTTCTCCCGCCCGGACCCTTGTCCCAGCCTCCTCTCTGGCGTCCAGTTTGGCCCACGGGATCTGTGTACACTGGGAGCTACCCGTGCTCACTCTTCCCTGGCTTCCCAGCATCCACGGCCAGTACTGTCGGTTTGCGGAGTGCGGCAAGATAACGCCACCACTGGAGGGGGGTGAACATCACGAAGTCTCTAAAATGGCCCCATCATCCCTCTGTGTCGTGCCATGTGTCCTAATCGTGGTTCTTTCGTGCGCACCCTAGTAATTGCTATGTGTAAGTGGAGAAAGAGCCAGACATTAGGACCAGGTTTATCCCGTTGTGGATCTGGATTCAGCTTCTGTTACCTGCTTTGTGTGTGACTTCGGGCTTGTCACTTTATCTCTGATCCAGTTTACCGGAGGGAGACCCCCTGGGACTACAGGGCAGACACTTTGATTAGAATCAGAATTCTGATTGGGTTAACCTTACCCTCTCATTCCCTGTGTAGTGGTTGCTCAACGGAAGCTCTTGGGGCCACAGAAACAGAATGGGAAATTTGCCTGGGGGCTTCTGGGAAAACTTTCTTTGTAAAAGAATCCTGAAGGGCTTTTCTTCCTTCCCTGCTTTGGCTGTAGTTACTTGGGAGTGGGATGTTAGAGCGGCTGCAGCCGTCTCATGCCCAAGGCTGCCGTTGCCCAAGCACTGAACAGGGAGGGCAGGGCTGGAAGATAAGACTCGGGGCCTCCAACCAGGAAAACTTCAATTTATGAATTGTTTTGTTTTTTTAGAAAGTCAAAACAAAAACTTTTTTAAGCCACTTCTGTCATTTTGTGTATCCTTTGTTATTTGCAGTTGGTTTTCTTTTAATTTTCGTGACTTGCAGCCAAAAGCTGCTTCGGTTTTTTTATGCTTCCCCAGGGCAGATCCACCCTGATTATGTCCAGGGAGAGTCCCGACTCTTGAAGCTAATTCATTTGCTGGCCAGTGGCTGGGCCCAAATGAAGACCTAGGCCCCGATTTTTCTTAGATGTGGACCAGGGAAAGGCAAGTAGCCATTGTTATCCGATAAAGAAAGCTTGAGGCCCGAGGAACCTGAAGCTCAGACAGGCAAACTCACTTTTTGAAAGTTACCGAGGCAGCAACATCTAAGATTAAACAGAAGTATGTTAATAACCAATGGGTTAAGTGTTATTTTTTAAATGAATTGACATATTGTTAATTTTCTTTTGTTAACTTCTAATTCTGTAAACTGATCGATGTAACCCACATTAATGAAAGCTCCCAATTAACTAATCACCTCGGTAATTTTTAAGAGTGTAAGGAAGTCTCAGGACCAAAAAGTTTGAAACCTGCTGTCGGGTGAGCAACTCCCGGCCCTTCGGAAACTGGTGTGAGGGTTGGTTAAGTAATCAAATAGACAACAGATCTGATACTGTGGCAGCTTCTTTCATACAAGACCTTGGTTTCTTGTTCTGCATTTGCAGGCATTTTACAAGGGTCCAAGCTTTTTATATGTGCCAGGCATCCTGTGGGACGGTACCAGCAGGTTTGCAAGGGCATTATTGCTTTTTTGGATCATTTTACTATGCAAATAAGACCCTTAGGATGAAAAGAGAATTACTGGGGTATACATATGCACATTTCAGATAACCCTCTATCATTACCTAATTAGAAACCAACTCTTAAAAAATCCCCTACTAGCTATGTGATCTTAGGGAAGTGAGTTCACCTCTCTGAGCCTTAGTTTTCTCATTAAAAAAAAAAGTAGATCATAATACCCACTCACTAAGGCCTTTCTGAAGATTAAATGAGTTTTTAAACATAAAGTGCTTTGAACAGGGCCTGGCATGTAGAAAGCACTATAAAATTGCTTTCATTGTTTTTGACAACTGGATTTGCCTTATTATTCTGATCTTCCAGTTTTATTCAAAAAGTCCGATTCTGTGGGAAAACGAATATCTGTAAAGATTAAATGTACTTAATTATACAATACTTATGGAACTGTAGGCCTTAATGGCTTCAGAATATTGATATTTTCCAAAATAATTAAGACATCTTCATGCTTAAGGATGTTCTTCATTTGAAAATAATAAAAGTACAGTAAGTGGAAAGAACCTAAATGTGAATTTTCACTTAATTTAATAATTAGAATTCTGAAAAATTCACAAAAAATTCTTGTATTCATTTAGGATAAAACCATTTTGCAAATTTGATTTCTGAAGCTGTAAATGCCTCATTTTCACTAATCATGTTCTCCAACCATGCTTTCGGATATGAGCATTTTTATTATTCGTTTCTAAAAAACAATAATTGATGAGTCCATAAAGTCAGAGTTAGTCTTGCTGTGAATGCTAAATACAATTATAAGTTAATGAGCCAATTAAGATAATTAATAGAGTCAATTATGTTTCATGCAGGAATACCCAATATCATAAAAATAATGATGATAATAAAAAAAGATATATATAGACATATTTCTTTTTATAATAAACATAACGAACAAGATTAAACTGAAGAAAAGAAAAACTATTTAAAGCGATGGTAAATAAATCTGAGCTAAAAAACCCAACCACTGCGAGCTCTGATTTCAGGCTCCGCTTCCAGGTGCCTCTGGCTCCATCTGGCGGCCAGACTTGGGATAAAGTCTCAAAGGCGGAGAGAAGAGAATTAGAGGCGATTTACAGTGGGAGCGTCCAAACACAATTACAGCAGTTTTCAATATGTGATTTCGTAAAAACACTTTATGGCACTATAAACACTTATAAATATCTCGAGGGACACTTCTTTGGGGAGACGTCCTTTAGGAGATGTTTCGGAGGCTCCGGCTTGGGCATTTATGAAAACCCTCACTCAGCAAACGTCATGCTCAATGGTGAAAAGACTGATTAAAAAGCCTTTTCTCTTAAGGTTAGACACAAAAGGGCATATATGGTATGATTCCATTTATATGCAATCTCCAAAACAGGTTAATTTACAAAGACAAAACCCAATCAGAGGTCCTCTGCCCCAGGTTACTTCAGCCCTAAGGGAGGGGAGGACTCAGGATGCCTCTCCCTGCCTCCCCTCAACCTGAGCCACATCCTAAACTAATGCCCATGTTATATGCCCACATTTTATCTGTAATTTAAAGAGATGGATTCCAGCCCTGAGGCAGGAACTCCTGGTTAGTAATCCCTATTTCAGCCAACTTGCTCGTTTCTCCGATGAAGACGCCGAAGCTCGGAGACCGAGGAGCCAATCGGATAGCTGAAATGTCATAACGTCACTGGTCGCTAGGCTAAGTCCCCAGGGCTCCTGGGTGCGGACCTTCTGCACCTGGAGGTAGCCGCTGGCCCCTGTCTCGCTCGCCCCAGCCCCCCGCTCGCCCCAGCCCCCGAAAGGAGCAGGGGAACTTGCAGGAGACGGTAGGCAGAGGCATAGCCACAGAGGTGGCAAGGGTGGTGAACGGATGTTCCGGGCTTTGGGTCTGGGACAGTTTGGAGGGGCAGGTGGGCACAGTCTCGGGGGTTAGGAGGGGGTGGGGGACTGGAAGTGACCCCTACACTCCGCCATTGTTTGAAGGTGAACAGGCCAAGCAGCCAGGGAAGGCTAATGGGATTCCGTTCCACACACACCCCAAATTCCAGGGGCCAAGAGACAATTTTTCCAAGAAGCTATATTTAATCAAAGAAAGGGTGCATAGCATGCTGGACCCCCCTCCGTACCCTCCCTGGCCTTCCCCAGGAGCTAAGGTTTACTGGTTAAGAGCGTGGACTTTGTGTGGGTTAAAATCCTAGCTCCTCTATTTTCTAGTGACAAATCTCAAAGTCTAGAGACCGAGAAGTCTCTGAAATAAAAGGTTTGCTGAGCTGTTACAGATGCAGCCAGAAAAACGACTGAGTCCTGGGACAGGCAGTTTCTGCTTCACCAGCAGCAAGGCCATTTAGCAGAAACAGCTTGTCGTCTGCCAAACAGAAAACACGGAACCTTGATAAAAGGTCTCAGGGAAAGAAAGTTTTTAAATTCACATTGGTTGCAGATAAGGAAAGCAGACAATGTCCAAGTGGAGAAAGTACCAGGCCAAGTAATTACTCATAGAGAAGGCTCCTGGCTGGTGATGGTCAGGGACTGTTCACGTGGAAGAGGGATGCCTGCTGCACTTCTGGGGGCCTTTTAGATCATTGCTGAAATGGCCTCCTCCAGGAATGTGGAGTTTCTGGTTGGTTACCTCTGGGGGCTATTGACTGGTTACCTTCCCTTGTCCCCCTCCCCCATTCCCTGGCCATATGTCACTTAATTTTAGGACATCTCAGAATTTTTTCCTTATTGCTCACTAGCTGTATGAATTTGGGTGAAGTGACTCTCTCTGGGCCTCAGTTTCTACATCCATAAAGTAGCACCTCACTCATAGGCTTGTTGGGAGGATGAGATAGGACAGTTGTGTCTGGCACACTGTTCAGGACCAGGCAGAGCTTGGAAGGTTCTGGAGCACCAGGGGGTCCTGAAACTCTAGGCACTGGAAATTAGTTGGGCAAGAAGCCAGTAGCAGAGGAAACCCCACCATGCCCCTGGGCACTTGCATATCCCAGGAAAAGTACCTACAGGCCCAGAGCAACCTTGGGGCCTGCTGAGAGACTGGGGAAAGGAATTAATTCATGCCACACACATTGCTTACATGTCTACAGTGGGTCAGGCCCAGGGCTGGGACTGGAGATCTAGCAGAGAACAAGTCATGAGGATACCTCTGCCTTTGGGGTGCTCACCTTCCACGGGGGTGGGGTAGGTGGACAGAGTAAATACACACATTGGAAAAGTCAATATTAAGCATATGTACATACTTATATATTATTAAGTATATTTAGGTAATATATATTATGAAGTATAGTTATATATCATTAAGTATAATATATTTACACACTTCAATTTTTATGTGTATTTATTAGAAAGTAATAAAACTTGGATATACGTTAGAGACAAGTACTGTGGAGAGAAAGTAGGGAAGGGCAATGTGATGTTGGAAGGGAGTATGTTTTAATGAATTAACTGAAATATAGCTGATATACAATATTATATTGGTTTCAGGTGTATGATATAGGGACAATTGCCTACATTACAAACTGCTGTCCACAATATATTTACCATCTGTCAACAAACAAAGATATTACAGTACTAGTGACTATATTCCCTATGCTGTACTTTCATTTCTGTGAGTTAACAATTCCCTAATAGCACCTAACGCCCGGTAGAAGGTGAACTTGGAGCACCAACCTGAAGCAGTGAGCAGTGAGCCAGGTGGGTATCTGGGGGAAGAACATTCTAAGCAGAGGGAAAGCCAGTGAAAAGGCCCGGCAGCTGGAGGATTCCAGGTTGCATTCCAGGAACTGCAAGGACGCCAGTGTAGCTGGAACTGAGCAAGGGAGCCCAGGGGAGAGGGTAGGGTACGAGGGCAGAGAGGGAAGGGACCAAATCCCCCAGAGCTTTGGGGGCCCACGGTGAGAACTTGGGCTTTCCTAGGAATGAGCTGGAAAGCGTGGATGAGTTGGAGGCGAAGAAGAACTTGACCTTCGGGAAGCGGGAACAGTCGCCCTCTGGCTGTGCTGTGAGGGAACAGACTGGGGGAAGGGAGGGCTCGCGCCTGCAAGGACGCTCCGACCCTCCCGCTTCGGATGCCTGTGGCGAGTCCAGGTGGTCACCCGTGCTTCCGATCCACAGGCTATGCCTAGACTGGAGGTTCCCACCACCCCGTCCTTGGGTTGGGTTACGCTGCTGGAGTGGCTCACAGAACTCAGAGAAACAGTCACTCAACGAGATGACCGATTTATTATGAAAGCATGTAAGTCAGGAACGGCCAGATGGAACGGATACGTAAAACGAGGCACAGGGAAAGGGGTGCAGAGCTTTCGTGCTGCCTCAGCGCACCACTCTCCCCAAATCTCCACGTGTCCACCAACCCAAAAGCTCTCCAAACCCTGTCCTTTTGGGTTTTTAATGGAGGCTTCATGACGGAGACTTGATGGAGGAAAGCACCTGCCGGTCAGTGATGGATTCAACCTCCAGGTCCAGCCCGCCAACCACTGCGGTTGGTTCCTTGGCAACCAGCCCCCATCCTCAGGTGCTTTCTAAAAGTCACCTCCTTAGATTAAACTCGGCTGTGGTTGAAAGGGGTTCACTGTGTGTAGTAAGACACCTTTATCGTTCTTCTCCTTTAGGAAATTCCGAGGGTTTTAGGAGCTGCGCGCTAGAAATGGGAATGAAGACCAACTACGTATTTCTTATTAGAAATCAAAATATCACAGGGTAGATCCCAACTCGGGGCTTTACTGAATCCAGTTTATGACAATGTCCAGAGACTACCGATCAGCCTGCTCCCGTGGTTGTGTTAATTGCTTCCCATCCCCCAGCTGTGCAAGGGTTTGGCTGCCAGCCAACGCTGGGTATTTTCAGTGAGGTTTTCATTTTTACTTTAGTGTTTCTGCAGGTCTTTTGTTTTTTTTTCCATTTGTTGTTCCATTCTAGTCGAGTGTTGATTTTTAAAAAATAAACTTTCAAGTTCAGAGTAGCTTTAGATTTCCAGAAAAGTTGCAAAGATGGCACAGAGAGTTCCTGTACCCTTCACCCAGCCTCCCGAATATGAACACCCTAATACCTAAGGTGTATTTGTCCAAGGTAAGAAACTAACCGTATAGTACTATTAATGGAATGACAGGCTTTATTTAAATGTTATCAATGTTCCTACTAATGTCCTTTTTCTGTTCCAGCACCCACCCAGGATGCCACTTTGCGTGTAGTTGCCACGTGGCCTGTTTCCCTCCTCATCTGTGAGTTTTTCAGTCTGTCCTTGTCTTTTGTGACCCTGATCTGATTGTAAGCTATCTAAGATCTGACTGGCTTTGTTCAACAGTAGTTCATGAGTCAGTCAGGATCCCGCCCAGCTGTGCAAAATGGAGGAGGTGGGACAAGAAAGCCACCAGCAAAGAGTAGTTTATTTGAGGCAACATCTCCTTTTCTTTGGGGGACTACAGGGGGCCTGCCGGGTGGACTACTTCACTAGTGCTTGCTGACCAGGCAATTCCTGATTGGCTGGTTAAGATCACACTCCTGGGTAGGTGGACACCGAAATTAGACTAGGTATTGAGTCTCAGTTTGGTGACGTGGCCTTAGCTCAGGTGACTCCATCTCAGTCTTGTTGTCCCTTTTTTTCAATGATTGAGTATTCTGTAGAATGCCCTTCAAATGCAGTCTGTCTAATGTTTTCTTATAATGAGACTATACAGCAAAGCCAAGAAGCTGGTATTTCCCTCTAGTGCAGGGTGGGCATCTGGGACTGGGAAGTGGTTTGACCTGGGCGGTGGTGATTCAGGAGTGAGCTTCATAATCACTTCTTAAATGGTACATTGCAGGCTAAAAAATGTCCCGCTAAAGGACATCCGAGTCCCAATTCCTGGAAGCAGCAAATGTTAGTTACCTTATAGGTGAACAAAGGTCATTGCACCTCTGATCAAATTAGGGATCTTGACATGGGAGATTATTTGGGGTCATCTGGGCGGGATCTAAACGCAATCCCGTGTATTTTTGTAAGAGGGATGCAGAGGAATATTTGACACAAAGAAAAGAGAAGGGGATGTGAAGACAGAGAAGAGAGAGATCTGAAGATGCTGGCCTTGGAAACTGGAGCGAGGTGGCCCTAAGCCAAGGAATGCCAGGACCCAGTAGAAGCTGGAGAAGGTAAGGAATGGGCTCTCCCCAAGAGCCCTTGATTTTGACACCTTGATTTTGACCTTGTAGTTCTCATTTTGGACTCTGGCCCCCAAAACTCTGAGGGAATAAATTTCCATTATTATAAGGCACCAAATTAATAATGATTTGATACAGCAACCTCAAGAGACTAATATACCATGCATTTATGTTGTAGTTATGTATTATGCATTTATGCTGTATTTCAGAATAAAAAGCCTGAAAATTAAACTCACAGCTTTCCCTTTTCTTTTATGGACAAAAGTAATGTTGAAAGTTCTCGTGATAAGGCAAATGGAATGTCAGACCCAGCTGAACTTCCTCATGTTGAGTATTTCGTAATGATGAAGCTCTCATTCGCCCCCGTCTCACATAAAGAGGCTGCCTGCTACTCTGGATGCCAAGAAAGGGCAAAATGAATCAAACAGGCAGAATACCTACTTCATTGATTTACGGGGCACATTTAAATATCTCTGAAGTTGGGATGTATCTTATAATCTGTGAGGGTCTTATCATTTTTCCTCGCCTGTATGCGTGTGGACATCAAAGTCCCCAGTATCACAGATTTCCAAGTGCAGATCAGCAGCGTGGCAGAAAATCCCAGAAACAACACCGAAACACACTTTCAACCCGCCAGGAAGGAGGGTGGTGGGGGAGATGCAGGTGGATGGTGAATCGGGCACATTTGGCAGCAAACCCAACCTGCCTCCAACTGTGCACATCTCAGTGAGAATCTGGTAGAGGGGGAGTTGGCTTTGAGGAGTGGAGTGGGCTAACAGGTTGAGAAAGGTCCCCTCAGAGATGTAACGTCGGAACTGGGTCATGGCAGAGAGGAATTCCCCAGACAGAGGAGGTGGTGGTGGCAGAGGTCAGCTGACCACCCAGGATTTGTGTTCTCCTTCCGCAGTGCCCACGGAGAGACTACATTTCCCAGCCTCCCTTGCATGGAGGTGGGGTCGTGTGACTGGTTCTGGACGATGGAGCGCAGGCAAGAGAGCTCTGCTGCACTTCCAGGTCTGGTCCGTAAACATCTCCCAGCATGTCCGTCTTTCTCTTCTCCACCTGCTGTTTGGATGCGGACGCCAGTGTATTAGTTATTCATTGCTGTGTAACAAATTACCCGCCAAAGTCCTCCTACCTTAAGGTAAATAACACATTTATTATCTCACATAGTTTCTGAGGCTCAGGAATCCAGAGCAGCGTAGCCAGGTGGTTCTGGCCCAGGCTTTGTCACGAGGTTTCAGCCGAGCCGCTAGCGAGGGCTGTAGGCATCTGAAGGCTCACCCAGGGCGGACGATGCATTTCCAGGCTTGTTCACATGGCTGTTGGCTGGAGGCCTCAGTCCCTTGTTGGCGGTTGGCCTCTCCGTAAGCTGTTTGACATCCTCATGGCGCAGCCGCTAGCTTCCCCCAAAGGAAGTGATGAGAGAAAGAGAGGAGGAGCCCCAGACACAAGCCCCAGTCGTTATAACCCAGTCAGTGTTGAAGTGATATCCTGTCATCCGGCCATGTCCTACTGGTCACACAGACCAACCCTAGTATGCTGTGGGCGAGGACTGGGCAGGTGGGGATCACTGGGCTTTACCCTGGAGCCCGGCCGCCATGCCCAGGGGAGCCACGTGTTACGATAATACAGATACCATCATAGCCCAGCTTCCTGCTCTGCCTCTGCTGATCAGATTTTAATTGACACTTCAGAGATTATCTGCCTCAGTGGTTAATCTCGCTTTAACAAATACAGAGATCAACTGCCAACCGGGCAGGATGTGTCGTTTCAGCCGAACACCTAACACTTTGTGACTTTACTATGTGCAGATAAAACTGATTAAGAAAATAGATATGAAAAAAAGGGAATACAGAAAACCAACCCCATCGATCCAACAGAAGGAAGGAATGAGAAAAATAACTCGGAGTAAACTCCAAGTGGATCAAAGATTTCAGTGTAAAATATTAAACCATAAGAGAGTAAGTAAACACTGGAAAATTCCTTTGTAACCCGAGTATGGACACAGCCTTTTTGAGTTGTGACTCAAGATCCAGAATTATAAAAGAAAACACGGGCACATTCATCTGTGCGGACCTGGACCCACATTCTTCCTCTTCCCCTTTCCTTCCTGAGCAGCGCCGTTCTAAGCCCTTTTGGGGGAGCAGCGAAGGCCAGCTTGGGGTGGGGGTGGGGACAGAGGCGCAGAATGGGGTGTCAGGGCTTCCTGGGGTGCGGACACTCCTGCTGCTACGGCTCCGTACCGTGGGGAGCAGTGGAGTGGGGGGTGTCTGTGCCAGGAGTGGGGCTGGCGGACCTCGGGAGGGGAAGCGCAAGCCGCGGGCGGAGGAGGGCCGGGGTGACAAACGGGCCACCTGGTCAAAGAAGGAAATGAAGGAAAATGGCAGTCGGACTTGTCACTGCCGGAGAAGGGGGCGGGGGCGGGGACAGATACGGAAAGAGAGGAAGTTAGGGGTGTTGGACCTGAATGGATAAATCACCGTGAATTCAGGGTTTTCAGTATATACACAGATAGATGTGGAAATATATAATTGCTTATAAACCTAACCTAGATCTGTGTGTATGTGCAGAATAAATACAGAATATGTAACATACATTACGTGTGCACGTGCAATAAGCAATGTGAGATACTCTGTCTGTCGGTCTCTATGATCCGTACACTGGGAGAGCCTGTAAGCAGCAAAAACCCCAAAGAAACAGCAAGCCCCTCGGGGTTCAGATCTTGGGCTGCCCCGTTTCTCTACCAGAGGGGCCCAGAGCTCCTTCGAGTAATGGCTGACTCTAGATGGGAGCTACAGAAAGAGCAAAATGATCCTGGCACATTTTGCGATTAAGGAAGCAAGGAAATGCTCAGCAAATGGTGGGGGGATGTCAACAGGACCCAGAAATCTGCGTGAAGACGCTCCCCCTGGAAAATATTGGGTGTAATATCTCCATTCATCACCAGGACTAAATAAAGTTACCCCCTTCAAACAAACAGGGAAACAAAACATCACAAAGAAGTCATTCTGACCACTAAAAATAAACAATGAGAGTAATTTTCTTCCTGATTATAGTTAATAGAATAGGAATAAATAGGAATGAGTCCAGGCAGACAGAAATGAATAACTTGAGGTTTGCTGAGGAGTAAGATATTTACATGGTCTCAAAGTATCTCCCTACACAGTTCTCATTAGTTACAGAAAGCTTAACTTTGCCATGGATAAGACAGGCAGATGCCCCCTTGATCATATGGCCAAAACAAATAACGTGAGTAACGGGGGAAAAGGAGATCAGAAGCCCCCTCCCCTTCAATGAGAAGAACGCAGTCACAAAAACACAATCAGTAGTTTTGCTGCTGAAGAATCTGATCACGAGGAAACATCAGCCAAACACACACGGAGGGACAGATTACAGAACTGGCTCGTGATCTTCAAAGATGTCAAGGTCGTGCAAGTCAGGCATGACTGAGGAATATTCTTTCCTGGAAGAGATGACAACCGATGGGATGCGAGGCTCCAAGCTCCGGGCTTTTGTTACAAAGAGTATAATTGGGACAACCAGGAAACCTCGCCTGAGGTCTGAGGATGCCAGGATGGTGGTGTATTATTTGGATGGTGGTGCTGCGGTACTGGAAGAGAATGCCTTTGTCAGTCATGACCCTGCCTTACCCTCAAAGGTTCTGGAAAATAAGAGATGCTTGTACTGTACTTCCAACATGTTTTATAAGTTTGCGATTGTTTCACGGTTAAGAAAAAGTCTTATTTTTTTAGGAGGAAACTTTGCCTGGTAAATTAAACACCTAAAGCAAATTCACAAGATAAATGACAAATGGAGGGAAATATTTGCAACTCATACTCAAAGAGCTAATTTTTAGAAATTTTTTATTAAGGTATTATTGATATACACTCTTATGAAGGTTTCACATGAAAAAACAATGTTTACTACATTTACCCATATTATCAGGTCCCCACCCATACCCCAATGCAGTCACTGTCCATCAGTGCAGCAGGATGCCACAGATCCACTATTTGCCTTCTCTGTGCTACACTGTTCTCCCCGTGACCCCCCCACCATGTGTAATAAACATAATACCCCTCAATCCCTTCTCCCTCCCTCCCCACCCGCCCTCCCACACCCCTCCCCTTTGGTAATCACCAGTTCCTTCTTGGAGTCCAAAGAGCTAATTGTTAATAAAGAACTACGGAAATCGTTCTGAGAAAGACCCACAACTCAATACGAATAGTCGTATATTTGTATATGTGTATATACAAATACATCTAGGATAAACACAGACTGTACCCTGAGAAGTGATTTCAAAGGGCTTGTAAATTTGAAAAGATGTGGGACCTCATGGACAAAAGGAGAAATACAAATCAAGGCTGCATCTTGATACCATTTCCCTGTACCAGATCGGAAACAATCCCAAAGTCTGAGCACACACTCCGTGGGGGAAAAGGAATACATGGATTATAGATAAGAACACAAATGTGCTACTTTTAGAGGCGGCAATTTGACAAGACCTCTAATACTGCAAACATATACTTTGGCCCAGCCATCCTATTTATTTGGGGGGAGCTAGTTTATAAGTTATCCATATACAGACCAAAAGAAGTGTTTGCAAGGTTATGGATAGTTTATAAGTTATCCATATACAGACCAAAATAAGTGTTTGCAAGGTTATTCAGTGTAACATTCTTTGGTGTATGGAGATCGGAAATCAGCACAAGTATCCATCAAAAAGAGACAGGTTTATTAAGTGATAATACAGCCAACCAATGGATGTTGCTGTATAAAAAATTGAAATGTTCTCTAGGTATCCAAATGGAAAGAGCGCCAAGATATAGCATAAAAAGTCAAGGGCAATAAAGTGTTCTTTTTGTTGTCTGGGTGTTTTATGAGAGGAAGGGATGGTTTTCTTCCCCCTCTCATTTCACCATTTTCAAATCAGAAGTCTCCTTCCTAACTGTAGACAATCTCTCTGAAATCCTCAATTCCTTTGATGTAATATTTCCATTCATCTGCAGTAAAAACTTTGGGAAGGTTTGGGAGCTCTCATTTCCCATATTCTGACCTGCTCAAAACGATCGTCTATTGTCATTGTGTTGTTTGACTAGATAGGAAGTTTTAGGATCACATTTTATTTTCTCAGTGGTTGTGACAGTCATCGCTCCATGGCCTTCTTGAAATAACCTTTGCTCTGTAAATGTCTGAGGCCACACTTGTTTAAGTTCTGGTAAAAAAAAAAGCAACAACAGAAAAACTTAAACATTTTGCTTGGCTGCTAAGAGGATACTTTGTTTATCTTTAAAGTCCATAGATTTAAATAAGATACAGCTTGGTACTGAGGGTTCTGTCTCAACAACCTCTCCCCCTCCCAGGTTTCCGTATCAATCTCCCCTTCAGGCTGTGTCCTTTTAATATGGAGATTAAGGTGTTTTTATTTTCTGAAAAGCTTTATTGACCTACATATTTTAATTATAGCAGCCAAGCATGAATTATATATGCTTCAGTCTCCCAATCTGTAAAATAGGGATATAATGTTGCTTTTGTTTCTTAGAGTTTTTGTGAGAATGTAATAATACTTTAAAAGAACTTAGTATAGTCCCTGGTGCAACAGTTAATATCTAATAAACATCATCTATGATCTATTATATGTGTGTGTGCATATATCTATTTTTACTTATTGATAGCTCTGTTTTACTTATACTTATATTTTCTCTTTTCCAGAAGGCAATTTCTATTGGATTGATTGTTTTTTATTTCCTTTCCACTTTAAACATCCATCTTTAAGGTAAAAAAATACTCAACAAATTAATATCTCCATCATATTCCTGAACAATAAAAGGATTTCAGAGTATTTTAATTCTGCTCATCTGCCACCTGTTTTACATGTTATTATTGACCACTATTGAGAAAAAACTTTTTATTATGGAAAAATTTCAACATATGTAACCAAACAGAACAGTAACACGAATTCCCACGGAACCATCACTCAGTTCAGCAATTGCCAACAGACTGCCGTTCACGTTTCACGTGTGCCTCCAGCCATTCTCCACTTTATATTTTTGCTTAGTGTTCTAAAGGTGCATTCTTTAAATACACTGAAAAGTACACCTATCCCGGCTGTACAGTTTTGAAAAATGGACATTGAAGGGTCCCCACCAGTAAGATGGCAAACTTCCGGCTTCTCTTCGGGGTCCTCAGTTCCCGCCGGTGCCACCTGAAGCCCAATCACCTCTCGCCCCCCTCCCAATCCCATGGTCTCTATGATCCGTACACTGGGAGAGCCTGTAAGCAGCAAAAACCCCAAAGAAACAGCAAGCCCCTCGGGGTTCAGATCTTGGGCTGCCCCGTTTCTCTACCAGAGGGGCCCAGAGCTCCTTCGAGTAATGGCTGACTCTAGATGGGAGCTACAGAAAGAGCAAAATGATCCTGGCACATTTTGCGATTAAGGAAGCAAGGAAATGCTCAGCAAATGGTGGGGGGATGTCAACAGGACCCAGAAATCTGCGTGAAGACGCTCCCCCTGGAAAATATTGGGTGTAATATCTCCATTCATCACCAGGACTAAATAAAGTTACCCCCTTCAAACAAACAGGGAAACAAAACATCACAAAGAAGTCATTCTGACCACTAAAAATAAACAATGAGAGTAATTTTCTTCCTGATTATAGTTAATAGAATAGGAATAAATAGGAATGAGTCCAGGCAGACAGAAATGAATAACTTGAGGTTTGCTGAGGAGTAAGATATTTACATGGTCTCAAAGTATCTCCCTACACAGTTCTCATTAGTTACAGAAAGCTTAACTTTGCCATGGATAAGACAGGCAGATGCCCCCTTGATCATATGGCCAAAACAAATAACGTGATTAACGGGGGAAAAGGAGATCAGAAGCCCCCTCCCCTTCAATGTGAAGAACGCAGTCACAAAAACACAATCAGTAGTTTTGCTGCTGAAGAATCTGATCACGAGGAAACATCAGCCAAACACACACGGAGGGACAGATTACAGAACTGGCTCGTGATCTTCAAAGATGTCAAGGTCGTGCAAGTCAGGCATGACTGAGGAATATTCAATATTCTTTCCTGGAAGAGATGACAACCGATGGGATGCGAGGCTCCAAGCTCCGGGCTTTTGTTACAAAGAGTATAATTGGGACAACCAGGAAACCTCGCCTGAGGTCTGAGGATGCCAGGATGGTGGTGTATTATTTGGATGGTGGTGCTGCGGTACTGGAAGAGAATGCCTTTGTCAGTCATGACCCTGCCTTACCCTCAAAGGTTCTGGAAAATAAGAGATGCTTGTACTGTACTTCCAACATGTTTTATAAGTTTGCGATTGTTTCACGGTTAAGAAAAAGTCTTATTTTTTTAGGAGGAAACTTTGCCTGGTAAATTAAACACCTAAAGCAAATTCACAAGATAAATGACAAATGGAGGGAAATATTTGCAACTCATACTCAAAGAGCTAATTTTTAGAAATTTTTTATTAAGGTATTATTGATATACACTCTTATGAAGGTTTCACATGAAAAAACAATGTTTACTACATTTACCCATATTATCAGGTCCCCACCCATACCCCAATGCAGTCACTGTCCATCAGTGCAGCAGGATGCCACAGATCCACTATTTGCCTTCTCTGTGCTACACTGTTCTCCCCGTGACCCCCCCACCATGTGTAATAAACATAATACCCCTCAATCCCTTCTCCCTCCCTCCCCACCCGCCCTCCCACACCCCTCCCCTTTGGTAATCACCAGTTCCTTCTTGGAGTCCAAAGAGCTAATTGTTAATAAAGAACTACGGAAAT